TTCATAAAAAAGATAACTCTTGCTAAAAGATGTATTGTCGGAAGAGTCTATTATTTAACCTTACAACCGTGATCGGAAGGTCGTGGGTTCGAGCCCCGGTCGCGACTGACCTAAGTCGATAAAAAATAAGTAGCAAACTGTTCCTTAGCCAAGCGCTCGACACTTTGAAATGAAAGTTGTGGTCCTTCGACCCTAAGTGCCGAGTAAAGGTCTAAATTTGAAGCCCTTCACCGGAATATGGTGACGTCTCTATATGAGTGAAAAATTCTCGAATGGGACGTAAAACAACATACAATCATACCTCATACTCTTTTTTATTTGAATCTGATGCTATAGCTCTTGATGAAAATCAATGTAGGGAAGTTAAAAAAAAACTTTCGTGAAATTTAGAGCAGAGGGTCATTTACCTGCAGAACTGTAGCGTTATGTTTTTATATTTTAGTCTTTAACCATAACGCTACAGATCCCGTAATACCAATCTGGTGCAATTTACGACGCAAGATTTTCTGCACATTTTTGGGTTGTATTTCGCCACTTTCCAGCTTTGGTTAATCAAATATTTTTTGCCCATAGATTGATCCTAATAGGTTTTCGTAATAGATAAATAACCCTAAAATCATTTCATAGGAGGGGGATAGAAATTTTATCAACTGAAATCAGGCTTTAAAACATGACCAGATTTTCAAATACCCATGGAAATGGATAAATAACCCTTAAATCTCTCCATTTGTTTAACTTATGTAGAATTCAACATACATTTTATCAGATTGACTTAGAACATTTTTTTTTCTCTCATTTGAAATTGGTAGTAAAATACATGTAACTATTTTCGCTGGTTTTAGTGATAGATAAGAAACATGATCGCAGACGGGGACTTCTATATGAATTTATAAATGACATTTCATCGGATGTAAAAGAGAATTACTGCGAGAAATGGATAGATTAGTGTTCAGAAATTTGCATTTAATCTCAAAACCTTACTAATTCATAAAATGAATATTCCTTTAAAGATTTTCTTGTTTTTCACTTGTTGAATCCAAGAAATTCTCTAGACTGATTTTTTTTTTTCAGGAGGATCTCCACTCATCACTTTTTTCCCCCAAGGCTGTTTTTTATCATTAAAGTTCACTACAACTTTATCACTAGTAAAGAAATACATTATTTTAGACTATAAATTATAAACTGTAGAAATCTGGCTTAAAAGTGAGGGAACAATGTATAATTTCATGAGCTTAACCTGCCATATGATGCTTTTTAAATAATTATGGACTCTGGGGGTGGTGAATATGGTTTGTTATTCACCAGAAAAAATATCAATATTGACCGAAGCAGAACTGTTATCCTCAAGCTTTGGCAAGGGGATAGAAAACAAACAAGTTGGATAAAAATCATATTCAATCACAAACCATAGGAGATTCTTTTCACACATTTTACACAGATATAACATTTTACGGTTTTTACAGACAAATCCACTTTGACTTCTTTACCTTCGTGGAACAAGAGGCCCATGGGCCATAACGTTCACCTGAGTCAATATGGCATCGTTTCCTATATATCCGTATGTAAAGCTTTGATCGCCTGTTCTAGGCATACCCTACCCCAGGTGCCATATTTTGAATGAAATTTAATCTAAACTTTCTGAGGATGCTTCTATATTCATAACTAATCATGGCTTTGCTGTTCTTGAAAACGGAATTTTAAAGATGTCTGCCACCCCAACCCGGGATGGGAGGGGGGGGGGGGGGAGGGGGGTAATGATTTGAACAAACTTGAATCTACACTACCTGAGGATGCTTCCATATCAATATGACTAAACTTGGCTTTTTTATTCTTGAGAAGAAGATTTTCAAGATTTTTTCTATATATTCCTATGTAAAACTTTGATCCCCTATTGTGGCCCCCTACTCCCGGGGGGGGGGGGGGGGGGAGGGGGGCATAATTTGAACAAGCTTGAATCTACACTACCTGAGGATGCTTCCATATCAATATGACTAATCATGGCTTTGTTGTTCTTGAGAAGAAGATTTTTAAAGATATTTCCTATATATGTTCTTTTGTAAAACGTTGATCCCCCATTATGGCCCCACCCTACTACTGGAGGATGCATTGAACAAACTTGAATCTACAATACTTGGGGATGCTTCCATATCAATATGACTAATCATGGCTTTCCTGTTCTTGAAAAGATTTTTAAAAAAGATTTTTCCTATATATTCCAATGTAAAACTTTTATCCCCCATTGTGACCCTACCCTACCCCCTGGTGTCATGATTTTAACAAACTTCAATCTACACTACCCGAGGATAATTCCATATCAAAATGACTAATCGTGGCTTTGTTGTTCTTCAGAATAAGATTTTTCCTATATACATGTATTCCTATGTAAAACTTTGATCCCCCATTGTGGCCCCACCCTACCCCTGGGGCTCATGATTTGAACAAACTTGAATCTACACTACCTGAGGATGATTCCATATCAATATGACTAATTGTGGTTTTGTTGTTCTTGAGAAGAAAATTTTTAAGATTTTTTTCTATACATTCCTATGTAAAACTTTGATCCCCCATTGCGACCCCATCCTACCCCCCCCCCCCTCGGGGTCATGATTTGTACAAACTTGAATCTACACTACCTGAGGATGATTCCATATCAATATGACTAATTGTGGCTTTGTTGTTTTTGAGAAGAACATTTTTCAAGATTTTTCCTATAAATTCCTATGTAAAACTTTGATCCCCCATTCTGACCCTACCCTACTCCTGGGAGTCATGATTTGAACAGATTTGAATCTACACTACGTAATGAAGGTTTCACGTAAGTTTCAACTTTTTCAGCCATGTGGTTCTTGAGAAGATTTTTAAAAGATACCACCAAATTTTCAAAAATTCTTAATTATCTCCCCTTGAAAGAGTGCATGGCCCTTCATTTGAACAAACTTGAATCCCCTTTCCCAATTATGCTTTGTGGCAAGTTTGGTTGAAATTGGCCCAGTGGTTCTGGAGAAGAAGTGAAAAGTTTACAGACAGACGGACGACGGACAAAAAGTGATCAGAAAAGCTCACTTGAGCTTTCAGCTCAGGTAAGCTAAAAACCATTGTGATGACACAAATGTGGAAATAAAACAATATGTCCAATATCCACTGTATAAATGTGATAAATATGTACATCATCTTCATCATCTGTGGTTCTTCGTTCTGGAAAAGAGTTTTAAATAACTCTCTCATATTCTTTTCTTTTATTTATCTCCCTATGAGAAAAAGTCTCAAGACCTTTCAATAAATTTGGTCACCCATGGTTAGAGCGTTTGCTATAGAGTCGCAAAGTAAGGAGCTGATCCTTACGTCGTGGGTTAGAATCCACTGTGGGTCGTGGAGACCGGTCCTTTGGATGAGATCATATAAACCAAGGTCCTGTGTCACAGTAGGTGTTGGCACGAAAAAGACCCCTCACTGCTGAATGGCCCTGAGTGCCCAGCATAGGTATAAATTTGCAGCCCTCCACCGGCAAGTGGTGGCGTCTCCATATGAGTGAAAAATTCTGGAGAGGGATGTTAAAAACAAACAAACAAAACAAATCAATAAATTTGAATCCCTAATCCATGGATGCTTTGAAGCAAGTCTGCTTAAATTGTCTCCACTGTTCTAGCAAACAAGTCAAAAATGTTATAAAATTTTATGCCAATATAAATACAATGTAGGTAATTGACTTGTTTTATTTGTTGAAGGAATAAAATGATGACAACATATTTTAAAAATTAATTTTATTGAACAAAGCAATAAAATTTTACTTTCTGTAGTAAATTCTCAATACTTTGTCATAATCCTACTCAGAGAAATATAAATTTAATGACGTGCATGCATTTTGAATACAAACACAAAAATATCACATTTATCACCTGTGTAATTGTAATTCATTGTAATTCTCATATTTATGGACATTGTATATAAATGCTTATTATGCAATATGCTTGAACATTTAACAATTCAAAAGAAAATGAATTGCACAACTTTTTTCAACAAAATCAATAAATCAAAAGATTGATGGAAATTTGGAGAAAAATACAGCAACTATACAAAAATGCAAAGCAAAGCCAACAATAAAAATTGATTTGTTTGATATACTCTGATCAATCCATTAAACCCCTACTTATCATTTTTTTTTAGTACTTTTTTTTTAATAGGAAAAAAACTTGTCTGTATTGTTTTTAAAGTTTACTAGGTTTATCATTTCTCTTCGTCACTTTTTAGATTTTAAAACTTTTTACACTAATAAATATTAAATCTGTCTACTTGTCCAATGTATAATGAAAACATCAGTAAAGAGGTAGGTTCACTTTATCCATTAAATGGCCCTGTCCATATACAAATTAACTGACCAAGTCGCAATATCCCATTTCAAATATCAATATAAAATAGAGACTTAGTGCTTTCATTTCCTATCAAGTTTCCTTTGAGAGTCCAAATATTGAAATACAGGCTTTGTGAAATTGCAATGTTCTTGAATTTTCAAGAAAATGTGTGTATTTGAGTACCTTCAGCAAAGAATTAAAATATGAGCCCACCCCTTGATCCAAAAAATAAAAATGGATTATAATTGTCTGAAACAGTTCTTTCATTATTATATTGAACATTTTGGATCAGAGGTTGGAGTCTATGCAAAATATTTAAAACAGCTTAAATTTTTGGCCATTTTTAAAGAAATTTTCAGGATTTGAGGATAAGGACACAATTCATGATTTCATAATACATGGACTAGCAAGAAAATTACATCATACAGATATGCAGTCACCAAGGGTCCAAAGAAATTTAATGTATTTTCAACTAAAACTGAGCCGTTTTGATTTTTCAGAAATTAATTCACAGGGCCAGAAAAGGCCCTAACCTTGTTTTTTTTCTAAGTTTGTGATTTTTATTATCTTTTCAATGTGTTAAATCACAGGGCTTCAGATGGCTTTGATCTGACCGACATGTATAAAAAAAAAATTTATACATGTCAGTCAGATCAAAGCCATCTGAAGGCCAATGTGTTAAATAATTAAAAAAAAAAACTATCTATCTAGCTTCTCACTTTGAAAAATGTTGGTCTGAGTACAAACCCCAAAAAATTATAATTATGCCCCAAAGTATTACATGGTTCAGAAAGCTGTGAAATGGATTTTGAAACATTGCAAACTGAGCTTGAAAAGTGAAAATCGGACAATTTTCCATCACTTCTTGGTGACAAAATTGGATCTTATTCTTTCTGATACTTAAAGTAATAACTGATGTAGGTTGTTTGCCTGTAGCTGATGCTGAAAGACATTTGGTGTGTCAATTCTCAGTTCACATAAAATCATCCGAGTCATTACCATTGTCCTAAAGTAAAGAATTGTTTACATTAATACAGATTTCATAACAAAATGGATAGTACAATTCCGGGAAATTTTGTACATTTTTCGTTTTCTTATCTGATATAAAATTTTGATGAAAGAAAAAATAATTAATTACAACAGGTGTCTACTGCAAGTCACCCCAATATGGAACTTCATTATTTGAACAATAATTATTACAATTTAAATACAAAGGACAGGTGCACTTATGCATTAGGAATGGACCCTTTTCAGTGTCATTTTAATCTAGAAAATAGCATCAAATTGTTCTTTTTTTAGTAATAACAGTTAACCACTGTTGGATACCTCTAATTTAAATTCATAGTAAACTTCACCAGAATTGGCTTGAATTTTAAACAATGGGGGATTTTTAAATGCCTATAGATACCACGGGTATTTCAAAACCAGAAAAATCATACTGAACCTATTTGAGTTTGGTCAACTTTAATCTTTATTCTTTTATTTCACATGCAAAATTCTTAGTTAGATCACTATGACTACAGGGCAACTACATAGCTTCATTCAAATTTTTTTTTCATATGTAAAATAATGCAATGTATCTTTCAGCAAACACCCATCGATTCATCGTCAGATTATTGAAAATGTTGATTTAAATGTCTCCTCCCCCTAATGAAACTCAAATAGGTTTGGTACGATTTTCAAGATTTGGGTGCCCCTAAGTGCACTTGTTCTTTACAACTTAAGTTTGATTCCTTTACTTCACTTACTTGATTTGAGGTCATATTTTCTGGTCTCATCAAATTTGCATATGATCTGAAATGAAGAAAATGATACTGAGTTTGGAGGATACCAGTAAATAATGGATTTAGATGGTTTAATAAAACAAATATCATCTGAAATGAATCTGTTTGTAGTGTTTTCACAATTTTAGTATACAAAAAATTTGATGGCAAGATAGATAACTCAAGCATTAACATGAGAATGTATCAGGGCAGCAATGAGTTTGTCCCTAATGTAACTTTTTACAACAGAATTTTATTGAGCAAATAAGCAGTGATGAAGCATGGATTCATCACTATTATCCTGAGATGAGCAAAATAACCGGGAGGGAGGGGTCACCACACCCAAAAAGCATACATCAGCAACAAAGATAAAGGCCACTTTAATACATGTACCGGTATGGGATTGTACAGTTATCCTTGCCCTGCATACTAAATATCACTGAATTGTGAATATTATGCAAATCTAGTTGTCCATTCACAGGAATCTATTGTAACAAATTGTGGAGGGAAATGGAGAAAAGGAGTTTTAGTCCTTTATGACAATACAAAGGTACTTACACTCAGTGTAACAGTTAATCATAATTAAGAGACAAATCATTCTAGGTTCTACCTTATCCACACTCCCCCGACCTGGCTCCCCGTGATTTTTTTCCTTGACCTTTATCTTAAAATTCTGCTCCGTGCATGCCATTTCCAGACCAATGAAAATGTCAAGGGATGGTTAATAAGGGTTACCAAATGTTTTATGCATTAAATTGCATGAAAAATGTTGTAGAAATCAAAAGTATTTAAAAATTATCTGTTTCATTCTAGTGTAATATATATTTAATCTGAACCCACTCTCCTCCAAACAATAAACATTTAGATTTAATAATTAACCTGATTTCAGCATCTTTTCTTTTTTGTTCTTCTGCTTCTTTTTCTCTCTTCTTCTGATCTGCCATCTTCTTTTTCTGATCTTCCCTTTCTTCTCGATCTCTGTCTTCCCTTAGCTTACGGAAATCTGGATGATCTTCAGTTTTAGTCTTGTTTAACCTGTTGACGATCTCATTTATTCTTTTTTCTACTTTAACTTTTCTGACCTGTGAAAAGAATTTTTTTTTTTAAATAAATATTATATGAAAAAACATTCAATTGGTGATGTTGTAATAAAATTTTTCAGCATTTCCAACCTTGTCACAGAAATTTCTACATATAAAAGAAAAAAAAAGGTAAATTGAAATCACAAATGCGTAACAAAATTATTCAGTCTTAGTAAAGTAAGTTCACAATAAAAGGAGTCAACTTTTAATTGAAATCCTAAAGGAATTATTCTTTCAACCAGATTATAATTTCTTTAAAATTAAGTGTCAGACTCAGGTAACTTGAAAAAGGTTCTGGTTTAATCCACTACAGTGTTCATGAGCAGTAATATATCGTTATAGTCAAAATGCAAAATATTTTTACTCAAAGGTCAAAGTCTTATATGAATTCAAGACATATCATATCAAGATGCCAAATACAATATAACAGTGAAGAATACCAAAAAGGCTTACTTGCACTATAAGTTTAACTCTAATCAAGAACATAAATTGGACACACTTGAGAATGAAACATTGTCTTGCGATGATAAAACAAAAATCATTAGGTTAAGATTTATGGTCTTGGACACAGTTTTATGAAAACAAAAATGAAAAATATGCAAGGACAGGGTAAAGCAATATGTGAACTTGTCTAAGGGGAGATATATTAAATAGGTGTTACAGATATTTGTAAAAGCTGTTGTTCTAACCACCAAGGATCTGCTATAATTCTTAACCAAGTGATAAAATAAAGACAGCTATTCATGGCTGCATTGCCCTACAGGTATACTAAGATCATTATAAATATATACAGACTCCTGTTTAATCATATTTCTTTTTAGAAAATATCCACCAAATTCACTTGTTTTTACCTCTTTATCCTTGAAGAATCCCACCTGTCCAACATCCATGCCATTAGTTTTCTTGAGATTTGCCCACATTGTATACACAACCTCTATGTTATTCATTTTGTTACCTGTATAATACAAAACAAAAAGAAAATAAGAATTTTTGTATTTGAACATAACAAATACATCAAAGGAGATTGCAACACATGTAATAGTAATACTAAATAAATTGGAATCAAAACATCACTGTAGAGACTGGAGAGAAATGAACATAAATTCATCAAATACAGTTGAACTTTGATATCTTGAACACTGATATCTCGAATACCATGGATATGTCGAAGTGATTTGGAAGTCCCAACCACTTATTCTTCAAGTATTTTACCCTTGATATCTTGAATCTTCGGATATCTTTTCTCGGTCCCGTGGAGTTCGAGATAACGAGGTTTGACTGTATTTCTTTAAATTTGAAATATGGTAAACTTTAGGCCAGTTGTATATTTCCATTACAATTTACAATGAATTCCTCACAGAATTTACATAAATTCACCTGAGATACTGTTTGCCTTTACAAGTTGTGCGCAGTCATCTATCACAGACTGTGGAATATCATCTAATGTTTCATTCTGAAACAGAGAAAAGAAATGCTCATCTATTTACAGCTATCATTTTTTTCAAGTTGCTTTGTGCATTATTTTATGCAATGTTATTGTACATGTATTTACATCTTTATAATCTGAAAATTTGTTGTTAACTTTATTCACTTGTACAATGTAGATTCATTTTAAGCTTGCCAAAGGCTCAAGTGAGCTTTTCTGAATGAAGAGCAATTGTTATCAGCCTGTCTGTCTACAGTATTTATCTATATACTTTCTGATTTTTATCTTCTCCTCCAAAGCAACTAGGCTAATTTCAACCAAACTTGCTTCAAAAGTATCCTTTGGTAAAGGAGATTACATTTTGTTCAAGTTAAGATACACACTCTCTTCCAAGGGGTGATAATTAATAAACAGTAAAAAAATACAGAGGGGTCAGTTAAAATCCTTCTTCCCTAGAACTTTGGGGTCATCCCCCCCCCTAAAAATTTAGTTAAATTTTTCCTTTTATATTTGTATCATGGTCCTGAGGTTAAGACTGGGATGTAAAAGAGGGTCAAAGCTTTATATGGGAATGTTTAATGAAAAGAAAATTATACAAAACTTCTAATGAGATCAAATCAAGGATTAGCATCTTCATGGAGTGTAGATTGAAATTTTCTTTAAATTATGAACACAGACAGATTAAAGTTATGCTGGCAGTTTTCAAACTTTACACCTCAATCTATCTAAATCCTTCATTTTGTTAAAAAAAAAGAAGAAGAAGAGAGATACGCCATTTTTTGTATCAAAAAACACTAATTTCACTTGCTTAAGTGTTAGTCATCATAAACATGATCAAAAGTGCATGTCCCAATTTTTCTTAAAATATTACATGTATATCTTTGATATTTCAAGTTGACTTACTGGATGTAACCTTAAATACACATGTGCTGAGGACACTTTATCAACATGGAACCTGCAATTTCAAACATGTGTTTTAAGTTAAAACATTAACAATAGATAGATTTTAAAGAACTAAAATACAGAGGTTGCAACAAAAAACAAAAATTAAAAAAAAAAAAGAAAATCAGTAAATCTGCAAAAAAAATTACCATACGTCTTCGGGAAAACCCCATCTTATAAGATCTTCATCTGAAAATAAAAACACAGATGTTTGACTTCTAATTTTGGTAGAGTATCACAATAAATACAGATTTTTATTAATTCTGCAAATCTAATTATTTTACACAGTGTATGATATTAGTAAACAACAAAGCTTAAAGTGCAGACACCAAAGAAATACTGTTGAATCATTTTAATTTGTGGGGGTCAAAGGGTGAGCAAAATTTTACTTGTTTGTAAGGACATAACTTTGCGAGTAATCATTTATTTGGTAGATTCAATGAATCACTACATTGACAAAATAATCGTTCATGGGGATGTAAATTCATGGATAAGGGTGACCCACGAAATCTACTAGGGCTGTGTCAATATATTGAATATTCAATACGTATCGATATTCAGGAATGTATTGTATCGAAAAAATAATTTCCAATACGTATCGGACAGGCAGTTTTCCTTATAATTCTGTATAAAAGTTGGGAATTACAGTTACCAAAGATTTTTAACTGTTTTGAATTAAAACTGGTCAATGATGAAATAAACATTAAGGAGATAGCACATCTTAAATAACTATTACAAAATACATAGACAACTATATTTTAACATGTTATATTAGACTCACCCATTTCTTTATCAAATTTATGCATTAAATGTCATTTACAAGACATTTTTGAAAGACTTTAATAAATAATCCAATATATTGCATATCGCTTTATAAAATATCGTATCGTATCGAATTATATTTTGCTCAATACACAGCCCTAAAATCTACAAACATTTGTCCTCCACAAACGATGACGATTCCACAGTAAAATGTTCAATTAATACAGCTTTGAATTTAATCTTAAAAATATGAATTCTTAATTTGATTTTAACCTACTTACTCTCATGCTTATCTTCCCCCATATATATGGTGTATGCTGGGGATACAACTGTAAGGGAAAAAATGGTAAAATATAACTGAATGACCAGAACTTAACTAGTATACTGTACTAGTATCATTGGCCAATTAGACAGTTCAAGAAATTGTTCAAAAGTGTCAAAATGTTTGATCCGGTAATTTTTTTTTTTTTTTGCAGGTATGTCAATGGACCAAACCACTGCAAGTCTCATTTACATGAGTCCCATTTATATACACACACACAAAATAATAATATACTTAACTCCTAAGAAATGATATTGATACTTTTGAGACTTGAGAGAAGTATACACAAAGAGGAAATTTGAGTTGAAATCTGCCCATTGTTGATGTTTAAGGAAATTTTGATTAATCCACTTGAAAATAAATGTTTAAAAATCCCAATTCTCTTTGATGGTGTAACAATGTGGTAGCTAAATCATGGCAATGAGTCAACGACTAACTTGCAAAAATTTACAAAAGGGAATTTTACAGAATTTCAGCCATGAAACTGGTAAATGCATTCTCAGTCAACATGCCTTTACAATCTTTCATCAGTCTCAGTCATTTTGGGATTTCTCAAAATGTTCATACTATAGTTCATATTCATCATTAATAGTAAGAGTAATTTGCTTATCTATTTTGCTACATTGCCAAAACACAGAATTCTATTGTTAAACCTTTTTGTAGGACAGTATCATTTTAACAACAGAACCTTCTTCTATCTATGCAACCCTAACAGTCATACTGTCATATATATTAAAATGACTTTTTTTTATTTTCTCAGAGAAGGACACCTAATTCAGGAATTCAGGATCTACTGAGTTCAACATAGAGATTTATCGATGCGAATTTATCAATTAACAATATTCAGATTTATTCCTACATTGATTCAATATATCTTATTGAACTTGAAATAAAAGACACCACAGAGTCTAAAACATCTGTTTCATATCTGTATATTTTACTATTGAAATTTGAAAGACATAGATGGCAAACTGACAACTAGACTTAATGATAGACGTGATGACTTCAACTTTACTATTGTCAACTTTCCTTATTTATGTAGCAATATACCATTATCACATGGAGAGTTTATGTCTCCCAACTGATTCGATATGCAGAAGCTTGTTCTACATACAAACAATTTCTCAAAGCCAATAAAGGAGGCAGGCTACTGACAACTAAGTTGATGATACAAGGATATCAACAATTTCTTTTAAAGTCAACATTTTGCAAATTCTATGGTTGATACAATGACCTTGTTTCCAAATACAATCTGTTGTTGTGTTGAATGTTGACTGACATCTTTCATAAAAATTGTTTTGCCATTATTTTCAATCTGAATTGACTATGGAATTTTCTGTTTACCAGATCATGACAAAGAGCATGGTCCAACCGGTCAGTAGGAGATGCTTACTCCTCCATGGTACTTGATCCCACATCTGTTTTGTATTGTTTTAATGGACTTTTGAGAATGATCACTGTTCGTTACCTTCACATTTCACGCAGTAAAAGCAGACTGAGTTAATGAAAATTGTAAGGTTAAAATTAGGCCATATGAAAATTGAAATAACGAATTTATCATGAAAAGATGAAGAATTTGTTAACAAAAAGAAATGCGCTTGATCTAAGTGCCGTCTGACATCTAGTGCTATAGTCACTATGCAACATGTGATCTAATCCGAGATTCCTCTGACTCTAACCCCTGCTTTTATATTTTGACATGTGCAGGGGAGAGTCAGAGTGGAGGCCATATTGAAAAGTGGGAATTCAGCGACACCAGCTGGTGTCGCGACTCTGCCTACCTTTTACAACTTTATTTTGCGGATCTAACTTCCGAGACGCGAGAACTCAGTAAAGGGATGATTCTTCTACAACTTATTCATCATTAATATGATGCTATCGCCATTTAAACGGCCCTATAACTGACAAATGAAGCATCACTTGAATTAGGTCGCCTCCTCGCCATTCGATTTCTTTGCGCATGACGTCAGCACACAAATACACAAACAAACTATCACATGAACAAATCATGTGTGGTGATGCTGCCAATTTTTTTCTCATATGAGCATAGAGGCCACTTTCGACAGTTGTTTTTCTTATCAGTAAATAAATGTAACATCATTCTGTTGTTTTCTGTGCTTTTTCACCGCACTCTCATGTTTTTGCGAAAACTCCACAAGTGTTTTGACCACGTGTTAATTTGAAACCGATTGGAATTTTGTGTATTTGTGTGCTGACGTCATGCGCAAAGAAATCGAATGGCGAGGAGGCGACCTAATTCAAGTGATGCTTCATTTGTCGGTGATAGGGCCGTTTAAATGGCGATAGCATCATATTAGTGATGAATAAGTTGTAGAAGAATCATCCCTTTACTGAGTTCTTGCGTCTCGGAAGTTAGATCCGCAAAATAAAGTTGTAAAAGGTTGGCAGAGTCGCGACACCAGCTGGTGTCGCTGAATTCCCACTTTTCAATATGGCCTCCGCTCTGACTCTCCCTTGCACATGTCAAAATATAAAAGCAGGGGTTAGAGTCAGAGGAATCTCGGATTACATGTGATCAATTTTAACATCTGGAATAACGTTGGCATTACCGTAACTATGATGTTAAAATGCAAAACTAGCAATTTTCTCATCTCCAATTCTACGACACATGCCAACTACAAATTTTGATATATTTCCAATTTGAGTCTTACCGGTACTTGTGAAATAAAATACCATGATTTAGGCCTACTTTCGTCGTAGATCGTTTGCTTTTTTCGGCGGAAATGAAGTTATTTTTCACCTCCTTTGCTAGAGAGCGAGTAAGTAGAACCTGAACCAAACCAATCTCTGATCCGGTTTCAAAACTGAATAGTTTGGAAAGTGTATAAAAATATTCAGTCCCTTTGTAATTAAAAAAAACAATTTCTCTCTGTTATTTTATTTTATAGACACCTGATCGCATCTCTGGAATTTCCAGGGGTCCGTGTTTTATGCCCTTTAGGAGTGTCCAAGTATTGGAATCTGGTAATGTAAGATTAAATCAAACGAAGATCTTGCAGTGTGTTTAGCATCCCTGGTTCAAATATATTAAGTCATATTTTGTTTTCATAGAATACATGCATCTTTTAGAACAGTTAACAATTGATAAACCTTGGTTCAATAGGGGATGACCATCTGGAGGTGGGAGTGGGGGCTGCCAAATTTTGCAGAGTCAGACTCTGAACTTATTTTCATACCCTGGCAGGACAGAATATTTATTTCCTATATCATCAGAGACAGATTATTTTTCTTTCTTCCATGAAAATAGTTGTGAAGCAAAAAAATTTTAGATCTCCCCAAACACTCACTATCTTGTGGGGGTGGGTGGGGGATAGGTACCTGTACTAGTCAGGGTTAGACTATTTATTTTCTGACCCTTGGAGGACAGACTACAGCATTTATTTTCAACATTTTCAAGGGCAGATCATTTACAATATCCTTTGTCATCCAAGGGGATTTTTGGGAGCCATCTGCTGGTCTGTTGACTTGGCCAAGATATGCATGGACATCTGTCATTGTGGAGGGGGCCATTGAGGGCCACAGCTGGTCAATGGACTGCAGTTCAAATCCCCTCCCCCCACATCAAATGGTCATCAGCTCAGCAACTTACTCAAATAATTTACTCAGTCTGACCTCAGTTTTATATTCTATTGATATATGAACAACAATCAAGTTGATATAATTTATTCTGGTGTTATACATACTGTACAATATCATACTTCGATTCTGATACTCTTGGTATATAATATTTCCAATAAATGTACATGTATCTTAAAATCTACTGTAACTGTAAATGTTTCCTTTTATCTTTTGTATCTTTGTTTGATCTAATAAAATAAATATTAACCACAAAGAAAAAATATACCCCAGAAACACATATAAATCAGAAAAAGTTAGTCTTCATTGAATAATCTTCCAGACATCAAAAAGGAAAAGTTAACAATAGATTTATCATTATACATATATATAAATATAAGAAGTTTATACACAAAAATAGAAGTAAAAAAAAATATAATTATGATTATCAAAGCACTGGCCATCTGCTTAGCAAATGTCACTACAACCCAATAAAAAACCTAAATGTAGTCTACCTCTGTTTTAAAACATTTACATAAAACTGTTTCCTCAACATCACAGAAGTATATAAAAGCATCACAAGGTCTAGTGATATGAATTTTAAAAAAAAATTCATCATTAACAAAAAGGGAACTAAAACTCACAACCTTTAACTGCAGTTCAATAAATAAAGGTGGCACTTTATGGTTTGGAATCATACAAAACTCCACTCTTACAATGTGCACTTTAATGGTATCACAATTTGTACAACAAATGAAATATACATGGCAAGAACATAATAAAAACTCTTTTAAAAATGTCAGCAGTTTACAGAGATAGCAGAGTTTTTGTTATTGTTGTGAATGCGTAGCCACAAATTTGTCAGTTCCATAAAGAAATTTAACTGACCAGCAGTTGTTTTTTTAAAGAGAAAAACAAAAAATTATGAACTGGGGAATGAACATGCAAAGCAGATATTCCAAATATAGTTAAAATCCAGATAAACATGAATATTCTGTTGATAAATTGATGTGTGATCCAGTAAATACTAGTTTCATTTTATTGTGGTTTGTTGTATGTTAAACATTGGAGGCCTTGGTTTTTGCTTTGGAGTACTTAGATCCACCAACAGATTCTCTGTGTTTGGCTTGTCCCATGGGAAGGCGACCATCAAAGACAAATGGTAGGGAGGGACTACTCTTCGATCTTTTCAAGTCTGAAAGAAAAAAGGATAATATAGCTTTTGTATCTCTTTGCATAATTACCGCATGAATAAATCTAACACTTATGTTTAAGTATATTTCAATTATCTGGCCTTTAATTTCAGCATAGAAAATAGTGACACATTTTTTTTTTCATACAGATGCACCATCATTGATATAACTACATGATAACTGACAAATGTTTGAAAACTGTGAAAACAAGTGTTGTACAAACCAAATTTTTGTTACAGCAATTTACAGTTAATAAAAAAAATCAGGGTTTTTATTCATGCCTTTAACATCAAGGTGACATCTGCGTTTGTGTGAGTCACGACTTTGGTGCTCGTCTTTCTTTGATGCATTTTGCTGAGTTGGACTTGGACTACGTGCTCTATGATGAAAGGAGGGTGCTACAAAAAAATTAAAAATAATGAAATTGAGCTAAAACACTTCAAAAAACCACATAGCAAGATTGGGGGGCCATTCAAAATATAATTACCAGTATATAAATTACATATTTTAAAACATGTTCCAGTGAAAAGTATGTGTAATAAAAAAAGAATCTTGATCACTTGAAAATTAATTACTTTAAGATAAGCCTGTATGGCCAACTTCTTTTCACATATGTACATGAAATTACATACATAAAGTGGTGCATTTATTTAAAGTCCTCAAGGATGCACTATGACATACATATTTCAAATCAGCTTGCAGACATTTCACATACTAGTATTAAAAGGTATAGGAAAGTTTCTGATCATTAGAGACTTGCAACCTTATTCACATTTTACTTGTAGTTCTGATGGTCTAGTGAAATATCTCATAGATTTTGAGTATAAATTGTTACAAACAAAATACATGTATTCAAAGATGTAAAACTGCAATACATCACAGTAAATATATGAATATAATCAATATACATGTATGCAAAGATACTATTGTAGTTCTTGTCACTGATTTTCCTACACCTTTTCAAGAAGTTTTTAAAGTATGTATATCACCTATACAAAGAAAACGCTCAAAAGGAATTTTTTTTTACTACTTTCACAGAACATTGGGGGAGGGTGTGTATGTTAATTATGGCTTAATTAAACCATGCAGTTCTTCATAATTTTACTTTTTTTCTGCTATATTATGTTTTGTTTTGTTTTTTTTTTTGGTTCTTATTTCTTCTGAAAGTAGTCTCCAAGTATGACACTATACTGAACAACCATGATCTCAGTGTTATTATTTGAAACAATGCAATTATTTAAACAAAGTTTTAAAAACAGGTAAAAAAAAAAAATCAGGCAGGTTTACTTGAAACCCCAAAATCACAGGAAAATAATTTTTTTATTCCATGAAAAGATCATCTCTAAATTACAAATAAAAACACTATACTATGCAATGCAGGTACAGGTATTACATGCATATATTTATACCTTTACCCTGTCTGGCTTTAAAACTTATATTATCTGCATAGTAATTAAAATCAGCACAATTATTCAAGACACCAAACACAGACTGTGATAAAAATTTGCTTTTCTATGTTCATTTCTACATGAAAAACTTTTTGAAAATAAATAAATGCTTACTCCTGCGGAGTTGTCTGTTCCTGTCTTTGGTATCTTCCTTTTCTTTGGCAGATATATCCTGTTTGATTTTGTTCTGTAACTCTGTGTACTTCTTGTACATCTGTAGATACTGGGTCATACTCTGTCTTTGTTCCTGTTTTAATAAATAAATAAATATATAAGAATAGTAACATCTGACAAAACTCTACATTGTTTCTTTATCTACGCCATACTTTTGAACAAATTAAAAGGATGAAATTATCTGCATTTTTACCACTTACATATGTTTTCATTGATAAGCAATGAACTAAATACAGGTAGCTTAGTAGATTAAGTCTTGTATGAGCTATTTTTAGAAAATCTTAAATCACTTACCTCTGTGGTTCTTTCAAGATTGTTTTCCAAGTTCTTCACTTGAGATCTGAGTTTCTGTAATTCAGCATCCTTCACTCGGACCATAATCTGTTGAACATAATTCAAAATATTTTTATTATTACATGTACATATAATGTAGCAGGACATGTATGTACAAATATTCAGTCCATTTATTCAGCAATTTTTAATACATGTATCTCATTCTAAAAATACAATTACCTAAATGCAGAAAAACATCTTTAGATCTCTATGTACAATTACTTTAAACTTGTAAGCATAGCAAGTAAATTTTTTTCCCATTTGTGATTCAAGATAGCTACAGTATGATAGGTACTTTACCTGAGCATCATACAATTCCTCCTCTATGGTAGCATTGCCTGGAACACTGGCCATTGTTCTGTTCTGAATAAAGTCCTTCAGTTTGTTTATCTCTTCATTGACCAAATTATTCAGCTGCTCATTACTGGAAGAAGACAAAAGGTCTCTCATTTCAAATACTTCCACTTACATCCAGAAGCATTTAATTACTTGTACACATTATCCAATCATTAATCCTATTTAGTTATTCATTGAACATATATTTTACTATTTAGTCTCTCATCTTTTCTGTTGCATATTTTATTAAAGAATATATTAATATAATTTGCTCAACTGCAACAAAACACTTCTCCTTTAGGATAAAATTTCATTTCAGTTTCTATTAAATTTCCCATGTTACCTCTTGATAAGTTGGTTGATGTGGCTATCATATTCTCGTTTGGTTGATTCAAGTTTGTCCTCGAGGAGTTTGTAGTCCTCACAGCGACTGTCATAGTGCATCGTAACCTGAGCCAACTCCTCTCGCAGCTTTGTTGCTTCATTTCTGTTTAATCAAAGTAAATAAAACATGATGCGGAATGAAGGGATATCATCAATTTTATAATAAGTGAACTTGTATTCATTCATTAAAAAAACTATTTTCAGTGAATGAAAAACATTAAATTTTTGTAGATTACTGGCAATTAAAAATTTAACTTCTCATAACAAAGGAATATGCATTTAGAGCTTTGATTTTCAACCTAGAAAAGAAAATAATACAATCTATATATATTCATAATGTATTGCATACTCATGACGACTTCTGATTTCATCCACAAAGTCATCTGTGAACATTGTCTTTAGGGCCACCCTGTACTTCTCCTTCTCCTCTTCAAGATCCTCTTCATAGGCTTTCCTCATTGCATCCAGAGCTGTAATTGGGTAATAATAAATAGAAAATATCTTTTTTCAAATATATTCATGTCAAGCAATGTTTGGGTAGGGGGGTATTTATTATTTTTTTTGGGGGGGGGGGGTAAAATTGTGTAACTTTTAGTCCAGTTACAGCAATTGATGAAAGAGTTTTCTCATGGATCACATGCATTTTTATCATTTATTATCAATTAGTGCATTCTTCAATGTTTCATACCAGCTTTAGTGGTTTTCACTTCCTCTGCCAAAGCTTCTTCTTTCTCCTTCTTCAGCAGCTCCAGTTCATAATCATGAGATGATTTGTCCAATGCATTGGCAACACATTTGGCTTCACTGCACTGTAACATTTACAAATATTTTTGCAGCTTAAGAACAAGGTTTTTCTTATAAATTACATTAACAAACACCAAATAAACCATATATTGCTAATATTTATCATCACATACATAATTAGAAGAAATGCAGTTCTTTGGATTTTTGTTTTTGTTGATACAGATTGATGAACAATTATGGATTTGGCAATCACACCTTGGAATAAGTTATTTCTTATCAGGAATTACATGTACAAACCTCTTCAGTATTGTTTTCCTCCTGTGGTTCATCAATGTCCCTGATAGGTGGTGGTGAGGTAGGTATGGGGGACACAGGACATATGTGGAGCTGATCTGGGTGAAGAGTGCCAGAGGACTGAAGATGTTCTATTTGCTCTTCTAGTTTTTGAGACAGGGCTTCATTTGCTCCAGTCACCGTCAGAGACTTCTGGAGTTGTTCTAGAGCAGCCTAAAATTGATCAATTAAGACCTAATTAAAGTACAATGCCACATCAGCTCAATTAAATAAGCAAAGTTCCATATTTGAAAATAAAACACAATTCATCTTCCATGCAGAGCTAGCAGAGAGGAATACATTTTTATAGCAACATATTGAACAAAAATTTCCAATATAACACAATTTAAGAATGAAAAAGAATTTTACCACAAAGTTTTCTTTCTGAGAGGTGAGCTGCCTGTTGAGAACCTTGACTTGGTCAGCTAGCTGTTCCTCAGACTGCTCCTCATTAGCCTTGATAGCACTGACTGCTGTGAGGATGTCCTGTCTAACCTGTTCCAGCTCATCCTCATGGTCTATCCTAATACAGTCCAACTCATCCTGCAATGTCTGGATCCTCTCCTCATATTCTGTGGACAGAGTTATCTTCTCTTGGTCATGCTCTTCCGTAATTTTCTCCAGCCTGAGACAGATGGTGCTGATCTCCTGTCGTAGAACATCCAAGTGGATATCATGGCGTTCTTGTGCAACAGAGAGTTCATGCTCCAGACTTGCAGCAAAGGAATTCAGTTCTTGTTCAAACTGCTTGGCTTCTGCTCCTGTAAGCAGACCAGCTGCCACATTTTGGAACTGTTTCATCTGCTTATCCAGAATGCTTAGTACTTCGCATTCATCCTCAAACTTGGTTTCTAGGATTTCTTCAAAAACAGAAAGGGATTGCCTGATGTCATTCTCAGTCTCCCTGCTAGATTCTGATGGTAGATCTACTTTTTGTCCTGCCTCCATTTTAATCTTCATGTCTCTCATTTCCTTCTCATGCTGAAGTCTGGTTTTATAGTTGGTGTAGGTTACTTGAGATTGGTACATAGCCTCACGTACCAAATTCTTTGCATATTCATTCAAATTTTCTGGATCAAATGCACAGAAATCAGGAATGATATCCACTAATTGTAACACTCTTTCTATTTTGGATGAATTTCCAGCTGAATGGGTCTTCAGCTCTGCAGCTAAAGTTTGTTTAGAAACAGCTTCTTTTTCGAGCATATTTCCCAGATGCATGGAAAGTTCATTCATGTCAGATTCATGATTTCTGCCAAATGAGTCACTATTAGGAAAGTGTCCTGAGCTGTATAAAGCATTTACATGGGCAATTGTTCCCCTCACAACAGAACGAAGAATCAAAATGTCAGTCCATTCCACCAGCAAGGTTTCAGGAGGCACAAGATTCAATTCTGTACTGTCACTATTCACACTACCATCACATTTTTCTAATTCACTCTTTGCCATTTTACAGTCCTCTTCTAAGGTTACTATCACATTTTTGATTCTCTCTTGCTCAATGCTATCCACTTTACCTAACTGCTCTCGCATACTTGATATGTGATTATGGAATTTTGCTACCAATGTGGTACTAAGTGAATCCCTGATGTGGCCAGATGAGAGGTTGATATGGCAGTTTAAACATGAAAGAACTAAAGCTTGGTAGTCTGCCACAGATGCATACAGACTCTGGGACCTATCTTGAAGTTGTTCACACAAGAATTTTCTTTCCCTCTGCAGGAGATCTGAGAGTTCTTCAGACTCCACATGAGTGTTAAATCTCTGCTTGAGCTTCTGCAGGGCATAACTAATTTCCCCTTGTATGAGAGACCTACTGATGATGTGACCTGATAGTTCCTCCATCTCCCTAACAGATTTAGTTAATTGCTGGTGAACACTTGAATCTACTTGGGACCTAAGGAATACCTCCATTGCTAAGATTGATGGGTTGTCAGTGATGTTTAAAGATGACAATATGGCTATGTCATCTGTATTTTGATGATCCTCTGCCATGACACTAGAAGCTAGCTGACCTTCCAATACAATCTTTTCTGCCAGCATTTCAGCATAAGTAGATACTAAATCTGGAGTCCGTTCCTGGTCCAAGTTGCTAATGTCCCGAGTAGAGTTGTCAATCCGCCTTTCCATTTCTAGAATAATGCTATTGACTCCTTGAATTTCTTTCATTAATACATCCCTACTCAAACAGCCCATCTGATGCCTCTGAATCATGTAAGCCATTTGACCCAGAATGATTGCCTCCACTGAGAGTCTGTCAGCATAAACATTCATTTTATCCTCCAAAGACATTCTTCCTCTTTTAGATAACTTTTCCCTTTCCCCCATCATGGCTGTTGCACGGGCTTCATGGCGAGACATTTTGCTTAAAATTTTAAAGTCACTTCTCTCAAACTTCTGTAGCTCTCCTATGTACTGAGACAGATGCAGAAGCTTAGTGTGAACAATTTTCAAGCCTTTGGCATCTAAGGACTCTCGAGCAGCAATATTGTTATTAATGTCTTGTAGTTTCTCCTTCAAATGTTTAAGACATTGTTTAAATGCTAGAGTGTTGTCTGAGGAAGGATCAAAGATTTCTGTTCCTGAGTTAACCATCCTGACTTTTTCCGTCAGACGCAGTGTGAGACTATCAATCTTTTCTCCACACTTCTGTAGAGTCTTCCTCAGATCTTCATCCATGTCCCCTGTCGAGTCATTTGCTGAACTCAGGTTCTGGTCAGTCAGATCTCCAGTGATGTCCTTGATCCTGTGGTTTGTGGTCTCTAGCTGTGTTTTCATTTCCTTCAGTTTGTTCAAGATGAGTTGGTTATCTGTAGATGAGGCTCCACTGGTTTCCCTGGCATCCACTTCATCTTCAGAGTCTTTTTCATCAGAACTAAGGAAACCATCAGAATCTTCCTCCTCAGACGTACTTTGTAGGTCCCCATTCACTGAGGCAGAATCTACACTGTCCCGACTTTTGAGAACAACATCCACATAATTTATTCTTTCTTCCAACTCATTTAGCTGTTTTTCAATCTCATCAGAGAGTTCCACTGGGGTTTTACTTCCACCACTCCTTGTTTTAGTTGACGCTTTGATCAAAACTCCAAACTTGTTTGAAAGCTGGTCAATTCTAGCATTTAATGTGTCAATCTGTTGTTGATACTGTGTGGTCATAATGTTAAGTTTTCCTTCCATTTCCTTTTCTTTCACTTCAGTCTCTTCACAATGTGCATAAGCATCTTCAAGTTCAGCTGTTAATTTTGTCACTTCAGATAAAACTTGTTCATATTTATGTTGTATTTCTGAGGGATCACTATCCTTTGTTCTTCCATTACAAGCAAAGGATAGTGACTCATTCAAAATATCCTGTACCCCCTTACACCTTTTTTCAACATCTGCCACAAGCTTGGCCAATTCCTGAATTGAAAGCTGAGATTCACCCTTCTTTCCACCAATGTATTCTTCAAGCCCTCTTTTAGACTGAAGCACAACTTCCACAACTTCTTTCATTTCAGAATCTGCTGCCATAATATATTCAATAAGTCTTTGAGTTTTTCCTTCATCAGTATCACTAGAAACTGATCCTTTTTGTAGCTTTGATTCTATGCTACTCTTTTCCTTCTCCAATGTGGACAATATTTGTCTCTCTGAAGATAGCTTTGAGTTTAATTCAGAATTTTCCTTATTAAGATCCTCCAGACTTTTCTTCAGAGTTTTGTTGTCATTTTCTAACCTCTCTTTTTCCAGATTGACTTTTCTTTGACATCTCTCCACTTCCTGTAGTTTCTTTTCCACCAGATCTTTGCTCTTCTGGAGTTCATCCAGTCTAGACTGGAATTCCTCATTGTCTGCAATCTCAGCTTGAAATTCTTCACTCATTTCTCCAAACTTTTTATCATTTTCAATCATTTTTTCTTCAAGTTGGGCAATGATTTCATCTTTTTCTGCCATGAGTTGTGCAATATTCTCTGGGATGTCTAATTGCCTCTGGGCTTCTAAAAATTGCTTCTTCATCTCCTCCATGTGCTGTTCCATATCATCCCTCTCCCTTGAAAAGTCTTGTTCCATATCACTGATCTGTTGCTCATACTCCCTTTCAAGTTTCTTCATATTTTGGTCCCTATCTTTTAAATCACTCTTTAGTTCAGTCACCTTTCTGTTCACTTCATCCATTTTGCCTTTGAGTTGCTTGTACTCCAACTCCAATGCTTTCAGTTTTAATATCTCCCTCTCCTGCTCCCGAATCTTCTGCAGATTGGTTTTTAAGTCCGACTGCAGGCGTTTAATTTCACTGTCCTTCAGTTTAATCATTTCCTGCTGGCTTTCCACTTTCACACTTGAATCTTTCAGCTGAACTTCCAGATTCCGAATTTTTTTATTCCAGTCAGTGGACATTTTCATGAATTTGTCCTTCTCTTGTTTAAGGTCTTTCAATGCTTCGGATAAGGCTTTTTCTGTTCCCGTGAGTTTTGAGACAGACATGTTTAATTTGGTCCTAAGGTTGTCAATTTCTGCCTTCTGCTTCTGTACAGTGTCTCTGGCCTCCTTCACCTGCCTCCTCATTGTGGTCACCTGCAGAAAGAGGTCAAGAATTTTAAAGCAGTTGATATCCCATTTACAATTGTTTACTCCCAATAATTGACAGAAATAAATGACTTTTCTTTAAAATTTCAAATCTAAATAAAAACTGGTCAGCATATGACATATTTTTCAGTACACTGATTTAATCTGAGTCTTTATGTCAAAAAATAAAGAACATCATGACAAAAGCCGACCATTACTCTGCGAGCAATGAGCCAGGCTTAAAAAAAAAGCTGGAGGCTATAAAAGTAGAGTGCAAATGCAGTGCAAAATCAATACAAGTAAACATTTCTAGCAAACTAAAGGAAGGATGAAGAAAAAGAAAGAGCAAACAATTTGACAATTTGAGTTGATAATCTGTGTTTTTCCTCATAAGATCTGGTAAATGTACACAATACAATGAGTAGGAGTGATAAATTTCATGCCAAAAAATAAAGTCAATACAATTTACAGAGAGAGAACAATATAAATTCAGTTAATTTTAAGAATACCAGTACTCACATTGAATGAGAATTTTCTCTTAAATTTACTCTAAATATTACAAAACATTAGAAACTAAAATTTTAAAATCTACAAATGAAATGCAAACAATTAAAAATAAAAATATTGAAAATATCTAAAGAAATAAAATCACAGGTGATTCATTAAAGTCACACACAAAAGTAAGTCTTGAGCTGGGATACAAACCTCTGCATTGTCAGTTTTGCTAGGTTCGCCTTGTTGGTCTGCTATATTTAGATTACCCTGATCATGCTGTGGCTGTAATGTCAAACCAAAGCTTTAGTAAAGCATGTTTTACTGCTGTCAACCTGCACAATTCTGTTTTAGAGTACTATTTATTTGGGGAATCCTACCACATAAAATTGTCAATATTGTATTACATTTAATATATATATGTATATATATATATATATATATATATATATATATATATATATATATATATATATATATATATATATATATATATATATATATATAGGTCAAGTTTACAGAGTTGAAAACCTTTCGAATAATTCACTCTAAAATATTAAATTTAATACCGGTATTAAGATTTTAATACAAAATGTTGTCTTTTTTCCCTTAAAATTTCATTTTATTATATTACAAAAATCTTTTTTTTTTCTTCTTTTTTTAGAATTGTGCAGATCAAACCTGGCTGATAAAAAGCTGAATGATTTTTGTAACCAATAACAGCATCAATATATTCAGAAAATAATTCTTTTTCTAACAATATACATGTAATATATTCAATTTGTTTAATTTAAACCCATAAATCTCCATGTTTTTGAATGCAAATACATGCAGAGATAAAATAAATTGCATACCAATTTCCTTCTGAATATATTGTAGTCTAATAAAATAATGAAATCAAGCAATGGGGATCTAATAACTCACTGAAAAGCTTCACAAGCAAACTACTCAATTAGAATGTTTTAAAACAACCAAAGAAAACTTAAAAGAATACCCAGGCCAAATGAAAATGCTATAAAAAGATCAAATCCACTTCAACACAGATTAAGTAGAAATTAAAACAGTTAGAAGAAATGAAAGGATTTAATGTAACATTAAGTCAGCAAATCAAAGGGAGACTACTAGGTAAAATATCTAAACAGTGTAAGAACTTGGTAGTTTTGATTTCTAGCTTTAGGGGGAATAAAGTCATGCTGTATGTTTATCTACAAGCCTGCTGTGTGCCTTCTTACCTGGGATATATCCTTTTCTCTGACAACAGTCTGCAGACGAGATTTTAAATCCTGATTTGATTCCTGCATTTTTACCAGCTCCTTGTGTTTTTCATCCAGTCGATCTTTCAAGGAATCCACCTGTAAAGATTTTTGATTTCCCATAATAAATTATGCACAATCCTTACACAATTTTTCTGTTACTACTTCATGAATATCAATAAATACAGCAAATGACAGGATGCATACTACACAACATTTCAGAGATCCTAATGTTAACTCACTCAAATGCAGGATATTACCAGACATGCAAACAGGATGAATTTCTATATTTACCAATAACAAATAATAGAACCTCCCAATCATTTATCAACAGTTAATTATCCATGTTGAACATTACACAGTAGTATTTACTTTCAAACTGCTATCATTAAAGTTGAATTCCACGCCACCCAGTAACTATTTACGGGTACTCCTCAGATAAATTATTTACCTCTGTTTCCAAAAGCTCAACCAGAGCGCCACCTGAGGCCTCCTCTGTACCCCCTGACCTGTTGTCATGGAGACTACCCAAGCTCTGAAATCAAACACATTGCTAGCAAAATCAATTTCACTCACATAATATTATTTGTTAATCTCTCACGAGTTTGAATTTTATTGTTTTTATAGTCTCTTCTGATTCTCATTCACTGATATTTATTACAATATATGGCTAACTTTATTGGAAAAAAGTGTAGCAATTCAGAATTATCTAATCCTTACTGAATTTAATCCATCAACCCTATCAGAAGTGGATTCTTGATGAAGCTCTTCATCTGTATCTTGTGGGGAATGTAACCATGGAGATCTGACTCGTGATTTGTCCTTGACCCTTGCACTGGGTGACTTGGCTCTTCTTTGTTTTTCTGTTTCTTCTTTCTTACTTTCACTACTTATACCTAGTGACCTACTTTCTGAGGTAGGAGCTGTTGATTCAGCAGAAATGTCACTTCCTTCCACAAATCTTCGCAATGGTAAACTATTGGCACTTAGAGAAAGAGAGTCAGATTCTGGAGAGGGTGATTCTGTAATTATAATTGGTTTCATCCTGCCCTCTTCTTTTTCTACAGAACTTTCTCTGCTGGAAGACAAGGAACCCGCTGTTAAGGAAGAAGGCAGTGTAATACTTTCCAAGTTCAGATTTGGCAGAGCCTCCTTAACAGATAACATTTTGCCCACATTCCCTGGGTTCACATCTGAATAGTGGCGCCGCACATTCTTAATAGTGGGTTCCTTTTTCATTGGACTTGGACTCTCTGTGCTACTGCGACTGTCTGGAGACAAACTCAAACGTCCACTACTTGATAAGTTAATTTCTAGGTCCTCTCCTGAGCTATGTTCACTCTCTCCTGAGCTATTTTTTGATCCACCACTCTGTTGCAAATCCATAACAAGTCGTATTGCTTTCATCCAGTTATTACGGATCCCTGATGTCATAGCAGAGAGGACATACTCTCCATTACTTGTCTGTAAGTATATGATATATTAAAGGTAAGTTATGGCCCAATATAAACACAAAGAATAGAGTAGGGACACAAAGTAAATGGAAAGATTGTCCTTTTCTTCAAAAGCACATCAACTATTTTTTTTTTAAATTAATACAAAATTTAGTTCGAAATTTAAAAAGCTCATGCAGTGTAAAGCTGTTACAAATGTAACATTTACCTCTCAAAAAGTTAAAATTTGATGCAATATTACTTTTGATTACAGTTAGAAAGTATGACTAAACAATATTCCACTACTTGCTTTCATCCAAGGATAATACAAGTAAAATACTTTCTACTGTAATGACACCACATAACCCCAACTGGTACTGATAAATAAAGATCCTATAATTCACCAGTGTTTATAACTGTAACATTGTAACTGCATTCAATAGGTAGACATTAACTTTCTTAAAGTTGGATAAGTAAATCCAGTAGCCAAAGACAAATGTTCACCTTTCAATGTCTGACATGATAAATGCTTCCGATGCCAAAGCTTTACATTGAATTTACTTAATGCTTAAATATACTTGTTTTTAGTTTCGTTCAGAACAAATACATGTATACCTGATATATTTTCCTTTCCATATAGCAATTGTGCAAATTTTGAGCTTACATCTAAAAATATCTTTGGTATATTTTCTTGTTAGAATATATCACCGAAAAAAAAAAACATGGAAAATATTGCAAGCAGCAACAAAACATATAATGTGATTCATTTTGTGACAAATACATACATAGAATTCACACTGAACTTTAAAAATAATAATTCCCTGTTTACTAGATATGTAAAGCATTAACAACTTTCAGCAGATATATGTGAACATTTCTCTATGGGTTAGTATAAAACATGGTAAATGGAGAAAAAAAAAATAGTGATGAGAGATTTTTATGTCCATTAAAACAATTTGGCAAGCTCTGGATCATGTTAAATCTTTACTTACTGATGGACCAATGCCCTGAACACAAAGTAGTTACCATTTTTCAGCATTATTTCACACACTTTTGCAAACATTATGCATATATATATATACAAACAAGGTCTACAATCCAAGGCAAAGCTTATTAAACAATGGACTATTACACACAGTGTTAGAGTTTTTTGTCAGAAAATTCAATAGCTTCACTGCACCACATGTAAGTTTATTGTCACAATTTTCTAACTCTGGATCAATTTCTTGGCTTAGCTGATTAGACTGGGGAAAAGGGACAAACCACATGCATTTAATGAAACAACAGGTAAACGATAGAAATATGAGGGGGAAAAAATCTGACTACAGTGCACAGTAAATAACTTTTAAAACCTCCGATATACATGGTAGTCCACTTCAGTCAAAAAAAAATGGATTATATAAATGACCATGCCTTGGATTGTTAAACACTCTTTGTAAAATCAACTTGATATATGATACATATTTCTCTACAGTTAAGACATCTGTGAAAACATGTAGATTACAGAACATTAGTATCATCCAATGAAAATATTTTTCTTTTCTTTTTTGGCTACAAAAGGGAATCAAAACCCCAAATATTACTTAAAGAAATATTTCCTTTTTCAACAAGGAAAAGCTCTCAACTGATAAATATTTTTTGTCTTCAAATATCGTTAATTGTCAATACATCTTCACTCAATCATGGTATGTGTCCTTGGCCATTAAAAAGAAAAAAGATCTTTTCTGGTTTCTCACATATTCTAAAATAAATCAAGCTTCTCTAACCGAAAGCACTCATTATTTCAGCATGACCAACAAATATGTACGAAGGTTTGATAACAACACACCTTTATCCTGAATCCGTAATTTCTGCCGACGTTAACCTCGGAGATATCATAACATCCAGATAGGTCTATTTTGCCATCTAGAGTGTTGGTTTCTTCTGCCTTTGCATCCTTGTAATATCGCAAGGAGTTACCCGTCAACACAAACCAGTGCTTTTTCCAGTCCTACCCAAGAAAAATATTCATCATCTTTTATTATTATGATACAGAAGACATTTCCCCTCCTCAAAATTAAAAATTTATCAAATATATACCATATAACTCACACAATGATTCTTTAAACTTTTATCTTTATGGATCAAAAAGAAGTTTTCATTTTTTCACAAAAGATCTTGACATATGTTTTATACCATTCATTAAGACGTACAGCACAACTTACTTTGCAAGGTCATTGAAGCAACACGTAAATAAAAATCTATATTCTGTTTTTAAGTAGGCAGTTATCTATGACAACATCTGACAGTCCAGAGAAAACTAAATATCCTTCTTGATATAGTTTACTAACCTTTTCAGAAGACCCTTGTTTGATAAGCCAGCCTTTTTTCATGTACATCAAATCCTAAAAGGTCAATTTTTCAACATGAGCAAAAAAAAGAAGGTAAGACACAAGATTCTTTTTTAACACATACATACTAAGTAAGCTTTTTATGGCAATGTAATCTGTAACAGGATGTCCTATAGCCAGGCAGCAGTGGCATTCCTGTTAAAAGTATTGAGCTAAAAGTCCCCATACCTGGACATGATGATAGCTTTTTAATGAGTGCTAGCTTTTTACACCCCTCTCTTGGGTTTGGCATGAGGACAATTTGTCTTCCACACCATATCAAGAGCCTTGTTAACTTAATTCCAATCTTTGTGGAAACATTTTTACATGACCAACCTTTTAAATCCTATATAAACATCTGCTGTCAAAATGGAAGATAAACCCTAAGCAAGTAATGAGATTTTTTTTGCAAAACAATCCCTTGTGCATTATATAATTAAAACAATCCAGAAGTAATAACATACAAGTGTCTTGCATTAAAATTCATGGGCTTATTTGCATATTAAAACATGCAACAAACTTCCATTGTGGTCACTTAGTGACCTACATGGTCTCTGCCTTACCTCGTATCGTGAGGACTGACTGGGGGTTCCACTAATCACTGGAGAGGACTGCGTTCTGTTTGCAGCCTGAAGCTCTGACGATTTGGCCATCTACAAAACATGGCAGTCTTGATAATACAAAAAATACACAGCATAATTCATTTCCTTTTACACAAATGGTGACAGTTGCTATCCTTAAGAAAAAGGTGCCAAGAATAAAAAGACAAAAATAACATGAGAACTCAAGTGATCAAGCTTCTCATATTTCTAACTATGCCTGTACCTGATATGACAGTAGAAAAGGCCCACTACATAACTGATGCAAGACAAACAATATGTGGACACCATGGTGTAATTTTAAGCAAAATCCTCACATTGTTATATTATGAAAAAAAATCTTCCTTTTGAATTCTCCATTGCCCAACAACTATGTTCCCGCTGGAATACCTGTTAAGACAAGGTGTATATTTCCTTGCCAGAGGGAGCAGGTAGTCATTGTTTACTTTTAATTAGAGGGGACATCAATCAGGTGTAAGGTCTTGCATTGTGTGTGGGGTTTTATGTTGCTATAATGTATCAAGGAGGGCATAAAAGATGGTTCTTAAGTCTGCATTGTCACCAAAAAGGCCAGGACACTAAAATGTTGCCATATTTACAAGGGGCTCAAACTATCAATCGGGGATTTAAAATCAGATGTATAAATGTAAACATTGCCTGTTATAAACGTTCGAAATACCCATAGGTGTAAATACCGATAGGTGTGTGTCAGGATTAATCATTCACAAAAAAAACTATTTTATACCACATGCTTGCATTTCGCAGTTGACATTTTCTGGAACTTTAAATTTTCTTTTAGGAACAAACTTCCTTTATATTTTTCTCTTATCCTTAACAAAACTGTAGCCTTATTTATTCAAAAATATTATTTTATCTATTTATTCCATTCAAATGCTTATCTTCCTTCATCTGCAATGTCGAATCTTGACTCTGACACTTATGGGAACAAACCTTATTTTATAGACTGTAGAGGTTTATGTCTAGTAAAAACATGTGCCCCCCCTTCCCCCCCCCCCCCCCCCCACATTATTGTGTTTTTTTATGTGTGTTTTGATAGAGCAATGTTTTTCTCTGAATCATGCATAAAGATTCACCTATATAACAGAGGTTGATATTATATATCTATTGAAAGTGAGAGGTTTATAAGCTTCTCTTGATTTACGTCCTATCCTGATGCAATTTGAGAACTAATAATGATAGACAAGGAAACCTTTAAATTCTCTTAAATTTCTTCAAAGTAATAAATTACCAGGCTACAGTATATAATTTATTTCACTTTAATGAAACTTTCCTTTTATTTATGAATGAATATGAATATATTTTGAAGAAAAAAAAAATGATCAAAACAAATGCCTGAACATTGAAATTATTGCATTTGTATTTTCTTTTTGAGCTTCTAATTGAAATATCACAGTATATACAAATAACAGACATTTGAAAGTATATGCAATTTATTTAAAAATCTTGTTTTAATAAAACGTTTTTAGGAAAAATTTATTGAAATAAATCATGCTGAATAGACCCCTCCCCCCCTTTAAAAAAAAAGTTATCTGGCATGGATGTGCAGAAATTTGTACTCCATTACTCTTGCTATTTGATTATTGTAACATCCAAATTAGGACCCCCCCCCCCCCCCAAAAAAAAAAAAATTTCAAACTGCAAAATAAGTTTCAGTTATTTCTGTATAACTATTAGACTTTAAAATAGATAATATTCTTCCATATAACCATTTATTTTTACTAAACACTTTTTAACAATCAGAAAATCTTTAAATCAAATTTTTGAAATTTGCACACATTTCGTACCTGCAGCATCCTACGATTTTTCCAAAGGTACAGATCTATATGTAATTCCATGTGATTAATTAGATACATGTAATTGAATGATGACACCATGATTACACCATATCAGTCCTCCTTTCCTTTCTGAGCCACTGTGACATTCATGTCAAAGATATCTGGACACATAAATTAAAAGTTTGAGGGAGCCCAGGTGAACTCATTGATTTAAAGTTGTCAATCTCTGTTCCCCTGTGTATCAATTATCTGTACACAATGCCATCAATGTTGTCAGCTCTAAATCAAAGAGATTATCTTCCCATGTTGTTAATTCCTAATCAAAATGTTGTCAACCTTGCATTGTCAGTTTGATAAACATACACAAATGATTATCCTGTAACTGTTTATTTCTGAGCCATTACCATATTACAAAGTATGGTTTTATGTACAAAATATTTTGTCAGATAACAGCGCTACCCCATTGAAAAAATATTTACATCTTTGTTGACTTTACACAGGTACATATATTTAAAAAGCAGTATTAATTTAATGTCATACTACCATGGTTTTAGTACTTTAAGTACTATAAACCCATTATACACTTGAAAATCTCATTTATACTGTGAAAGTGCCCGGTAGTTACGATCAGCCATCGGAATTACCCAATCTGTCCTGATGAAAACACCATCACTCCTCGTGCAAAAAACCACAGAAAGGTATAATATACGCTACACTTCCTTGGAAAATCCACAAGAATGGCCATTTTAGATGCCAACAAATTATTCTTTTGTTGCAAGAATTTCTTTGTCACAACTTAATGGGTTGTATCGCTATATCATATTATGACAACTACCATTATCAAAAGGGGGTATCACTTGCACAGCTGAGTGTCACATTCCCAAGAATTCTTAATAACTTGTTCCGATTATAGAAATATCTCACTCCCCGATGATCATATGTCATGCCCAGTTCACAAATGGTCAGCTTTTTCAGAGATATATTCCATTTTAAAAATGCAATTAGAAAAATCTAGTTTAAATTTGCACGTCATTGCAGCCTTCTATTAAATCTCTTCTAGTGGATGAAAGAATCAATTATTTGATTTTCAAATCAGAGGAATTTCACATATTCCACAGAATAAACATGTTAATAACAAATTCAAAGCTGTTCCATGTGGTCATTTTCTGTCCAGCTTTAATGGGGAAACTAAAGACTGGATTAATATTTATATGGAATGAATTAGCATGATCAATCCAACACAAACAAGATTTACTGCTTCATTAGCACACAGAAAAATAAATTACCAAATTCTGTATGTAAATTGAAATTTGAGAGTCTTTCAAACCTTTGAAAAGACAAAGTCAACCAAATATTCAGTGTTGGCATTGGAGTTTTTAAAGTTCTTTGCTTTTTTTGGCATAAAATTTAATTTAGCCCTATTTATAAAGTCTGCAAATTATTCTTGAAAATTAAAGTCATCATTTTAACGCTTACAGCAGTTACTGTACCTGATACAGACAGAAATATTTAATTTCTATGCCAAAATTTTTCAACATTTCTGGAAGTTAAAAGATAAATATATTTTTTTTTAAATAAAAAGAGCTGGTACTTAAATTACATTAACTCTGCACATCTTGCATTGAAATATTTGTGTCTAAATCCAAAGTTAAGATCTCTTGACATTATGAATACCAAAAATTTCAAGTTCTGCTCTTACTTTTTTAAATCAACTATTACATGTATGTTCCTTTTTCAAAAAATACATCAATCTGAGTTAAAATTCATAAATTTGGCCTTATTCCACAAGGGAAAAAAGGTAAAATGAACTGCTAAATGAGTAGAATATTTTACATTTATATACTGGTATAAGATACAAGATTTACTGAGACCAATTCTGGCCCCTTGAGGGCATACAAAGTATAGGGTAACATACAAAAAAGAAAATTACAAAGATTCCATCTAAGACTTGCTCATACCTATATTTTATAACCAATCAGATTATCTCACCTGTAAAAGGGGGCCGAGAAAATTGAGTCATTTATCCATGTATTTACCAGGGACACACAAATATCTCTCTTCTGCCTTGTCACAGTAATAAATTCATACCACACTCCATATTAAGTATCAAGTTTTTACAAATTTATTGCCCCTGAACTTGAGAAAATGGCATTTGCCCATTGATCTCTAAAGCTGTGGCATTTATAAAGCTTGCTCGGAAGATATTTCCATTGACAAAATTTTCCCTGAAATTAATAAATGGTTTATTTCTAACATCCAGGTGTTTGGAATTTCAAAATTGAAATGAATTTATTCCATGGAGAAAAAAAAATTGTGCATTCCATCTCCAATGAATCAAACTGATTTCAATGAGTTAATTGAATAAATATATATCAGCTATGTTTTCTTACTACAATTATTACAAATTCTCTTCATGATGATCAACTCTTGTAACACTGGGTCAAATCCCTTACGTGACATTCATCATTTCTGTTGATTGATAGTACAACATTACAGAGATATTTTTATCATTTACTACTACAGGACACCATTACGGGAAATAACAAAAACCTCTTAATATCCTGACATTAATATACAATATTTACTGAAGGTGGTGTTGAATACTTTTCCAGATTTTACCATGAACTATTTGTACAAAGGAGACTTGGTAATTGAATCTTTTGAGAACAGAAGTTGTCAGTAACATTTTTCTTGCAGTAAATGTCAAATGCACTTCATGCAAAAAACAAACATGAAATATCAGGCACTGTTTAAAGCCTTCCACAAGTCAGGCAAAATCAGATTGATGCATCAAAATTGTTAAAGAGAGAGAGAATTTTTCTACCTTTCCAAAGAAAAAGTAGCTTAAAACAGATGATACACTTAAATTGTTAAAAGAAATTCTTGAGCATTAATCAACAGCATTTGAGCATTCCTGCATAAAACTCCCTCCAAAATTTGGAATATTTTCAAGCAGAAAATCAAAAATAAAGAGTTAAGAGAGCAAAATGCATTAAAATGCTTGTTGATTGATGCATGCCGTGGACCAATGTGGGCCGCTTTTTTCATAATCCTACCTTGTGTTCATCTGTCTCGTTATTGCGCGATTCATATTCAGGTTGACCACCTTGTCTGCCCACAGACTGAGCGTCGCTTCGTGATGCCATCCTGTCCAGTCCTGACAGAGAGGTTCTACTGCTCCCTTCCTGTTTGGCCAAAGACAACTGGGTGGAGAAATCTTTCAGACTTGTTGACCTCTCCCTGTGTAGTCGGGCCCTCTCACTAGCATTCTTTGGCTTGTTACTAACAGGGATAGTCTTGTCATCCAAGGACCCCCGTCTCAGGGCTGGAATACCAGTCACTTGGGAATGCTGGGGAGGGGAAGAATTTGAAGATGCAGCAGTAGACACAGAAGCATGGGAAACAGAGGATGATGCAGGGTGATAATTAGCAGCCAAGGTTTGCCATGTTCGCCGAGGTATTGTAAAGTAAGGATTATTGATATAATTAGAATCGGACAAGACTCGTGCAACATTCGACTTGTATGCTTCACTAGAGCCACTTACACTATCCAGACGATCACCTGAGCGACTCAAGTATCGAGTCTCTGCCAAGTCCCTTGGAACATCTTTTTCCATCTCAGCAGAAGACAGATCATGTAAACTGCTACTTTTTCTAAGCCCCTCTTGATAATGTTTGTCTGTCTTGTGTTTCATGTTTCGGACACCTCTGTATGTGGAGAATTGTTGTTCCTTGGATTTGACTTTTTCCACATTAAATCTTCCATTTACAATGGTCTCTGGCTCTGTGATGCTACTTGCACTGGGTAATCTAGCTGATGCAGGCTGAAATAAAATATAGATTTTGTAGATTTCTGCCGGTCATAAACATGTTAAGTGAGTTCAGATCTTAAATTGCAAATTCATATTTCTGGAATAACATTAATTCAAAATATTCATGTATTTTTTACTTTTAAGAAAAATCTTAAGCAATTGCTTTTTATTATTCTCAAATAATAAGTCCAAAAACCTTATATCCTTGAATTTTCAATATCAAAATATTCCTAATTCTTGACAAATGGTGAAATTAAGACCCTACCTGGACATTTTCCTTGTTACTAAATATAGGCATGGTAAATCTCCGGTTTTTGGTTTTGGTTAGACGGCCAGGGAAGACTTGTAGGACATCGTGCCACCTGGAAGTAACAATAAATTGTATTTAAAGATATATACAACAAAGAAGAAACTGACATTCATAACACAAGGACAGTATTTTATGATGGCATAGTTGAAATCAATGATGGATCATAACTGCCATGTTTAGAGTCTGGGGATCATGTGTTGTCTGTTTAAAATAGAACACTTATACATTAATTTTCCATATCACCTTGTACATAGGTATACCTTTAAGTTTGCTCTGATTGCTTAGTAAAATTTGACAAGAACCATGCATGGGTTTGTAGCTCTCTACTTGTTTGATCTGACATTTTAAAAATTATACTTGGAGAGAATATTTACAGGCTGATCTATCTTTTTCACTTTTTATAATAAAGTATTTTTGAAATAAACAAAAAGACAGAAAAATAGACTGCAAAAAGATCAGTACTTCTAAGTGGAACTTTGAAAAAAAAAAAGATATTCAAATTCTTCCAACATTTCATGTTAGATGGCATACAGATGTAAATGTATATCCAGGATTTAATTATTTTCATCTCATCTTTTTTTTTCTAACATAAATCAAGGTCTTGCAATTATCAAAGTACCTATACATGTATAACAACAAAGGCTCTATACTTGGGTGACCCTCTTCTGTGACCTCTGTCTTCCCTTTGAACTCTGGGCTCATTTCAATTATCAGAGGGAAATGTTTTACAGTAGCACTTATCAATAATTCATCCTACTGCTGTAATTAGCAGTATTATTGCACTGCATCTGAAGATTTAATCAACAGGCAGTGCTCCCAAGACATACATACTAGACATAACAAAATAAAAGTCATTATCAACAAGGTCAGGACAAATAATTCATTCTGTTTTCCCCACAATAATATCTATGAATCTTGCAATTTTGAAAGTTTCCAAGACACTGAATGGATCTTCAATGCACTCTAGCATGCTTTAGTTTTTCATCTCAATCTCATATATATCATTTTTGCACGAAGAGCATTTTGATTTTTATCTAACAGCTGTACCATCAAAGCACAACTTGTAGCCTTTACATCATTATTTTCTGCCAAAATTCTTAAATATAGCAAGAGTACATGCATGTCTTCCATTAGATTAAACTGCCATTTAATAATATCAAATATTAATCTCTAAATCCCCAGGTTTCACATGTATCAATTACCTATCAGAAATTTTGAAGATGGTAAATATTTACACATGGTGATATGATATGGTGTCATGACATTCTGATTGACCCACAGTGTGTCATCTCTGCATTGAACAATTTTGTCTTCCTTTGTCAATAAAATTATGAAATAATGATTTAAAATTTCACAGAAACTTATCTTTACCTACATCAACTTTAGCAAATATTTACATACACTATAATGCCATAAGAAGATTTGTATGTGTAAAATTTTGGACCCAGGCAAAGTTCACAAAGTAAAAACATGCTATCTCATTAACCTGCAATAGTTAAAATTACTTCTCCTTCCATGTATAATCTAACTCTGTCTTGAATTGGTGTGAAATGATATTGCTGAAAGATGACATTTATATATTACATGTAGAGCTAAAAAACATTAAAATTTATCTTTACAGATTACATAGACTTAGAAATGACTATTTTTTTAATGGAAGACCTTTAAATCACTCTACTGGGAGTGGTTGGTGCTTTAAGGTAAACTTTAATGTTGATTAATCTTAAGTTAAAAAAAAAATCTAAAGCATGTGGTAAAATGCTTTCTCTTAGTGTAGAGGGATGGACCTTCATTGAAGAAAACCCTTGACTTAATAAAGATGTACATATTCAATTATTAACTTTTTGTTTTTGTTTTATTTTTTTTTTGTTTTGTTTTTTCAAAGTATCTTATTTCTTCAAAGTTTAATATGTTGATAGAAAGATGTAAAATAGTGAAAGAGACATTTCAAAAGAAAATCATAAGACTTTAAAAGGGCACTTTGTAAATAAAAATGTATCCTGTCACTGCAGTAACAGGTTGTTATAATTAATATTAAATTGGTACTCTCTTCCTACAGCACAGATCTGAATGTACTACTTATGACTATATCATAGATCTAACTTTTCATCTGTAGGTGGACATCAGGTCAATATGAATGAAATATTCTCACAGGAACATATAAATCTAAATATAGGCAATCAGTAGGTACCTGTAATGTGATACTCAGACAGGAAGCCTTACTACAGTCTAACTTAGGTATATCAAACAATGATATCTGGAATACCATGGATATGTCATGGAAGTGATTTCGAAGTCCCAACCCCTAATTCTTCAGTATTTTACCCTGGATATCTCGAAGTTTCATCTCAGTCCCATTGAGTTTGAGATAACAAGGTTTGACTGTATATCTCAGCATAATGCTTATAATACACTTTACACTCTGTCCTTACCACTGATATTCCTCTTTAGACTGGCCTTTAATGTAGTATTTTTTGTTTGGCGTCACGATTTCCAGAGAGAAGGGATGGGACGTTACACTCTCAGCATCATTAACCGCTGAACATTTGTTCATATCAATGATCCCTTGTGGAATTGTTTCAGGCTACAAATTTAAAAAAAAAAATCAGCAAGTCAGACTGCACTGAAAATAAAAACAAACATATATTTCATATTGCAGGAAGAACTACTAGAAACAGACATGTCAATTAAGTAGGATTTCAAATACATCATTAATGAATTCCACATAATTCATAATAACTGATCCCAGAAGAACAGCTTAATGCTTTTAAGAGGAGTGCAAACACCCCATACTAGATTATTCCTGATTGATTAATATGTTATCCTCAGACAAGAAGACTACAGTACATGTATGTTTTATTTAGAAAAATGTTTGCATTATGGACATATTATAGATCAAATGAAGGAATTATAATATGAAATCGTTCTCCAAATATATTATATCTATCAAATTATGTGCACACATATCATCCAGCTATTCTTGGAAAATGATATCATGTTCTATTCAAATCAAATGTGTTTTAATTTGTCTAATTCCGAACCCAAGTGCACTGTTGTATGGATTTCTTCAAAAAACTAGCTCTCAAAATTCTAAATTGGAATGTACGCAGATCTGAGATCACAATGACTGTTGCGTGTCTGTATTTCAGTGGCAGTCCAATAATTTATCCATTAAATTTATTTTTTAGGAAACTTACATCCTCATCAACACAATACGTAAGTTCTCCATCATCAAACAAACGCATGAACCTCCTCTGCCACCTCTGAAAGAATAGAAAAATACAATTTGATGAGAGTTATCTCCCTTTAAATCACACCACCATACTCTGTAAGCATGACACAAAACCACAGTTTAATTTCAGTAAGCTACACCACAAGGGATTAATTACTGCTGAAATCCAGTAGGGTTAATACATTATCAATTAATTAATGATGCTTATTGAATTACTTATCAGATAATTAATCTTCTCAAGGGAAACTGCCTGTTTTTGAGGCTCCAAACAATCTATATCTACTTGGCCTTATCAATTCTCTGCCATATGCCACTTAGCCTTGCACACATTTTTTTTTTTAATAATTTGGTCAATTACTGTTTTAATATGAAAAAGATTGTAAGAATAAACAGCAGTCTTTTCATTTGTTCATCACCATTCTTTTTTGTACTGTGTTTTTCTTAGCATATTTCATTTTCTGTAAATATTTTGGCATGCATTTCATGGTGTTGGCAGCATATATATTGTACCTTGGTTTTTTCCAATGGATTGCTGAAGTCAAAATCTGGTGCCACAAACAGGAAACCACACTTAGAAACTTTCCGGGATGCCTGAAAAATACAAAATGACACGCTTTTAAAATTAAAACAATTTGGTAAAGAACCATTACATGAAATGACAGCATCAATCATACTTATTAAATCTAAATGAATTACTTCATTAAATTCACAAACACTGACATGACAAATACAGGCACATTCTCATTATATTCTTTATATGAAAATGTACTTGCTTGTCCTTTTTGAGTTATGTAATGTCTGAATACACTAAATTTCATTCTAGAAAGAATTGAGGATTTCTTTTATATGTATATATTTATCTATTTTTTTTCATATAGTACCAGCCTCACCCAAGCCATTCCTTGATCCTTTGAAGTTCTAATATAATGTGTTTATTCCATGCATCTAGAAGATACTGCACAGTGTGTGATTGTAATTACTAAATTTATTTATCTTGTGTTTAAAAACTTAAGAATTAAATATTCCTGTCAAAATACAATAAACAAACAATTGTTCACCACCAAGGAATGTGTAAATCTTACCTAAGCTTACTAAAGATCTATTTTAAAAACTCATTCATGTATGCCAAGATAATACTTTAGCAAACATTGGGGGTGAGCTGGGACTACTTTCTTAGTCCTTTAACCCCAATTTACCCTGGCCATTTCATTGATCAGACCATTATGTGCACATATCTCATGAGGACAATGCTATTTTAAATGCCTTAGAAAGCTTGGCTGTAGTCCCATTATAACACAGTTAAGCCAGCCGAGCTCAAATAGGACTAAGTCACAACTTGGTTTATATAGGTTTATTTTAAACTATTTGTTACAGGAATACAAAGCCTCTCTGATTAAAATTTTTGAAGTGTTCATTAGATAATGTTCAAAATCACCAATGTGTGAGAGATAATAGCCTAAATAGGTCAAGACTTAGATTTTTTGGAGGAGATTTATCAATGAACTGCTTTATCTTTTAACCCGATCTTCATACATATGTTGATACAGGGAAGATGTTTAGAAAATATCTGTAAATTGTGTAATACAAAATCAATGATTACCTCACTTCATTATAATGTTGGTGCTTTTATGTATTGGTTGAATGGGATTAAGGTTGCAATTACTCAATTTCTGGAACATCACAGTTTGTTTGCTAGGCTTTATGGATAGACTCAATCTGATCAGAATGGATCATATCATTGATCAGAAATGATATTTCTGTGTCAGATGTACTATTGGGCCATGTAACTTATGGTAGAAGTACTAAATTACATGCCCTGATCTACAGATAAAGAACAGCATTAACCCATTAATAACCAAGAACCATATCACCAACAGCATATCTGTCCCAAAAGCAAAATGCAAATAACCCACAAGATAGGAGATTTTTCTATATCTGTCATCATTGTTATTCAAAACTGGCCTTCGTCCTGAAAGTAGGCTGTTACCACACGCACCACGGTCATTAGACGTCAAAGTATGTCCACTATCATAGACTCCTGTGTGTGGACCAACTTATGTCCAGTCATAACTTGCCCCTGGGGCCCACACCTATACCTATCTCTGGTATGATAAATACCTTGACCTAAAACCTATCTGCTTCACACATTTCAAGTATGTGTATCACCATCTCTGATTACTCCTCATTAAATAGGAAATATGTACATCCAATATACCCATCAGTATGTTCTATTTGAAGGTCATAACTTTAATTTTCAACAACAACCAAAAAAAAAAAAACAACTAAGTAATATTATATATTTTCATATACCTGATCAAATTAATGGACATTTCTGAAAGGTACTGTACATCAATGGTACATGTATAAGATTAATTTTTTCATATGGTATTTTAATGTTTACATGTTTTTCATGTATTAAAAGAAATATTCATAGATGTAGTACTTTAGAAATATTAAAACAAGATGAATTTCAAAATACTCTCCCTACTAAATATTACAGACTGATTACCAACTCTTGTATCATCTACTGAATATTATGTCTAATAACCCCTGGAATGTGACATAGCTACACAGACCTTTGGTATTACATTGCACCTACACTAATCTGTTAAAATCTGGTCATCTGATCTTGTTTTGGATCGTTCAACTTTTTCTTTTTTACACCTGAATTAGCATAAAATATTTTACAGGTTGGGCATCTGTGTAGCTGAAATAATAAACACAATAAAAAGAGGAATGTTCTGTAAAAGATGTTATTATAGGAGTTCCCTCAAATAAACAACTATATTATCATAAAATGACATTCCCCTTTTTCCCTTTTCAAAAATGTACATACTAAATCATTTTATCATTTATTTATTTTAGGAACTGCTAAATATATAATTCAAATATACATGCAGATTTGTAAGGTTAATGATAAATCAAACTATTTATAAAACTATCATATAATACAAGTCTGTCTGCCATGTAGCAGAGATTATGACAAGTTATTATTTACATAGAAATTAAAAGTAGGTTACGGTCAGTTAGGGCTACTGACATATTTGCATCACCAAGAAGAGGCCACATGCAGTTTGTTGGGCTAATCAGTAGTCATGTAGAACACATATTCATTATAAAGATGAACCAGCCAGGCACAGGGCTATGAAATTTACAAACAGTTCTCCAGAGTAAGTGGTCAGTTTCCATGCTTAAATTCATATTTAAGGCAAAATCATACTTTGATAGGGGGCATGAGGAACTTTGAGAGTAAATATTTATTTTCTTTTAAGTCAGATTTCAAATGATACGTAATTGTTTTATGATTATCATTTTATTCCCTATAGACCCCTAATGAGGATCCTTTTTCCATTTCTCTTCAAATTATGAAATGGTCACCAGTTGAATGAGTATGAAAATATTTGTTATATAAACAATGAATGTGTCAAAAAAATTCCATACATATCCTTCTCCTAATATCTTTCACCCTCTTTTTTTGAAAAGACAGTGTTGAAAAAATTCAGAGATAAACATCTGTAGAGAAAAGACTTCTGAATGCATTCCAAAACTAACTTTATACCACCACTGTTTTATCTCTATTTCTATTCTGGATTTTAAAGAGAAAACATCATTATCTTTCCAATATGCACACGAGAGGACTCCTTTTTTCAAGGTATCTCTTTTTATCATGTGAATGTTTTCAGCCAGTGTTCAGAACTGGCTGTCAATAAATAAAAAACATCAAATGGAGAAAACATGACAGCTTAATTTCTTAGCCCCCAGTCAGGGTGTCCTTCCAAGGTCTCTGATGAAAGCGAGTTGTTAAATTCTGCCACCTTACACACTTCCACAACATTAAAAGTTATTTGAAGACATATACTTTAAAAAAAAAAAAGTGGCCTACAAAATTCGAAAGCTATACAATCTGCTTTAGCATGTCATGTTCAACATGCAACAAGGGGAAAACTTGAATGTCATTCCTTTGTATCATTAGATGAAAGTCACCCCTCTATGCAGTATAGATATATATGAAAGGAGATAGTGATCCTTTTAGAGCCTTTCTTTATTTTGGTGGTTGCCTACTTAGAGATCTAACAAAGTCAAGATACGATTACCAATGTCACTCAAGGAGAAATGTAAACAACTCAACAGGTGTCAAATACTATCCATCTTTTTGTCACCATCATTAAACATGACAATGAAATAACCTGGTAGAGATGTGTACTAAGATTTACCAGATGAAAATACATTATGGTCGTAATGGTCGCACACAGAACAAAGCTTGTGATGTAATCAGACATTCCCACTATAGACAGTATTTGCATTTCTGATAACTGTGCAGTCTCTGTCAATGTCTCTCTGCTTGTGTTATGAAATCTCAAGTATTTGTGAAGACTGATCCAATACGAGTTTTACATAAGGTGCACATAATGACTGACTGACTGGCGTCAACAAAACATCCAATGAAAATATAAGAATATGCAAGTTTATGAACAAAATAATGTTTTCTTTTTAGACTGATCAAATCAAATACTGACTCCTTAATAAACTCTCTCTCTCTCTTCCCTGTTTCTCTCTCTCTCTCTCTCATGATCAAGCATTCCTGATAATGAAATGAATGAGAGTTCTTGACAATGTAATGAGTATATAGTTAAGGCCACCTATGTTTGCCGACACAGCAGCATTCAGTCTGGATGTCACCACGATTACTTAAGTATGTAAATTATGTTTCCCAATACACATATGAACCACAAATCTATTTAATATGCAGCATATGTCCTGTATCTCAGTCAAAGGGTGAAACAGTGCAGTTATACAAAACAGATGTAAACTTTAATAACACAATCTGCTGATCCATAAGGAGTTTTTTTGTTGTGGGAGTTACAGATACTTGTAAGTGTCAGATTTGTATTTCTCGGGTCTGAGAGGCAGGAATTATAATTTATTAGGTTTCTTTGTGACCATAATTTCATTGCAATGCAGATACACACCATCTGGTTCAAATGTAGCGTAAAATTCTGGTATACCACTGGGAGCTTAAGTAGCTCACAAAGTGGAAAATATCCCACCAACCATGAAATATCAAACATTTGCATCTTTTTTGGATAAACCTCAAAACACTGATCACAAGCAAGTCAACAGTTTTTGGGAACTTCCTTGACCCAACTGCATATCAAAGGGAAATACATCTCACTAAATTTATTCAAATGACTACACATCTTATAAAAGTGCAAAGTGGTATACATTGATAATCATGACGCATATACATACTATTATATGCATCAGCTGATTGAAAAAATAACAACATCTGTACTAAAGAAATACCGGTATTTTAGCAAAGCACATAGAGTAATAACAAAAACAATGCCAGGCACTTTATATTAAGTTGCATGGAATTTTTTGCATGACATTCACATGGTGGTGCATTCCTAACCTGGCTATGGCATACTGGTTTGACAGCATGGTAAAGCAAACAATGTGTAATTTGTAACAGAAGCAGACCTAATTTTTCAATTATTGAAGAGAATGTGGGTCAGATTCCCAAAGATGTGTCTATGTTTCACGCAATGTTGGCAATCATACTTGTCTGCCTTACCCCCATTTTAACTTCACAATAGGAAATTATATTGGAGATTTCAAGCATGGCAAGTCAAGTTGTAATTGATGCACACCCAATTATATAACTTTAAAGATGTTAAACTGATAATCAGAAGGTTAACATGAAGATGACAGTGGAAATGCCTAATTCTGAATATCAATGTAAATCATTATATAAAGAAACATGAATACGTTTAGTTGAACTGTACAGTTATGTATTCCAAGTAATCTAGCTTTGTCAAAATGAACCTAGCATGTGCTAAATAACTTTCAAATATTTTTTTTACTTTGAAACTTTTTTTCTCTAGATGGTTTTGGAGCTTTCTTCGTGCTTCAGTTGTAAAAAATAAGAAATACACTCACCTTGTTGTTATGTAAAGCTTCTGCAGAATGCGCATCCTTTGCACCAAAACAAGCCTGACATTTCAGTTTGTTAAATATGTTGGGTTCGAACTTGCGACACTTCGAAGCCATGTTTGTTTACGTTTTCGAAAACGATCTTGCACACCTGATCAAACGACCAGGTGAGAAATTAAATTAAGCCCAAACTAAGACCCACTTTGTACATAATCCAACATATCAGCATATTAAAAGTTCAAAAACAACCTACATATCCACAACATCACTTCACGTATACTTTTTTGGCTTCTTTCCGACCCCGATCTATCGCCGGTGTCAGATAAGGTGCACGCGGAGTAATATGTTGTATGAAAGCGGAGGGATTTACGTGTTACGGTAGAAGAAATAGGTCAGATTGAGCCTAGTCTAGTGGGTGGCCTTACGCTTTGTTAAAGCAAGCAATTTAACACTATTAGTTATATTCCAAGCAATAAATTATTGGGCAAAGCATTCTTTGTTTGATAAAATTAGACGATTACATTAATTTTACATACAAATTCTGCTGCTAAATGTTAACTTAATGCTGAAATGATTTTTGTAAAATTTTATGAGTTTAGTCAGGGACCTATATACTTAGTACATAGGTCCCTGGTTTAGTGTAATTCTTCAGCTGGCCTTAATAATGTGAGAACACATTTTCAATCAGATATGTTTGTGACTAATTTATGAATTTGTAAAACAAATATTGCTCGAAAATTGACTTTTTTCCTTTTTTTCTTCTCATCTAATTTTTATCTTTTTCATTATTTTATCTTTTTAAATTTTGAAATTTTGTTGATATCTTGTTGAAAAAAGAAGTTTGTATTTTAGGTATTTTCGTCGAAATACATGCAGTTACCGACTAAAACTGACTTACACTTCTAAATATACAACTATTTATCTGTTAATTTTCTCAAAATCCACATGAGAGGTTTTTTCCCCGCGGGTGAGACCGACACTGACTTGTTAGTTGAATGGGGCATTGTCCTTTGGAATATCGTACAGAACCCAAATCCGAAGAGATCTATCTGCCTTTTCTTTTCTTTCTTTAGACCTATTTTCCATAAGCCAACTGCCTCATCAGATGAATAAGTACAGTCATGTTATTGAGAAAAAAATGAGAGAGAGTGAGCGTAAAAATAGTGCTATATATACATCGACATTGTTGTTTTTTTTTTCTTCAAAATTCTGCTATACGTGCCTCATATTCAGTCACGTTTAAACACCGCATCTTGTGAGCGATACATAACCGAAGAACTTGGGGATACTGTAATGGTGCATGGTGGTGGTGGCCGGGGGGGGGGGGGGGTAGTTCTCCAATATGTACATGTATTATATTTGTCAATTTTTAACTTGAAATAGTTATACGTATCAGAGAGATTATCTCCGGTTAAACTACTAAATCCAAACGGTGGGTCGAGGAATTATTCTTACGGTTCGGGCCCGTAGGAAGCAATTTCACTTTGAGGGGGCACAGACATACATTTTCAGTTGGGGGGGGGGGCACTATCAACAACCAAAATTTCTTGACAAGCAAAAAAAAAAAGGGGGGCATCAGCCGTTATTATTGAGGGGGCACAAGCATATAATAGCTATGTTTTCTATGGTATTCTATATATCGGCAAAATTAATGCCCCTCCCCCGTTCCTACAGCCATGCGGTTTGGGGAACGAGGTTCAAGTTGGGATGGGCGGGGGATAAGCTAATTTAAAAAACAAAAAACAATTTGAACAAGGACAAACTAATAAAGAAAACAACTGATCCACCTGAACCATTCATGTCTAGATCGAAGGACATCAAAGATTTCTTTTTTATTTAGGCTTATATGCCTACATGTCGCTCAACCCAGAAATCCATTAAAAGGATATACATGGTATATGAAGATCCGAATTCTTAAAGATTTTAATAATGGGCTCCGGTTAACATTATGGTTATGAATCGCATGCGCTTTTTTACTTTATAATGAATAAAAGTGTCTAGTATTTCGTGCACTATTTATGAGACATTATCCCAAATATAGAGTATAGTCCGATATATAGTTGCCTTATTTAACTGAATTTTCTTTTGATATAATATTAGTTTGTCATAATGACAAATCATCATCCATCTTCGCTAGCCAAGGGTTTCCGATCCGAAATCTACTAGATTTCGGATCGGAAACCTTTGGATACCGAAGATGATCGTCATCAGGCACGTAGTATGGTTTATGAAAAAAGGGGGAGCAGCCAGGGGAAAAAATTCTCGATAACCTGAAATACTTTGACAAGCAAAAAAAAAAAAAAAGAAAGAAATCTCCAAACTCCAAAATCCTATTTCATGGAGAAAGGGGGGGGGTAAACTTTAGTAAAAGCTTACGTTTGGAAACAAAGTGGGGGGAGGGGGGTGATACTACGTACCTGATCATAAACTTATTTTATGCTATGAAAATTAATGAAATTTAAATTCCAAGCTACAGCAACAATGTTACTATTGTATCTATCTTGTTTTTGACAACTCTCTTTGTGCTTTTTGAACAATGAACACGTTCAAATAATAATAATAATAAGAAGAAGAAGAAGATCACTCCTACGTACGTATCAACAAAGATGTATATTAATTAGTATAAATATATATACGTCCCTTGTACATCATTTACCTGTTTACATTCAAACGTAAAAAAAAATCGGGCTCGGTATTCAGTTAGAGATTTGCGTCATTGAGAAAAATCCAAATGGCAAAGGTAAAAGAAAGTACCAATTTTAGTCTAAAGGAATATCCGTTTCCAACAGAAGAAATTCCCAGACTTAGTATCAACAATCCAGAAACAGACAGGCGGATTGCAGCTGGGGTAAATTTTTATTAGATGTAACAGAAAGATTCCATTTATTGAAGCAAATTAAACTACATCTAGCCTACATCGTTTACTTTCACTTTCTAAACCTATACATTACAGTTGTCATTTTGTTAAGTATTTACGTTATAAAATGATATTTAAAACGTAACTTTAGAGTTTACATCATGTACCCATCAATACAATGCACTTTTACAGCTGTCATTTTTACCTTGTACTGTTAACAGATCAAGCACAATCATTTGATTTTGTTATACATGGCTTGAAATAGTTGTATAGCTTTATTAAACTATTCAGAATTAGCCCCTTCACAGTGACTGCGGTACTACTCTTTTGCAGGGCAAAATAATAACATTTGGCGAAGTTTTTGTTGACAGATAATTAAATGATGTATATTAACAATTTTACATCATTTTTCACCAAACTATGTCATTTTGTCCTGCAAAAGAGCAGTACTGCAATTACCGTGAAAAGGTCTATAATTTGATCAAACTATTTATATGCGGTTTTTCACAAAGATGTTTTTTGTAAGAAATAAACAAACAGTCACATGTATTTGACTATTCCTATGTAGACTATCAAAAAAAAAGAGTTGTAACATTTCAGCTTTGGAATATTTTAATCAAAAGATGTTTGGATAACTGTACACCTCCATGTGTGCACTGAGGTGTAGATAAGTATGATTGCTTCACATTGTGCTGAATTATTACCAGTCAGTTATCTTGTTGACCTGAATTGACCTCCTTTAAAATTTCATTCAAGAAGTAGCCGTGTTGTCACAAATCAATTGCTCTATATAGCCCCAAACCTTTCAGAACTTGTACAAAGTCTCTCAAGGAGACACAATATTTGATAAGTGATATTTTTAGAAGAGTTCAAAGTTGAATAACATCACTACACCAAGGAGCGATTTTCTGTACATGCTGAAAAAAAATAACACATTTAAGAAAAAAATGTGATAAAATAGCTAAATCAAGCTATTCTTAATAGCTTAATAAAGCTATTTAGCTAATTCAATCTACCGGGGTATGTAGTTTAATCAAAAGATTGTGTCAGACCTGGTTAACTGAGTACTAGGCCTACTAGTCACAGGCACTTGCTTCTGTAACATTTTTAGCTCACCTGAGCCGAAGGCTCAAGTGAGCTTTTCTGATCAAAATTTGTCCGTTGTCTGTCGTCGGCGGCGTCGTCGTCGTCGTTGTTGTCGTAAACTTTTCACATTTTCATCTTCATCTCCAGAACTACTGGGCCAATTTCAATCAAACTTGGCACAAAGTATCCTTGGGTGAAGGGGTTTCAAGTTTGTTCAAATGAAGGGCCAAGCCCTCCTCCAAGGGGAGATAATTACGAAATAGCAAAAATTAATGGCATTATTGAAAAATCTTCTTCTCAAGAACCAGTGGGCCAGGAAAGATGAAACTCATGTGGAATTATTGTCAGGTAGTGTAGATTCAAGTTTGTTCAAATCATGACCCCTGGGGATAGGGTGGGGCCACAATGGACGATCAAAGTTTTACATAGGAATATATAGGAAAAATCTTCAAAAATCTTCTTCTCAAAAACAGCAAAGCTATGATTGGTCATATTTATTTGGAAGCATCCACAGGTGGTGTAGATTCAAGTTTGTACAAATCATGACCCCCGGGGGTAGGGTGGGGCCACATTGGACGATCAAAGTTTTACATAGGTCTGGAATATATAGGAAAAATCTTCAAAAATCTTCTTCTCAAGAACAGCAAAGCTATGATTGGTCATATTTATATGGAAGCATCCTCAGGTGGTGTAGATTCAAGTTTGTTCAAATCATGACCCCCAGGGGTAGGGTGGGGCCACAATGGACGATCAATGTTTAACATAGGTGTACATAGGAAAAATCTTCAAAAATCTTCTTCTCAAGAACAGCAAAGCTATGATTGGTCATATTTATTTGGAAGCATCCTCATATAGTGTAGATTCAACTTTGTACAAATCTTGACCCCTGGGGATAGGGTGGGTCCACAATGGACGATCAAAGTTTTACATAGGAATATATAGGAAAAATCTTCAAAAATCTTCTTCTCAAGAACAGCAAAGCTATGATTGGTCATGTTTATATGGAAGCATCATCAGGTGGTGTATATTCAAGTTTGTTCAAATCATGACCCCTGGGGGTAGGGTGGGGCCAAAATGGACGATCAGTTTAACATACATGTAGGTGTACATAGGAAAAATCTTCTTCTCAAGAACAGCAAAGCTATGATTGGTCATATTTATTTTGAAGCATCCTCAGGTGGTGTAGATTCAAGTTTTTTCAAATCATGACCCCCGGGGGTTGGGTGGGGCCACATTGGACGATCAAAGTTTTACATAGGAATATACAGGAAAAATCTTCAAAAATCTTCTTCTCAAGAACAGCAAAGCTATGATTGGTCATATTTATTTTGAAGCATCCTCAGGTGGTGTAGATTCAAGTTTTTTCAAATCATGACCCCCGGGGGTTGGGTGGGGCCACATTGGACGATCAAAGTTTTACATAGGAATATACAGGAAAAATCTTCAAAAATCTTCTTCTCAAGAACAGCAAAGCTATGATTGGTCATATTTATATGGAAGCATCCTCAGGTGGTGTAGATTCAAGTTTGTTCAAATCATGACCCCCGGGGGTAGGGCGGGGCCACAATGAACGATCAAAGTTTTACATAGGAATATATAGTAAAAATCTTTAAAAATCTCAAGAACAGCAGAGCCACGGTTTGTCATATTTATACGGAAGCATCCTCATATAGTGTAGATTCAAGTTTGTTCAAATCATGACCCCCCCCCCCCCCCACCTCCCTTTTTAGGGGTAGGTTGGGACCACTTATGCATTTAAGCTTTTCAATACTAAACTGATTTTTCCTTTTTTCCTAGCCACAGTGCTCAGGTGAGCGATGTGGCCCTTGGGCCTCTTGTTTTTTTACCCATAGTTTAATAATAATAATTGGGATTTAAATACCTTGTGTTATTATTATACTATGGGTTAAAATGTATTACAGAAACAAATGCCTGTGCTACTAGAATCTGTTACTGTCTTAAAAGAGGAAAGTGCCAATGACAAAAGCATATAAAGCGAGGAATGTAAACATTATTACTTGCATGTGCTTGGTAGCTAGCATCTTATAGTTTGTTTTGGGATTATTATAAACTTGTACCTCAGATATTAAAGTGTATTATTAACATCATGCACATAGAATGAAATAGTTTTCTGTGTTTTAGCTTCCTGTGGTGATAGAAGATTCTCGTTTAGTACAATCTGCATTACACTGGGACTTGGACTACCTTCAAGAAAACATTGGAGATGGAAAATTCACTGTGTACAAATCAAAAAACAAACGATTTCAATACTTTGATGACAAGAAAATTGATTCTAACAAAAATTTTCAAAAACCAATGGAACATTTGGATTTAACATTTCCAGAGTTTGTAAACAAACTTAGGACAGCAAAACCTGGAAAGGACAGGTAAACTTAAGGAGAAAAAATTCAATTTTGAAGAAACTTATACTAAAAAAATCAAATTCACTTTAAGTGTTGGTCATTTGGTTTAAATCACTACCAATGATCAGTTTGTAATTGGATAGAGTGGACAGATTGATTTTCAGCTATATAATCAGTAAAAATAATTCAGTGATAGACATGTTTCATTTGTTTTTAGGTCATCTGAGCCACTCAGGTGACCCATTGCTATCTGCTTTCATCTGTTGTGTGTTGTCTGTCAGTCATAAATTTGAATGTTTTCATCTTATTCTCTGGACAAGATAAACCAGTTTCAAAACATTTTGGTGTATTGTTTCTATGGATAAAGGGTACAAAATTGTGCCTCTTTGGTAGGAGTGAAACAATTAACCTCAGTATCAATTCATCTTGGTAATTTTTGTCTGTTTGATACACGGTACAAAATGACTATTTTCAATTTAGTTCAGTTTTTAGCTCACCTGAGCTGAAAGCTCAAGTGAGCTTTTCTGATCACCCGTTGTCCGTCGTCCGTCCGTCCGTCTGTCCGTCTGTCCGTCCGTCTGTCTGTAAACTTTTCACATTTTCAACTTCTTCTCAAGAACCACTGGGCCAATTTTAACCAAATTTGGTACAAAGCATCCTTGAGTGAAGGGGAGTTTAAATTGTTAAAATAAAGGGCCAAACCCCCTTACAAGGGGAGATAATCAAGAAAAGACAAAAATAGGGTGGGGTCATTAAAAAATCTTCTTCTCAAGAACCACTGGGCCAGAAAAGCTGAAACTTATGTGGAAGCATCCTGGGGTAGTGTAGATTCTAAATTGTAAAAACATGACCCCCTGGGGAAGGGCGGGGCCACAATAGGGAATCCAAGTTTTACATTGAAATATATAGAAAAAAATCTTCAAAAATCTTCTTCTCAAGAACCATTGGGCCAGAAAAGCTGAAACTTATGTTGAAGCATCCTGGGGTAGTGTAGATTTTAAATTGTTAAAATCATGACCCCCGGGGAAAGGGCGGGGCCACAATAGGGAATCCAAGTTTTACATTGAAATACATAGAAAAAATCTTTAAAAATCTTCTTCTCAAGAACCACTTAGCCAGACAAACTGAAACTTATGTGGAAGCATGCTGGGGTAGTGTAAATTCTAAATTGTAAAAATCATGACCCCCTGGGGAAGGGCGGGGCCACAATAGGGAATCCAAGTTTTACATTGAAATATATAGAAAATTTTTTTAAAAAATCTTCTTCTCAAGAACCATTGGGCCAGAAAAGCTGAAACTTATGTTGAAGCATCCTGGGGTAGTGTAGATTTTAAATTGTTAAAATCATGACCCCCGGGGAAAGGGCGGGGCCACAATAGGGAATCCAAGTTTTACATTGAAATACATAGAAAAAATCTTTAAAAATCTTCTTCTCAAGAACCACTTAGCCAGACAAACTGAAACTTATGTGGAAGCATCCTTTGGTAGTGTAAATTCTAAATTGTTAAAATCATGACCCCGGGGGAAGAGCGGGGCCACAATAGGGAATCCAAGTTTTACATTGAAATATATAGAAAAAATCTTTAAAAATCTTCTTCTCAAGAACCATTGGGCCAGAAAAGCTGAAACTTATGTGGAAGCATCCTTTGGTAGTGTAGATTCTAAATTGTTAAAATCATGACCCCTGGGGGCAGGGCGCGGCCACAATAGGAAATCCAATTTTTATATTGAAATATATAGAAAAAAATCTTCAAAAATTTTCTCCTCAAGAACCTCTTGGCCAGTAAAGCTGAAACTTATATGGAAACATCCTAGGGTAGTGTAGATTTTAAATTGTTAAAATCATGATCCCCGTGGGTAGGGCGGGGCCACAATAGGTATTACAAAAAGATCATCTGGTGAAGAACAGCAGGGCCAAAGCTATTCAGGTGAGCGTTGTGGCCCATGGGCCTCTTGTTGATCAGGATGGTCATATATTGAAAATTTGTTTTCACGAGTACTTCATGACACTCAGGTGACCTTCAAGGCCAGTGGGCATTAAGATAGACCACAATTCATGTACAGTGGTAAATTGAGATGTCATATTATTTGTAATATTATAATTTTATCAATCGTTCAGGGTGTATTTACAACAAGCTCTCAATGAGGGTGTTGGGAAAAGGATTGTTGCTGATTTTCTTGGTTTCAACTGGAGTTGGGTGACAGAACAACAAAAGAAAAACAAGTTTGGTCCTCTAACCTCAAATCTGCTCCTCATTGGCATGGAAGGTATGTTAATAGGAATTAATTTGGAACTTTAACATCAATACTGTCCATCATTGGATCAAGACTCTGATCTGCCCCTCAGTGTCTATGAGTGGTGCAGGTGGCATGTTAAAAAAATTCCCCCAATTTCAAAGACCCAAAAAGCATGAATAATAATTCAGTTTAAGCATATAGAATAAAAATCTGACCAGGGTTTTGTCATATCCAATCACAAATGAAATGAAAGTACTTAGAATGACATGATGATAATTTTCTTCACTTTTATTGAATTTGATGTGATGTACTGTGACATCCAATGTCACCATATTTTACGAATTTCTTGTCTCTTCTGCTGAAAATGTCTGTTAATATATATGTAAACAATATGAAATAAAGAACAAATGCATTGGTCTAAATATTCTTTTTTAAAGTTTTTAAATTTATTTTGATATCAGTGTGGTCTTAGGATTTACCTTATTAATACAGGCAATGTCACACCTGCCCACTATGATGAACAAGAGAACTTTTTTACCCAGATCCGAGGATATAAGAGGTTCATCTTGTTTCACCCAGACCAGTTCAAGTGTATGTACCCATACCCCACCTATCATCCCTGTGACAGACAAAGCCAGGTAAGAGAAAGAGAGAGAATTCAAAATTTAGGTACCCTATTACTGTTTCCAATTTGTTTTATTTGTGTCTTGATGTGAAATAACAAGCACTTTCTTGGAAGAAAATGAAAGTCAAGTTCAAAGAAGAGAAATTCTAAATGTTTGGGGACAAAAAAGTAAATTTTGAGAAACAGTATTGTCAACATGCTTCAGACTGTGTGCCTTTCCAGATTTCTTTCATATTTTTGCATGAAGACAATGAAATTCACACTTTCAGAGGAGGAATTTTGGACCAAAACAAAAAGTTTTGAAAGTTCAATGTGTGAAAAACTTTCAAACTACAGTTTTGGTCACACTTATAAAATTACATGGTTGCTTTGCAATATAAGTTGAATGGTACAGATTAATTCTGAATAAAGCTCTTCCTTTTGGGGACAATAATAGCCATTGCTCAAAAGAACACATATTTCAATATTATTTTTTTCATTTTGCAGGAAGATAGATGTAAAAATAAAGTTTTTCTTAGCAAGGACATACATGTATATTTTAAAAATCTCTAATTTTTTTTTATCATTTCTTAAGAATAGTAAAAGGATTATTATTTTAGTCTTTTAAACCATTTGTTAATTTCCTGCCCTAGAGGAATTTTTATTTGTATACAGCAGTGAGTATCTTTCGTATTTTGGCAAGAGTAGGGCTTTTGAAATCAAGACTACATTATAGGAAGTCAAATGTGAAATACAAATGTACATGCATGTACATGCATACCCATTTATAGAAAAAAAATTAGATTTCAGAGTGTAAATATGTATGATAATTTAAAAATAAAATGTATTGGTTGATCACAGTAAGGTACAAATATTTCTTCTGCGTGTTCATTTATAAATGTACTTTTATATATTCTAGGTTGATTTTGATAATCCAGATTACAAAAGGTTCCCCAAATTTAAGGATGCCAAAGGTTATGAAACAGTGGTGGGGCCAGGAGATATACTGTATTTACCTATGTATTGGTAAACATTTTGTTTTATATATTTACATCAATGCATTTTATCTTGTTTGATACCAATGAAATTAATGCTTTTTTAACTGGAAAACGTTTTTTATCAATGGAAGTTTTCTGTTTTAACAAAATTTGCTGATGGTTGTTTGCCAGTGGGTCATACATACTGAGTTTATGCAGGTCTCTCAGAAAGTACCAAGGGTAGATTAATTTCTACATGTTTTTAATTAAAATCATTAGTGTAATAAAGAACCTACAGACAGTACATCTTAACTATCTAAGGGTTTTTGATTTGCTTTAATTCCCACAAAGAAGCAGACAATAACTCCCTCTGATTGCTAAGATGGCATTCAGTAATTTCATCTACACAACTTTAGGTCAAGTGTACACCTATAACGTGTATGATAGAAGGATAACATTTTAATGAATAAAATCTTAATATTTCTTTAAGGTGGCACCATGTTGAATCATTACCTGACTATGGACATACTATCTCTGTCACTTTTTGGTATAAGGTGAGTTAAAGGGATATATACATACATACATACATATATATATATATATATATATATATATATATATATATATATATATATATATATATATATATATATATATATATATATATATATATATATATATATATATATAAAATAGCACTATGATGGGTAAATGTGTAATGTCTATTCAAACATGTGCCAATCAATATGATTATTAAAAATCAAAATTCAGTTGTTTTAGCTGAAAGGTTACAAACTGATACTAATTCAGAAAAAAATTATATATAATATGAGTAAAAGTAATTTTATTAAATTTTGAATCCACAAAGATTTATTGAGAGAGGAGAGTTGTAATGAGACCATTTAATATTTTTAGCTCACCTGAGAGAAAAGGCTGAAGTGAGCTTTTCTGATCACATTTTGTCTGGCATCTGTTTTTCTGTTCGTCTGTAAGCTTTTTTTTTTATGAGATTCAAGTTTGTTCAAATCTTGACCCCTTGGGGTAAGGAGGGGCCACAATGGTGGATCAAAGTTTTACATAGCATTACATGAGAAAAATCTTTTTAAATCTTCAAAGCAAAGCCATGATTGGTCATATATATATATATATATATATATATATATATGTATATGTATATATTAGGGATGTCAACGAATATTCGAGTACTGGACTATCGTTCGATCATACCGACTTTTGACTAAATTTTTTTTTAGTCGGTTATTCATTAAAAATTAATAGTTATCTTAAATTCAAGGTTAAAAAATTGGATCTGCTCAGTTCATTTATTAATGTATCAGTGTTCGGTGTTCTCATAAGTAAAACTCAGGGAAAGGCTTAACCTGTGTTCGTTAATTGTTCAAAGGAATTTACCCCCCTTTTGCCTATGTACATCATGTTACAATGTCGTTATGGTGCTGGGGGTCAGATTGTGCAGTATTTTGCCTAAGGTACTCTATATTTGAGTCCCCCTTTCTGACCCCCATTTTGTTAACTGTGTTCTACTTCTTTTCGTCATTTACTCAATAAATGACATATTTCACTTCTACATGATGTTATTTGTTTTTGCCTGCTTTTAACAAAAAACAAGCTCAGTCATTTAGCAGGAGAATTAAGGAACAGAAAAGGATTTTTTTGTTCCACAAACATGCATTGACATACTTTAAAAGATCCAAATTGTAAAGTTTCAACCTGCAATTCCGTAAGATCTCATATAATGCAACTATCAATCAATGAATAATAATTAAACAACTGTTAAATACGTATTTGTGAATTGGGGGACAGTTATGAGCATAATTTAAAGGTGTTTCTTTCAGATATTAATATCAATCATTTTAAAATTGTATTGATTGTTTGCAAAATAATTAATATTAATTCTCATAATTAAAATTTATCGCAAGCTGTCTTTGTTTTTATAAGAGTTACGCTTTAATTGTTCAACAATCACTGGTAACTGACAAGACACATTCAAATGGCTTCAGATAATAAAATCAATAACGGGTACATGTACTAGCAGCATGAAAAGAAAGAATAAATGCAAGCGTTTGACATTCTGTATATAGATAAAATGTGCAGTAAATATTATATTTGAAATCCAATACATTGGATACATATTTATTTATTACTACGTAGTACTAAATGTTAACGATTCAATAATTCGTTGTATAATGGTTAATGGTTGTATAATGGTAATAGCGTATAGATTAAATATTATACAGGCTAGCAGTCTGTTAAAGATAAATAGGAAAAATGACATGAAAAATTAAATTTAATTTCAACGAGTACTCGACTATCGTTCGACTAAAGCCTGCGACAATTCAACTAAGTTGTCCGAGTAAAATTGACATCCCTAATATAGATATATATATATATATATATATATATATATATATATATATATATATATATATATATATATATATATATATATATATATATATATATATATGTGGAAGCATCCTCAGGTAGTGTAGATTTAAGTTTGTCAAATCATGACCCCCGGGGGTAGTGTGGGGTCACAATGGGTGATCAAAGTTTTACTAAGGAATACATAGGAACAATAATTAAAAATCCTCAACTGAAAAACAGCAAAGGCATGATCAGTCATATTAATTTTAAAAGCATCCTCAGGTAGTTTAGATGTAAATTTGTTCAAGTCATGTCCCCGGGTTAGGATGGGGCTACAAAAGAAGATCAAATGTATAGAAAAAATCTTCAAAATTCTTCTAAAGCCATGATTATAGTTAAAGAAATACGAAAGCATCCATAGTTAGTGTAGATTCAAGTTTGTTAAAATCATCCGTCCTGTCCCCCTTTCCAAGTAATTTGGGATCACATGTATTTAAACATTTCAAAACTGAACTGATTTCTGCTTTTTTCTAGCCAATGTGCTCAGGTGAGCAATGTGGCCCATGGGCCTCTCGTTATAAGGTTTCTTAGTAATGTCTATGAAATTTACAGGCTGGTCCAATTGGGAACATAGTTTACCCACTAACACCTCAACAGAAGGTGTCAATGATGAGGAATATAGAGAAAATGATTCATCAAGCTCTCAATGATCCTGATGAGGTAGGTGATTGAAAAAGGAATAGTGCATTGTCCTAAGTTACAAAGGGTCAGTTAAGGGGGGTGCAAGAGAGGGACAAAAATAAAACAGTAATTAAATACAGACACTTTGGGAAAAGGTAAGAGATGTGCATAGTACTTTTCCATGTTTGCTTCACATGCAGCCACCTTCAACAATAAGTAGTACCAGCAATTTATGTTTAAGGGACAAATTTTTTTGTCTGTTTTGATTCTCTTTTTTTTTTTTACTTTCAGGTTCCAGAATTCATGCAGAACATGGTACTTGGTCGATACACTGAGCCTCCTGCATAGAAAGAATAGAGGACAATTTTTCTATAATCTCAATTGTACTTCTTTTTTAATTATCTTCTCATTTCAAGTATGAAAGAATATTTAAATGCATTCTGCAATTTCAAACATTATTCAATTATTGAAAATTTTGTTAAGTATAGAAATGTCTTATTCAGATGGTAGTATTTATGCTTCAAAAGTCACTGGTTTTGTGTGCCTTTTGTTACAGATAATTGTCTTTGATGTCTTATTTTTACAAGTATTTTTATAAGCTTTTGAGATTTTGTTACAAGAAAAAGACATGTACATATTTGTTGTACGAAGTATTAAACAATATACTGTGTGGTGATTATTGAACTGCATAAGGAGAGTTAGAGACTAGCTTGAACTGTGATAAGAAAGTGTTATGAAACCAACAATGTTGGATATATTTTCATTTTCCAAATGTAAAAAGTTAAATGTATATGTATATGTGCATTATAGTTTTGCTGTATGATTTATTGCCATTTTGTTTTACACATATCTTAAGACAAAAGATGACAGAAAATAATTATGTTGATGTACAGTGTACATGTATATACCATGATATTTAGTATGTACCAATATGAATAATGTCACTTAAATTACTAACTATCTTCAAATGACCTAATGTTTTGAGTACATGTACAATGTAGTTCATTTTCTTATCTAATGCTAAAATAATTACCCTTGTACACCAATGTATGCTCTAAACGTTTTACAAGTAAGCACCTATTTAGTCCATTTAATTTAGCAAAAAATGTAGACCAAATATCAAACCGTTGCAACAGAAAATAAAATATTCTTTTGATAATAAATAGAATATAACATGTTAAAAATATATGAAGTAAAAAATGTGTATCTAAGAAAACTAATAAAAGCAGAATTACCTTTGGGAATACTAAAAGGGGCGTAACTCTGTAAATCCATCATTTTCTGCTGAAGTAATCGAAAGAAAATTCCTGTTTTTCATGATAGCTTAATTGATTAAATGTTTTTGTTATAGTGTAGAAGATCATTACTTCACAAAGAAAATGTAAAATTTGAAATGGTTGCTTTTAATTTAACTTTATACTTTTTTGTTACCTGTACTTTGGAAATGGTAGCATTTTTCGATAGCTAATGAAAACAGCATTTAGAAAGGAATAAAAATACATAAATTCCTTTAAATTTTGATTGTATACATTGATCATTTCATTTACTTCATAAATACTAAATATGATAAAAATAATTGTACATAAAGATTTAGAAACAAAATTTAACCCATGTACTAATAATGTCTATAACCTTAAAATTTTATTCTGAGGCATGGAAATGCAACATACAATCTGAAATGGGCCTACACATTTGTAATAAACTTTTTGCTAGCTATAAAAGGATCCAATGCATTTATGAATGTCATTATACACAGTTTAATTTGCTTCCTCTTTCTTTAAAGTTGAAAAATCTAGATTTTAACCAAAATTTTCTATAATGACAAGAGTTATGCCCCTTTCTATTGCAAGTTTATGTAACCCAAAATCCAATTTTGTTAGATTTTCTACCAGATTTATTCTGTGCATTCTAGAGTTCATTTGAAACAAAAAAAATTGTTGCAGTTGTTTGAGTTTTAATGATAAATTGACTAGAGTAACTGTTGGAAACAGAGGGTTGTACCTACATAAACATTTTTAAAAATTGTACAGTTGAACTTCAGTATCTCGAACACTGATATCTCAAATACCATGGATATGTCGAAGTGATTTGGAAGTTCCAACCCCTTATTCATTAAGTATTTTACCCTGGATATCTCAAATCCTTGGATATCTCAAAGTTTTTTCTCGGACCCATTGAGTTGTAGATAACAGGGTTTGACTGTATATCTACAGATAGGTGTCAGTGCAATAATTTAAACAGGTTTTGACTGACACATTCTTAAATGCTGTTCGATAAAGTTCTACAAAGAATACTTTTATAAATTGAAGCTGATAATGTTTATTGAATTTTAAAATTACCTACGTTAACTTTTGAATTGTAGTACATGATTTAATGTATTCATGTACCTGTTTTCCATTTGTGTTTTTTTTTCCTCAGATTTTTTTTTACTAAAGGCATTGCTTAATTTAATATAATTTGTTAGTCTAAAACACAGTTCACTATATATGTAAGTACATATAATTCAATTGTTTGTAAAGATAGATCTTAAAATACATGTAATGAAATCCTGTGAAACATAGTCAGTTGCTTACTACCATAAAATATGATGATCATCAATTATCACTTCTTATTTTACAAACTTGGAAAGCTTAACACTTGTTGATTTATGGAAAAGAACACTGTTATATTTTTTCTGTGTCTTTGAATAAAAGAAAATATATACCAGGTATATGCTACTTGTTAGAATGTTGGTAGTAATTTTCTAAATTACCTGTATTAAATTGAATTAATGCAGTGGAATGAATTCGTGCAAGATGTTAGAAAATGCAATACAAATATACAAAATACACTGTAGTCTTCATTTCTGAACATAAATTTAATCAGAAAGTTTAATGGTCTTTTATTTCAACTATGTAACTCATGATCCATGAGTAAAAGGAATCTGTGCCAATGCTAGGTTTTTAGCTCACCTGAGCTGACAGCTCGTGAGCTTTCTCTGGCTTCAGATTGTCCACCCATCCTTCTTTAAACATTTTCAACTTCTTCTTAAGAACCACTGGATCAATTTCAGCCAAATTTGCAACAAAGCATCCTTGTGTGTGGGGATTCAAGTTTGTTCAAATGAAGAGCTATATTTTCTTTCAAAGGGAGATAAGTAAGACATAATTGGTGACATCTTTTAAAAGTCTTCTCAAGAACCACTAAACCAGAAAAGATAAAGCTTATATGAGAGGTTCCCAAGTAGATTCAAGTTTGTTCGAATCATTGCCCCAGGGTTAGGGTGGAGCCAAGATAGGGGATCAAAGTCCTTAAAAAAGTCCTTAAAAATCTCATGAAGAACAGCAGAGCCATGATTAGGTGAATTCATATGGAAGCATTGCCAGGTAGTCCAGAATCAAGTTTGTTTTTAAATTCACTGCCATCCAGGGTAGGGTGAGGCCATGATAGGAAACCAACCACTTTCTTGTACATAGTTAGTACCTATGACATGTTAAAGCCTACACACATTATCTTATGACGTTTATTGTCCTTCACAACTCGAAGAAATAAACAATATCAAAGAACAGCTTTGGTGCAAGGGCATATTTAACATGGTAAAATATAGGAAAAATTCTTTTGGAATCTTCCTCTGAAGAACAACAGAGCAATAAATACTGTATACAGGGAAAATTTTGCACCCATTTTATTTTCGCCCCTTTCCCCCTTCTCACAGGTGGGCGATTTAAAACTGGGTGAATTCAAAGAACACAGTATATATTCTAGAACAGAAATGCGACTTGACGAAATTAAAATGGTGTAAAATTGGTTGCAAGTGTGAAAGGGCGAAAATAACATGGTGCAAAAATAACCCTGTATACAGTAATTGTATTCATATAGAAGCATTCACAAATGATGTAGAATCAAGGAGATAAAGGTTCAAAATGGTAATATATAGGGAAAAATATTTCAAAATCTGATGATGAACACAGGGCAATGATTATTCACATTACTATGGAAACATCCTCAGGTAGTGTAGATTCAACTATGATCAAATCATGGCCCCTGGGGACAGGAAGAGGCCCAATACATGTATGTGATCAAAGTTTTACATGGTATTATACAGAAAAAAAATCTTTAAATCTTCTGAAGTACAGCATGGCCATAATTTGTCTTAATGTCCAAGCATCCTCAGGTTGTGTAGATTCAAGTTACTTTAGATCATGGCTCCCAGAGGAAGGGTGGTATCAGAGTTTTTGTCCATGGAAGAGGCCTAATTAATCTTCTTTGTTCATCCTTAGTTTTCATGTAATTTTATTTTCAATTTTTGTTATACATTGTAATAGAAATTGAGAAGCAGAAACTGTTACACTTGTGGCACTGAACCCAATGAAGTCTGTCAACAGATTCACAGATAACATAAATGCATTATTGAGACATGCCAAAAAATTTATTAATAGGACATACTAGTAGTGACAAAATTTCAGTTTTGGGTATATTTCAAAACATCATACAAATTGCACTTACTGCAAACACATATAACTTATCAAATAAGATTAAACAATCACTCAGGTTTCTTTTATTCATACTTATTGATAAGTGAACATAGAGCAACTTCACTTTCATAGAGTTTTAAGCCGATTTTAAAACAACACCATTTTCTCATACAAAAACTCCCCAAGACATGATTTGGATACATTTGGATAACAACATTTGGATAAAATTGCAAAATGTACATACATGTACATTAAATCTATAACCATGAAAAAATAACTTCAAAGGTTCTGAGGGGTTGGTTTTACAAGCTGGACATGATAGAGCTTGTTATCTTTTGCCTGAAATCCACTTTATGTACACCATTCAAAATAACAAGCAACTGAAAAATATTTCTTTTCAATGAATAGTGTAAATGTATCATATAAAGTGTGTACAATATTTGCCTGAAATTTATTTTATGAAACATTCAAATTCATCTATATTCAATACAGCTGATTGAATGGAAAGGCAAATATTCAATGCATAAAAATAATTTCAATTATTTATTCTGGAATTCAATCAAAATGAGAATTTACAAAACATTCAAATCATCTATATTCAATATAGCTGATTAAATGGAAAGGCAAGTATTCAATGCATAAAATAATTTAATATAAACATAACCTTTCAAGCAGCAAATCAAAAAAAAAAACCAAACAAACAAACAAGAATCATACCAAAAAATTTATCCATAACAGAGTAAGTACCAAGAATGGTAATGTGCTTTACCATTTTATGTTAAGCACATGTTTTACAAGTAATTTAAACATAATTTTTAATTCTGTTTGACCTTTTTCTTCTTTTGACCTGATGATTGCGAGCCAGAAGATTGTGAACCAGATAATTGTGAACCGGATAATTTTGAACCAGATGGCTGTGAGCCAGAGCACACCAGAAGCTGCCAGTAGTAGGCCATACCAAATAAACAGGCACCGCAGACGATGACAATATATTCCACATGGTTAGGGAACTTGGTGCCACAGATGGTGTACCAGCTCTGCCCAGGTTTGGGTAGCTTCTTTGTACAATGGAAATCAAAAATGGCCTCATCGTACTTGTCAACACAGAGGTATTTATGCTTCTCCAAAACCTGCATATAGAAATTTGGTCATTATAAAGCATGGAGCTCAAATTTATTGATAATAAATTCAATGAAAATGTTATCCACAGGGAAAGGAAAGTATTTTGCATTTTAGTAAAAACTGTTTTAGATCTATCCTATGGTCAAAAATTATTCCTTTCATGTTCCCAGCTCCAACAGAGTTTATCTTCAAATACATGTACACATATTTTCAATGGAAGTTAGTTTACATATATTGAAATTCAAAGTTAAGCTTACATGACCAAAGGCAGTGTATACAGGGGTGGTTTCCTGACATGAACCAATGGTTTCATGCAAGCCAACCGAAACCTGGTTCTCTGGCTTGGCTGTAAACACCAGGAAGATGTACATGGAGTAGTGGATGACCAGAGCCAAGATAACTTCATTAAAGTAGGATCCTGGAAAATGAAAGTTTGTATCTACAGTAAGTACATGTACATATATTTGATTACTGTATTGTGTACACAACTGTCAAATTACATTTTATACCTGTAGCATTACAAAGTGCTTCGTACATCTGATCACTGAAGTTTTTCAATATCACATATCATTCAAATAGTATCTGTAACAGAGATACGTGTTTGTGCAATCTAATAAGAATCAGACTCTCAGATCTATGCTGTTTACACTCTGTGGGGCGAAGTTCTGGGGTCAATCACTTTCACCCGCCAGAGGATACCTGGTCCCAATGTGGGGGCCAAATTTAACAAAGACATGTTTGTGCCTCCAAATGGATTTGAACCCAGGACCTCTGGCATGCCAGTCCAGTGCTCTACTGATCAAGCTAGAGGATTAACCCACTAGCCCAAGCTAGTAGTATGCTGTGAATCTTACACCACAATACATGTATTTCTGTTCCTTTAACTGAAAATACTGTGATAAAACATTAAATGTTTTGTCTTATTGGGGTTTCATTTTCATAAAGCTTTCATTTTTTTCTTCTGCTTCAAAAACAGTGCTAAACAGAAGTCACTAACCCTCTTCAAGCTTAAAATAACTGACCCAGGTCAACTCAATTATACACTTAATTAAAAAGTAAAACTTTTCTCAATGCACTTACTCTTCTCCTGTTTATTTTTCTCTTTTTCCTGCAGCTCATGCCTTTTGACAGCTGCCTTTCGATCGCCAGCCCACATAATCATGACGTACACAGCCATCTGGATCCAGACACAAACCTCTGTGTGGATCTCGTTACTATCATGGAGAGGATGATACACCGGTAAAAACTGGATTACTCCAAGAGGCATGCCTAAAGTACCGGCTAGAAAGCAAGCCAGGGCCTCTTTCAAAAATCTGAAAGAACAAGATATACATTACTTTAATAGTAATTTAACAAATTTACATACATTTCAACATAAAACAAAGATACAATCCTAATTTGTAATCAAGAACTTAAAATGATACTGGATCAAATTACAGATAGTACTGATTTGACAGAGAAACTAAATTAAACTCTTTGTCTAAATATTTATAGAACAGTTAATACTCGCCCCTTAAAAAAAATGCAAGGCTAGATTGACTTGCAAAAATAAACTATAAACATAAAATATTTTGATATACAGTATCAGGGCTCCAAATTTGGGGGCAAAAACCCTGTTGAGAGAATATAAGTTGTTTGTTTGTTTGTTGTTTAACGCCCCTCTTGAGAATATTTCACTCATATGGAGATGCCCCAATTGCCGGTGGAGGCCTACAATTTTAGACCTACACTGGGAACTAAGGGCCATTGAGCAGTAAGGGATCTTTTTTGTGACAGCACCTACTGCGACACAGGACCTTGCTTTATACAGTCTTATCGGAAGCACCGGTCTCACATCCTGAGTGGGATTCGAACCTGCGACATAAGGATCAACTCCATACATCACGACTCTAGAGCAAATGCTCTAACCACTGCACCACGCAAACCACTATGTTGTTTGTGTACATACACGTACAGTTAAACATCAATTTCTTAAACATCAATGTCTCAACACACATGGATATGTCAAATTGAGTTGGAAGTCCCACCTCCCAACCACTTTTTCTTTTATATGCATACTTACTTCAATATCTTAATTCCGCTATATCTCAAAGTGTTTTTCTAAGCCCCATTGAGTTTTACATACATGTAACAAGGTTTGTATTTTAGATACAGTATAAAATTCAGGATTAGAACTATTCTCTTCTTTAAATAAATGATCAGCTAACTCTTTTTACTGTACTTTTTCCATTAGTAAATACAATTTCTGCAGGTCATTAATATTGATTTCAAGCCTTACCCGGCACTTTGAAGTTTTTCTTCATTCTTTGCCAGCAGCCTGTGGACTCCATAGAATACAAACGTCATTCCTGCAGCAAAGGTTGCATGGAAGTAGTAACTGGTCCAGGGGACCCAGTAATGACGGTCATAGATGTTAGGGTCTGTGTCATGCCAGGTCCACCATAACAGCTTAATGCCCATAATATCATAAGGTATGTCAATCAAGACAACAGATATACCCACTGTAAAGTGATCAGTAGCAATGTTGAAGGTTTGGATATTTAAGAAATGAATTTAATTTTTAAGAATTCATGAGGTACATGAACTACGACGCTTCACGCCTGCATATTTCATGAAGCGTGTGAAGTGTTAGCACTTCATGATAAATATGAAGGCATGAAGCATTGTAGTTCATGTACCTCATGAGTTCTCAAAAATTAAATTCATTTCTTACATTTACATTATTTTTCCTATAACTTGCCACATATTTCTGTCATTCAATGATCATTTTTGAAAAAAAAGTTTGCACTATTTTTTGACTTCAATCACATCACAATGGAAATATTCTTACTCATCCCACGATAGTTCATGAGAACATGTACTTTTTCTGATTTGCAAAAAATCTTAAGGAAAAATATTTGGAAATGAAAATTTTTAAAAATATATTTCATAATATATATAAGATATGATCTTTGAATATATCCATTGCTTGTCATGAAGAAAACTAGAAATATGTCCACAGGACATGAATGCCCCGCCGAGGGTATATTAGTAATGCAACATTTTAACACAAATTGAGAAAAGTGAGGTCAAGGTCAAAGGAAGGGTCAAGGTGAAAAAAATATTGATGCAGTTGAATAACTTACATCAGTATGTATCAGCATATGAAGTTTGACACTAATTTAAAAAAAGTGAGGTCAAGGTCAAAGGAAAGGTCAAGGTCAAAAATTGGTGATGCAGTTGAAAAGGTTACATCAGTATGTATTAGCATATGAAGTTTGATAAAAATATCATGAATGGTTTCTTTAAAACTGAGCTAAACACTAATTTAAGAAAAGTAAGGTCAAGGTCAAAGGAAAGGTCAAGGTAAAAAATATTGATGCAGTTGAATAGCTCTCATCAGTATGTATCAGCATATGAAGTTTGTTAAAAATATCTTGAATGGTATCTTTAAAACTGAGCTAAAAACTTATTTAAGAAAAGTGAGGTCCAGGTCAAAGGAAAGGTCAAAGTCAAAAAATGTTGATGCAGTTGAATAGCTTACATCAGTATGTATCAACATATGAAGTTTGATTACACTATCTTGAATGGTATCTTAAAGACTGAGCTAAACAATAATTTAAGAAAAGTGAGGTCAAGGTCAAAAGAAAGGTCAAGGTCAAAAAAATGTTGATGCAGTTGAATAGCTTACATCAGTATGTACCAACAAATGAAGTTTGATTACACTATCTTGAATGGTATCTTTAAATCTAAGCTAAACAGTAATTTAAGAAAAGTGAAGTCAAGGTCAAAGGAAAGGTCAAGGTCAAAAAATGTTGATGCAATTGCATAGCTCTCATCAATATCTATCAGCATATGAAGTTTGATAAAAATATCTTGGATAGTTTCTTTGAAACTGAGCTTTGAACAGAGCTAAACGCAAAGTGTGACAGAAGGACAGACAGAAGGACAGAAGGATGGAAGATGGACATGACAAACACTATATGCCCCAGCCATATTCATGGCAGGGCATAAAAATGTGTTTTTTGGGTTGTTCACATGGACTTAATTGAATATGCTTATCAATTTAAAAAAAAAAAATCATGAAAAAAGAATTGTCTGTATCAAATAAACTCGAAAATTCAAATATCAACATATTAGATAGCAATTACCGGTAATTAAACACTAAGTAAATACTGTTCTTTACCAGCAAATGGTTCTGCCCACCAGGGGAGTCTGAGGTGGGATACTCCGACAACAGCTGTGTAGTAAAAGAATGTATCTAAAGCGAAAAAAAAAAATCACATATTTAAATGTAAGAGTGACTCACAATTACCATCTTTAGTAAATACTTCAATAAAAGAACTCATCATAATGATAAAACTGACTTACATAATACCATGATATACAATGGTAAACGCTGCCCTGCAAACATCACGATTCCCTGGGCATGCCAAAAGTTATCTATATCTGGTAGGAAATAGCTGACCATTTCTGTTGTTAATCCCTGGAGAAGACAAGCCAACCATAACCATTTGTACCGCCCACCATTACGAAGAGCTGAAAAAGATTACCATTTTTCAATCTACTTGTATATTTACAAATCTGACAGTAAAATTATACAATAAGAAAAGATGCTCAGAATGTTTGCATGCAATATTCAGTGTGAAAGGCAGTATTTTCTGTAATATATTTATTGGGGAAATTTTCTGCAATTGCCTTGTTGTGAGCAAATAAAAATTCTTTCAAGCAATTTCTGAACTATGTTAAATTTTTCAATTAAAAAAAAAAAGAAATGATAGTACAGTTGAACCTCAATGTGTTCAAAAGACAACTGACTTATTTCAACTTATCCAAACTAAATGACATATTGATTTGGGACATGGAAGTTAAAGTGTGAAGAGAAATTCTTTATGCTTTTCTACTTTTTGATCTATTTTGGCAACTAATTTATCACTGTGACACTATATTATTGTGATGGCACACACTGGGTTTATGTAAAAATAAACCACAAGAAACCACAAGTTATTAAAAACAACACACACACAGTTGATGATTGTAAATACCAGAAGTCTCTGATGAGACTGTAGCTCAAGTGGTTTTTACTGAACAAAAGTAGAGAAAGGTAGTACTTGGACTTGAAACTATGGCAACAGCAATAAATAAAATAATGGTCTTTGGTTTAGTCTCTTTCTGAGTCAAGTTTGCAATTGGACAAAAAACTGTGGTAGGAGTAAAATTCTGAAAGATTTCCCAGAAATTTCTATTTTTAGTAACATGGAAACACTTCAACAAAATCAAAAACCAATAAAGAGAATTATGTATCTTAATGTAGTCTACTTGTGCACCAAGTTATATTGAAATTGGACTGAAACTGTAGGAGGCGTTACTGTAGCATTTTGAAAGAATTTCATGTAAATTTCTATTTTAGTAACCATGGAAACACTTCAACAAAATCAAAAACCAATTAAGAGAATTATGTTTCTCAGTGTAGTCTACTTGTGTACCAAGTTATATTGAAATCAGACTGAAAATTTAGGAGCATGGAGCAGGATTTTGAAAGAATTTCACAGAAATATCTATTTTAGTAACCATGGAAACACCCTTCAACTAAAGCAACTAGAACTGTCCAAAATGGACAAATACCCATGGTCTCTGACCAGTAGAGCTAATAACCATGAAGACCAACATTTACATACTGTATACAGGGAAAGAATCTGGGGGAATAAGACGAGCCATGTGCCCATGCCCATTTTTCGACTATGAAAGAACATTTATTGGAAAAAATCTCTCAATTGTTCGAATTTACTTAAGCATTTTTATGTTTGCAGTAGTTCTCAAAATGATATTTATATTCTAAACAAGCTAAACAGTTGACTTTCATTTACTGTCACAAGTGTCTAACATGGGTAGAGACTTCTATTTATTAATCTGCATATTGAGTGTTAACACTTATTGTGGATATATTATAAAAATGTAAACATTGTATATAATGATAGTGGTGATCTAGAAGCGCTTGTAGTAAAAATAAATAAAAACGGGAATAAAAGTATTCAAATATCTAAATTATAATTTTTATCTGGCATTCTAAATAATTTACTGTAAATGAGTTCATTACTACACACATATATATATATATATATATATATATATATATATATATATATATATATATATATATATATATACATGTATATATATACATATATATATATATATATATATATATATATATATATATATATATATATATATATATATATATATATATATATATATATTATTTCCAGTGAAAAATATGTTATTCCTACAGACATTTTTTTTTTAAAGTAAAACAAAATTAACTCCCTCCCCAAAAAATAAAAAAATAAAAAAAAATCATGACTCGAACACTTTCCTCAATAAACGTCCCTTTAAAGAGCTCCTCGCTAACCACTATACCACGGAGTCACACATACATACCCATTCAAATAGCATACAGTTCTCTATATTTAGCAAGCGTATTTGGACTTAGAATTTTTTAAGACCACAGTGAAAATTTAAGTAAGTTAACTGAATTTTTTATGTAGAGTGGGTCTTCATACCAAATTTTTCAAGTGTAAAAAGCAACATCTTTCCATTGCCTTTCATTAATCGTTCTCAAAAAAATGATACGATGACCCACTCTATTTAAGAAATTAGTTATATCATCCAATTTATGTCAGTTTTTGTGAAAATTGAGCGTGATGCCATTTTTTTTGTGTTAATCAGAATCATTTTCGCTGTTACAGTATTCAGGTTTTGTCAAATTTGTATCTAAATGGTTATAAGCATTCCACTAATTCAACAAAAAGTGAATCTTTTTTTTAAATGAATTAACTGATTTTTTATCGATCGTTATGTAGGCATATGGCTCGGCTTATCCCCCCAGTTTCTTTTCGCCTGTTTTATTTTCATGTATTTGCAAGTGTAAGAGTTTTATTTTCATGTATTTGCAAGTGTGAGAGGGCAAAAATAACACACCGAGGTGAAAATAACCCTGTATACAGTACTGTAGTTTGATCTTTAAAATCAAATCTTATATAAAGCTTCATTTAATTTGTATATATTTTATATCTGAGAACATGTACATAAAGTAATGAATTTCTATATCACAGTAAAACTTGATTAGTATGAACAAATTTACAGATATAATCATGATAATAATAGCAAATGTTTTTTTTTTTTTTTTTTTTTTTTTGAGATCCCCAACAAAATTCCTAACAATTTCTTGTAAAATATTGCAGTTATAACAAACTCTGAGATAGTGAACTTAGGGATATAGCAAATTGATTCTGTTTTTCATAGACTACATGAGGTTAAAAATAATGAAATTTAAATCTAATATAACGAATTTATAAAGATCTCAAAATTTTAAATATTGAATTGACAACATTTTTCTTAAGTACATGTATTTATAATTTAATTCATCACAAAAACTTTATTTCTTTGATTTCTTTTTACTTGAAGGAAAACATGTTTAATGTGAATTCATAATTTATATGTACATGTACTTAATGAATTCTTTATTATAGATATAAAACAAATTACAGCTATAGCAAAGTATTCACAGGTTCCCAGGAATTTGCTGTAACTGAGTTTTAACCTACAAGATGCTTGATAATAAGACATACCATGACACAGGCACAATATGGCATTGATTATCATATACACTTCTACTAGCAAGAAGGTGGGATGCTTCTCCAATATATCCTTGGGATTTCGAATTTTCACCCACCATTCAAACTTCTTCAAGAAGATACAAAATTAACCTTTGTTATTATTTGAATTAGACTTTGAACCAGAAATATCTGCAATTTTATGTGAACAAATTATGATCAAAAGAATTCTACTGAACCATATATTTTTATTCAAATAATTTCATGAAGAATGTTTCAATGTTTGTCTATATATTTGTTTATTTATATATATAGAGAGAATTAAATATCAAATGAACTTTTAAAGTCAGATTAAATTGGATTTTTTGGATAACTCACATTTGAGTCGTTTAAACTTAGCATCTTTCCTTTGCTTATCTCTCAATGGAAATCGAACGAGGGGGCAAACTCCAGCCCCGACTTCCTTGCCCTTGGTATTGTGACTACGGCTATTAGCACCTAATTTTGCACACACAATATGCACATAAGAATGTAATATTATACTCTTTTCTTAAAAATTCAATGTAAATTCTAAATGCAGCATCTAGAAATTTCTCCCGGTGCACCGGTTCAGTCGCAGCATAAATTCAAACGGGAAATGAATAACGCGATGTACAATTTAAAGCCGTTCTGACCGATCCCATTTCCTCCGAAATGCATGTAACTACATTTTTTGTTCGATTCTGGTAAACAGAGATAAATCTACCTTTCCACCTTTTTACAATATGTGAAAAGTTCTTTATCAGTGTTTTTTCATGTCCTCAAATCAATTTATTTTTGATAAACCTCTACCATACATGGCCAATCTCTAAACGTAAGAAAAAGTACAATCTGCTTTCATAGAACTACATATAGGGCCTATATATGGTAGAGTCTATTACTTAACCAGTCAAGCAGTTCGGGAAAATTGGTTAAGTAATAGACTCTTCCTATCTGATATAGATATCATAGACCGCAGGTGCTGGGGGAGAGAACACCCCCTCCCCATGTTCCGTAACGTTACCCCCCAGGGTTCTTTGACTTTTTAAAATAAAATATTTTTTCTATGACACATTCACAAAGTATTACAACTGAAAAATCCAAAATATAATCTAAAATTAGCCTTTCATAAAAATTCACACTCTCTGATACTTAATTGTTAAAGGGGGGGGGGGCACTTCAGGTGCTTGTGGATTTATTGAAATCGGATAACTGTCGGGGGAATAGCAGTTTGAAAAATTAATCCTTTATACTGTCACAGCCATCTAGAAAAAATGACGGACAGAGGACGGTCACTTTGCCACCGTATAATCTCGTCCGGTTTCTGACCAGTAGAGTTGAAAGCTAACTGAAAACTAATTATATTTGCATGCTTTCTTTGAATAGCATCAATCATTACTCTGCCATACAAGTATCAATTTATTCGTATATCTTGGAAGAAAACGTGAAAATCTCACATTTTTTTCAGTTTTGGTTTTCATTTTGTTATCATGGTAACCTTGACGTCATTTAGCTGTGCATAATTAAAAGCTTTAACATCATACCTTTCAGAATATATATGAGTTACTTTATGTAAATGTGACTAGAAATACTTTATGTAAATGTGACTAGAAGACTTCCTATTCTTCATCTGAAATTATTTTGCCAGTTTTGCAGAAAAATTGTAAAATCTTTGGGGGTTTAAGGGTTAAACAATACAAATTATGAGGAGAGCCAACACGGACCCTATGAAAACAGAGGTGGGATCAGATGTCATGGAGGAGTAGGCACTTCTTTGGAGACAATTAATGGCAAAAGCTTTGAGGAATTGGATCCTAAGTTCTTCAGTTTTCTCAGAATAACTTTTGAATGAGAGAAGATAGGATTTTCATATTTACATGTACATTACTTACAATACCTTTTAAAAAGAACTATCATTTTTGAATCCTGACCTTGGCCTAGCAGTTTGGCCTACTTATCAAAATTTTTTTCTTTAGCTATAGCTTTTGCTCCAGAAGAATCAGGGCTTTCATATTTTTTTCACATGCGCATTACTTGTAACTACGAAAGCCTATTAGGATCAAAGTACGGTAAAAAAAATTTAAAAGGCGTTATAACGCCTTTTCGAAAGGCGTTATAACGCGAAAAAAGGCGTAATAACGCCTTTTGAAAAGGCGTTATAACGCGGAAAAAGGCGTAATAACGCAAATAAAGGCGTAATTACGCCTTTCCAAAAGGCGTTATTACGCCTTTGAAAAAGGCGTTATAACGCCTTTCCAAAAGGCGTTATTACGCCTTTCCAAAAGGCGTAATAACGCCTTTTAAAAGGCCTAATAACGCCTTTTAAAAGGCGTAATAACGCCTTGTGGAAAGGCGTAATAACGCCTTTTGGAAAGGCGTAATAACGCCTTTTGGAAAGGCGTTATAACGCCTTGTGGAAAGGCGTAATAACGCCTTTTGGAAAGGCGTAATAACGCCTTTTTTCGCGTTATAACGCCTTTTGGAAAGGCGTAATTACGCCTTTATTTGCGTTATTACGCCCTTTTCCGCGTTATAACGCCTTTTAAATTTTTTTTTACCGTAGTTTGATACTAATAGGCTTTTCAATGTAACAGACCTTTCGGATTGTATTATATTTGACCTCATGAACTTGATCTTGAAGTTTGATGCAGATTTGAGAAGCTTTAATCTTTGCCGTAGTTTTTATTCATTCAAAAAATATCTTTTTTGTATGATGGACAGACGGGACAGAACACACAGACAAGACAGTTACAATATGCCATAAAAACTTGCGTTCCATCCACTAAGACACCGAAAGCGGGGGGGAGGGGGGGGCACAATTCTTTGTTTTTCTTATTTCTTCTCTGGTTGTATACTTTTGTCCGCGAGTTTTCTCGGAAACTACTCTGATTACAATGAAACCTTTTTTTATGGTTCTCAGACATGTATAGAAGTGCAGACGGTTAGTTTGCGAGCACGTGCTTTCATGAGTGAAATAACCGGTATATAATAATTGAAATAGTTATAACTTTCTTTTTTTATGAAATACTTTAAAATAATTGAAACGCAGTTAGATATGAATTAGTACTGTCAGGATGGTATGAAAGCTGGTGTGCGCATGCACGTGTGCTTCGATCGCGCTAGATCTATCGGATTGGCTTCTGCAAAAATCTCAATAACATTTTTCTTTCTTTTTTTGGGGGGGGGGGGCTCTGATATTTAAAACATATGTATATATTATGAGGTTTTACAATATGATATATATTAAGGGCCTTAGTTTTCTACAAAACTGGACGAAATTTAGAATATAGATAAGTACAGTGTGTCCGTACATTATGGTATAAAAAAAGAAAGAATATAACATGGACATGCAGGCACGCATGCCGCTGCACGTGTGCTGAATTCTGATTGGCTAATACTTTAATGGCCGTAACTTTCTTAATATACTTTGAAATATATTATATATTAAAGGGGGAGGAAATAAGCACCACCCTCAATTTTACCTGGTCTGGGAACCCCTATCAATCAGATAAAATTAAGCCTGAGATTGGATACTGAAAATTGATTGACATTTTGTTACCTGCTGTTGTGTATATCTTGTATACCTTGGCTGGGGATCGTACCGATCATTGAATTAACATTCAGTCTTTGATGCCTACCGCATACATCGTGATAAAGAAGCAGCTAGAGCTGGGTTTTTTTTCTACTTTATGATAAAGTAATTAGCCATATGTAATTTATATTTAATCAGTCTGTCAAATAATTAAATAAAAGAAAAAGAAAATCAGTCATGTATCTATTTAAATTGTAATTAAGAAAGGGGGGTTCATTTCACTATACAATCTATAATGCGGTATAGATTATCCAAATTTACACGTACATCGATTTTACTTAAAACAGAAAATACTGAACTGCATTGGAAGCATCGTGTAATTAAATTAAATAATAATTCCTTTTTATAATTATGAGATAGTCATATTGACCAAGTTAAAAATTTTAAGACGTGTAATATTTCTTCGAGACATGGTGATGAAAGTTACGGTAAAATAACCAGTTTTAAAGAGAAATAAGCAGTATTATAAAAGCTGTCATAGCATATACAAGTTATGTTTAGAATTATGGATCCCTAGGAAAAAAGTAGGATAAAGTGATTATATTCCCGTTTCGTCTACCTGTCGGAAAAACAATACGCGGATGCCATGACCATTTTTACGAAACATACGTCATGGCTTAATCACATAGGAATTATATTAAAAATATTTATCTAATTTATTATATATTTTCTACAAAATTTAGACTTCAAACAGGATTTCTAAGTTTTAGAGACTTATTCAGGACCGCGCTTTTTTCTACTTTCGTTTTGCGAATGACTGTTTCCCTCGGTGTCGCCAGCGTACAACCACAAATTTGAAATTTATTAACGCACAAAATTAAACTAAAGTTGTCTCCTTTATTCAAACATATTTTTAAAAAAGAATTGAATTAAAGAAATCAGTCTACATAAAAAAAAAAATTAGCATGTTTTATTTCAGAAATTTGACGATCAACATTTCGATTGACCAACACGCGAAGTTAAACAATGTCTTAGGAAAACATTTACAGGAAATATACAGGTAACATCCTGTGTATATAGGTAGGTATACACAAGCCGGCTTGGTTCCCTCGGGGCTTCTCAGCCGTTACAATTAAGCTCCACCCCACACCAAATTTACCTGAGGAAAACCGACCGGTTGAAAACCTCGGCCTTTAAGAGACACTATAGGATGATACATGTTTAAGTGAAAAATAAGAGAACACGTGCAGGCACGTGCGCTGGAATCTGTAGACTAACGTTAATTTTTTGTCATATTAACCTTCTTTAATTCAAATTGAAACAAAACATGGCTATATCGTTCTTTCTTAAATTTCAACAAAACAGGACGAAAATCAGAATCTAGATAAGTACAATGGGTATTATCAAAAAAGAATACAACATGGACATACAGGCACGTGTGCTGAATTCTGATTGGCTAATACTTTAATAATCGTAACTTTCTTAATACTTTGAAATGTTTAGTATATTAAAAAACACTATAGGATGATACAAGTGAAAAATAAGAGAACACGTTCATGCACGTGCGCTGGAATCTGTTGACTAACGTGTTTATGATATATTAACCTTCTTTAATTTAAATTGAAACAAAACAAGACAAAAGTAAATATCATGAGTCCCTACATCAGTTATATGAATACATGCTGGTGTGCTGGATTCCACTTAATTAATGCACAGTATCTTTCTAAGTTTTTGAAATTTTAATTGTCAGTATAAATGACAACTTATGAAAATTCCCGCATGCTCCTACACTGAATTGTAATTTGTAAATTAAAAGCTATACCTGTGTTGCTCTAGAAATTACACGGTACTGAGGTAAAAAAAAGTGTAGGTTTTAATATACCGTATAATTTAAAATAATGAAGCTGTGAGGAAACCCCGGGCACCAGATTAAGAGAGCAGAGAATCAGAGCCGTTTGGAGTACATGTACATCTGTACATTTCAATTGTTTATTCATAGTTTACACACGCCAGGTACAGGTATATGGTTATACACGTACATCCCAATTTGCGTTCGTGTAAACAATAGCTTTCAAACTTCGCCGCTCCATTGACCACAGATTGCCGTTTTTCTTGCCGCTCCATTGACCACAGATATTGCCATTACAAATTTTGTAATTTTGTTTTTCTCATTTAAAATTCATTTTTTTTTTTTTTTTTTTGCAAAATTACTGGGGTGGCGACCGCCGTCCCTGCCGCCCCTTTGCCGACGCCCCTGAAACTCCAAAGTCAAGGTCCAAGGGTCAAAATTGTTGGTACCCAAGGGAAGGTCTTGTCAGAAGGAATACACCTGCGAAATATGAAAACCCTAGCAACCATTCCAAAGATATGGTGAAGGTTAAAATTTTTCAAAAGTAGGTCAAACTCCTAGGTCAAGGTCAAGGTCAAAATTGTTGGTACTCAATGAAAAGTCTTGTCACAAGTAATGCAAATGAAATATGAAAGCCCTAGCAACAACCATTCAAAGTTATGGTCAATGTTGAAGTTTTCAAAAGTGGGTCAAACTCAAAGGTGTCAAAGGCCAGAAATATTTGTACCCAAGAAATATACCTTTGATGTATGAAAGTCCTAGCACTAATATACACATGTGAAATATGAAAGCCGTAGCTCCAACCAATCAAAAGTTATGGGCAAGGTTAAAGGTTTCGCGGACAAACAGACAGATGGAGAGAGCAGAAAATACATGCCTCCGAATCTTCAATTGTAAAATAGGCTAGCTTATGTATAAACTGTAAAAAAAAAAAAAAAAAAAAAAAAAAAATCTTTTAAGGTTGAGTTTTCTGTCACTCTTAATTTTCTTTTTATTGCACAATATTAGATTAGTTTTTTTCTAACTTTTTTCAATTCTTGACAATTTTTTGATTATAATTTTTACCCTCAATACTTTTTTATTATATCATCTTCTCGGGTGCTCCTTATACATAGGAGATTTCCTGAACTGAACTGATGGCGAGTGTCGACCCTTGTAATTTTTTATGTATGTTGAAGTATGATTAAAAAAAAATAAACTGCTAATTTTATGATTTTTATTACAATCAGTATATTTAGACAGACATAGAAAAGCAAAAATGCAGACTGTTGTGGTTTTTAGCTGCGCCTGTCGCATCGAACCACCTGGTCCATAGTTTCGCATTTGAATTATTATTAGTATAAAAAAAATTCCTGTCATTATTTAGCTTATTTTCTCAGATATTGTTTGTATGAAAAAGAAAATACATATATCTTATTAACCATGTTTCCAAACAGGACTTTTAAAAAAATATTATCAAATGACAAATTGCGGCTCCTCACGTTGTTGAGTTTTAGGAGCCAAACAAATAACTATGGCGGATAGTGCAAGCGAATTGGAGAGCGATACAAGCTCTATAGATGGTGGCCCTACTCTTAAACCACCTTCACCAGCTGCTGTTGAGCAGCTTCAAAAGAGAATTGAGTCGCTTCAACAAGAAAATAGGGTTTTGAAGATGGAACTGGAAACTTACAAGTTAAAATGCAAGACCTTACAAGAAGAGAAAAAAGAACTCCAGAAAGCCAGTGTAAATATTGTGAGTATTTTTCTATCTGTACTGAAATTTAGGTTTCCTTTTAGTGGGTTTAGATATGTTTTTCGAGTTTTTTGAGTTGTCATGGCCATCTTTTGCTGTTTGGCGCAATCTTAGTTAAGATGAATACATAATGAGTCATAACCATGCATAACACTTGTGTTACACTTGATGATAGGTATTGGCCTTAGAAACTGGTTTGATTACTAAGAGACCCTGTTGATATAAATCAGATCCAAACAATAAATACTTAAACTATTTTGTACCATGAAGATCCTATAATAGTACTGGACACATTGTAAGTTACAATTATTTTTAGAGATGACAGTCTTAACAAATTGTGGTGAAATTTATTTTTATCTGATTCTTCATGGCAATAATACTGAGATTTGATCATTTGAAAAGTTTTTTTTTTTTAAAACAAGTTATTCCTTTTCACTATAATTGTTGGCTTCTAAAATATGTTGAAATCATATTAATTCTTTTGTTATAGTCAGGTTAATATTGTACTAAAGAAAGAAGCAAAAAGTTATTGCTAAATAATCAGTCCTAAGCAATATCTCTGCATCACTTCCTTTTGAAGTCTAAAGTAGTAAGCTGCCTCCAAAAACTAGGTTTGAAGACAGCTAGTAAATGCTGGAGTTTTAAATGGAATCTATTATCCTTTTCCTTTGAGGTGCAGTTCATCATAGTTCCAAATACAGCACTTGTGCATCTGTACCTAAATCTTGTCATGCAATATGTTTTCAATGAATGATATACTTTTGAAGTATCATCTGTCATATATTTTGTCAATGCTGAAAATAAATGTCATAAGAGAAGATACTCTTTTATATTATTAAAAAACTAATTACCTTAATTATTTCAAAGGAGTGGGAGATGTAATCCATATTTTCTTTAGAGAACATTTAAGTTAACAAAAATACTGAGGGGGCATACCTCCCCCCCCCCCCCCCCCCCCCCCCCCCAAGCTTCACAGTCATGAAAAAACTCGAAAAATACAGATATAATTGATTATTGCTATAATGGTCAAGTAGACATGGATATAATACATTTGTGTTGTACAATTGATTTTATTGTCCCAGAGGAGAGTGTTATCAAATCATCTTTCTTGCATTTCACACAAGTTGTCAGCATTTATTTGTGTTAAATAAGATAGCATGGAAAACCTCTGGTCATGCTGACTATGGTTAGACTTACTTTATTCAAATGTTCTTCTTGGATGAGTTGCATCTTTTGATGAATAATTATGAAATCTTAAAAGTTGCATGCTTGTTCCTGTAGCATTATTATTAATATATTAAGATATAGATCACAAACAAATGTGTTTGAAGAAAGGTTTGTTTATTGATTTTCTCTGGAATCAGTATCAGTTGCACATAATGTTGCAAATGGAATTTTGAAGATCTTTATGAATCTAGATGATGTATCTGCTATTATTTTATATCTTATCAGAGATCTATCCCTGAGGCAAAGAATCAATCAGAACCTTCTCTTGAAGCTGCAGTCATTTGATTTTGTTGTTACATGTACACACTGACAACATTTTGTAATGATTAAAACTTCATAATGAATTTCAATCCTGCTGGTTAGGGCCTAATTATTTGAAAAGGAAACTAATGGCTTGAGAACTTAAACTTTATTTTAGAATTCTAAAATTACAACTTGCACACTCATTTCACTGCAGAAATATTGTTATTTAATTTGTTCTAAATTACTTGCTGCTTACACTGCATTGAACCACGTTAAACATGATGGTTACTGTGTAAAAAGTAAAAATAAAGTACAGTACAGTAAATCTTTTTTTTTCATTCCTAAGAACTTTTATTTTCCCATTATTTTGTGATACCATCTGCTCGTGAAAATTTCTTTTTCATGTAACTTATAAGTATTATTATGAGTATTATTATCATGTAACTTATAAGTATTATTATGAGTATTATTATCATGTAACTTATAAGTATTATTATGAGTATTATTATCATGTAACTTATAAGTATTATTATGAGTATTATTATCATGTAACTTATAAGTATTATTATGAGTATTATTATCATGTAACTTATAAGTATTATTATGAGTATTATTATCATGTAACTTATAAGTATTATTATGAGTATTATTATCATGTAACTTATAAATATTATTGAAGAATATAAACAATAACCAAAGACATGAAAAATTCGTCTCCCTTAAAAATCACAAATAATATTCTTGCAATAATCTGGTGATCTACAGTTTTCAATCACCAATCTCTTGGCATAGAGGTATTAAGAGGTACATGTTTTTGGGTAGGACCCAAAGAATCTGATAAAGATAATCAGAAATTTAAAAGATTTTCTAGAATTCATAGAGCTCCGAATCCTTGACTTTGCATACACTTGTGTATATTTGATAAAGAGAATTTGTAAATAAAATCTACTCAATGGGGGCATATATTATTATGGTGATAGATGCAGAGAAAAGAGAACTAAAAACTCAGTCTTGGAATATGATACTATAATGATTCTATTCAAAATTTTTTTCTGGTAAATAGGAATATAGGATTGTAATGTCATAAAATGTAAATATATTCAATTGAAACATTTGATTTGTTTAATGTATCTAATAAGAGCATAATATTTTTGAAGATTCAAAGGGTTTAAGAATGAAATGATATAAAAGAGTAAGATATTATCCACAAGTATTTGAATATTGATCAGTGTTTGTCTGCTTGGGAGTGTTTTGGCTGTCTGGTATTTTAATCACCATGAGATCAGTGTGTGTTTAGTAGAAAGGCTAGAAACCGACATTCTCTAAAAATTTCCTCATCCCCTCCAAATTTTTCAGAGAAATAAGACTTATTTTAGACAATTACAGCAGTGTTATTGATATACCGGTACATGCTGCAAACAAAATGTTCATTTTTCCTCCCAAACATGTTACTTCCAAGAAAGATCCAGTAGATTGAGGAATATGACTGTGGCCATAGGAATCATAAAGGGATTCTGAGGTTATGTGGAAATGTTGTTTTTATATGGCCACTGACTGATTTAATGCAGATTTCTATGGCAATCTGATAAACACTATGTGAATAGAGATGTAGGAAAGCTCTGACTGATTGAGATTGCATAAATATCTTATCTCATTTTATCTTACACAGTTCTGTGTATGAATTATAGCATTCATCTTCAGTAGTCTAAGGCATGTGCCACACTGCATGGACATGATTTGTAAATTATGTTATATATGGGGTCATTTTTGGGGTTAGATACATTGTACTGCTGTAAGCATTAATCATATTACAAAGGAAAAAAAATGAAGGAAGTTTTATCTTAGTGACAAGTGCCAATGTTATTTTTGGGGGGAAAATGTAAAAAAAGTTCTATTTTAGATATTTCAAGAGGGTTCCATGAAGAACCCTTTATTGAGATATTTGATTTAATTTGTAGAAATTTAATTTAATTTAAATAATTGTTGCTGATTCATTCCTTTACAATTGAAACTGAATTATGTATATCTCCAACAAAAAAAAAAATACAAGGTTGTTACCATGACAATGATGAATACTTTAAGTTATATAATATGAAATATGAAATATATATCTGAAATATAAGCAAGGAGATGTCTTTCATAGGTCTAAAGGGTGCTAACAGTCCCAAGTCTTATATCAATAGAATATTGATAAAATTAAAAATTTAAATTCATGTGGCAAATGATTTTCATTATTTAGCAAGCTAGGGCTGAACAAGAGGAGGAATTTATTAGCAACACCCTACTGAAGAAAATCCAGGCTCTGAAGAAGGAGAAAGAGGCACTGGCCATGAATTATGAACAGGAAGAAGAATTTCTAACAAATGACCTCTCAAGAAAACTACACCAGGTATGTTGCAGTGACATTGATCAACATATGGACTTGGTTCATAGAGGTGCTACAGTACAACTTGCTGAAACCAGATGTTGTGCATTCCAGCATGTTGTGTAATCCGTCAAAATGTTTCAGTCCACAAATATTCCTTTATATTTCTAAAACATTCTCTAGTCCAGATTTTATATAATACAGTGAAATTTTTGGAAGCATTGATTGCAGGTTTTACTGTACATGATTGAACACTGTTAATTTTGTTTGCATGCAATGTTAGTGTTCAGTTTGGCTCATTACAAAAATATAGGGATGTCAATTTTGTCAATAATTAATATTCGAATATTCAATGAAAGTATTCGAATATATTCGAATATTCGATAAAATAAATAAAATCTGGGTTTTTTTAAAATATGCATCATCCTAATCTCATGAAAGGTTTAGCGTAGGTATTCTTATATTGGAAGTAAAATTGTATGAAGACTTTTGTAGATGTACAATAAGGAATTCCATTTTATATTTGTCAATGCTTGAAATAAATAATTGATTTAAATGTAGAAAACTATAATTTTAACGAATGAAACGTGTTTTATAGTAGCTCCGAGGAACCAGACGTCTTACCAAAGGCAGGATAGTCGTATACTGTTCAGATTTCAATATATGTAATTTTAAAATTACAATTATCAACCTAATAAGAGATATGATTATAATCTTTGATACAATGTTTTTAAAATATAAACAAATATTACCATAGACAATTTTTCTAGGTAATTAACTAATTTCCTGATAATGAATATAAAATTCAGGATTATGTACAACCCGAGATAATCAAGTAATTTACATATTTATTCTGAAATTGAGCCCTTTACAATATTAATTACAGACTAATTCTATCGGACAATCATTCAATGATCAATTAAATTTATTTTGATAAGTACATGTATACTCTTCAGGTCTTTTAGACATTCTGCGAAAGTTTTTATTTTGTTGTCCTCAATTCTAGATCCGATCGTATTTATTTAATAAAAACTATGAAAATACGTTTTGTATTGTACGTAAAGCATTGTTGTATAATTCTTTAATACCTTATTCAAAACAAAATAATTTAATAGATATATACGATAAGAAAGTACTGAGAGAAATCAGGCGATCGAAATTGATCGCTAGTAAATTAAACAGTGATAATTCCAGCACTGTTCTAATCAAAATTTATTAAACACAGTACTTCTTTTTATGAAATCTGAAAAAACACCGAATATTCGAATCTTAAATTCATATTCGAATATCAACTCATCGAATGAATATTCGAATGTTCGAATATTCGTTGACATCCCTACAAAAATATGAATTAGGGTAATATAAAATTGGTGTTTAAATCTTTGAGTAACCCATGTGTATAATTCTGTATCAGCAATATAAAAATGCCATTTCATACATTACTTAAATCCATCCTTTTGGTAACAACAAGGTCACTGAACTGCAATTTACTTACAACTGAATTCATTTAAAGGGCACAAAAAATAAAATCAAGGAGACAGTCATTTTATTATAGATTAAATCGGCCATACTTTTAATCTGACCAAGCACCATGATTAAAGCCCTGAAGTGTGGCATGTTCTATTATCATCTTGCCAAAATACACTAGGAAAAAAAAAGAAGGAAAAAAAAGAGAGAGAACATTCCCTCTGCTGTTATGAATTCAATTTCATGGATAACACAGTTGAAAAAAAAGTTTGTATTGCAGCTGAGACAAGAGAAAGTAGAACTAGAACAAACTCTGGAGAAAGAGCAGGAGTATCAGGTGAACAAACTAATGAGGAAGATAGAGAAACTGGAGAGGGAGACACTGTCTAAACAAAGCAACTTAGAACAGGTATATCAACATCACCAGTTTACCAGCCAACCCCTACCCTTTAAGTTCATATGTAATAGGGCTAAGTTGTTAGAGATCATAAGTTTGTGCAGTATTTATATTATTGAACAGTGGAAATGTTAAATTTTTATTCAAATTCAATATTGAACAAAAGACAGGTACTTCACAATGTTAAAACTGATATGCACAATTTGAACTGCTGGTAATCTTTTTCACTTCTGTTGTTGGGAAGGGTGGGTGGTGGATGAATGCAGGATTATTCATATGTAGTTTTCACAGTCTAAAAATGGGAGGGGATCCAGTCATTTTGAAGCTAGTTGTAAAACAGTAACATTGAAGAAATTTCTCAAAAGGGCTTAAATATAAGAAAACTTATAGAATGAAAATTTAACATGCAATGCACTTAGCAGAATGGATGAGGTCATAAATCAACAAAAGAAATACAAATCTGTGATTGAATATTCAGGCATTTTTATGATGCACAAAGAGGTTTATCAATATTGAGTGGAACTTGGACAAAGTTTTTTGCCAGAAGAGTTCAGCTGAAGTCAGGCATTACCTGATTTCAGCTGATAGGGTGGAGAGTCTTGACAGTTTTGTTTTTACAGCTTAGATTGGCTCATATCTCTAAGAGTACACTTGTCCATTGGGCTTTGACAGGAAAAACACTTGATCATTGCATGATTTTGTTTGTGCCTGTGGCAGTGCTGTGATAAAGTGCAATTTTTGATTAAAATCTCCGTGAACAATGTAAAATTAAATGTTGAAAATATAATCTTAAGAAGAATCAGAAGATAACAAGGTTTTTAACAATGGCACAGGTCATGAAAGGCTTATCACCAAAGTTGCAGTAAAATTATATGGGTGGTTATGTGGATCATATTGTAAAATGATCTTGTATTAGTTCTTCTGTTTTGATGGAGAGTGCACAAAAGATTGAAGTGAAATTCGATATTTCTATTTTAATCACAGTTGTGATACACCATTAGACAAGTCATATTACAATTGAAATGCACTTAAAAAATAAATAATTGAACAGGGGTCACAAGTGTCATTTGATATAACAAAGAAAGTTTAAGCTAGGAAATGAGATACAATAAAAGAAAGCCAGTGACATTTATCATAACAAATTCAATCTGTTTTTTTCCAACAGCTGAGAAGAGAGAAGGTGGAATTAGAGAATGCTCTTGAACAAGAACAGGAATCTTTGGTGAATCGCCTCTGGAAACGAATGGATAAATTAGAGACAGAGAAAAGGTTACCCTGAGTGCTGAATACTTCTTAATGCTTTATGCCTTATGTCATTGATTTATATGACCTACAGAGCAGAGGTTATGCATAAGTCACTTTAACTCAAATGTCACCATATCTCTTGGGTTTTAATTAAATTGTTTTTTGACTAGGGTGCTTTCTCTGACTTGTATGTCATTAAAATTTATGATTTTTTGCACCACATAAGTAATGATCTTAAGATTCAGATATATCTGATAAGTAATATTACGGAAATCACAAATTGTAGTATGTGGTTATTTAAAAGAAAAGTACTTGATTATTGATAACTCAATTTTAGATTGTTACAAGAGAAGCTGGACCAGCCTGTGACTGGACCCCCCTCCCCACGGGATATCAACAACGGGGACACAGCTCAAAACATCACTGACCACATTGCTAAACTTCGTAAGGAAGTTGTCAGTCTCAAGTCCAACCTTCGAGCTGCCCAGATTGAACGTGAGTATTACAGCTGTACCTGTCTTTCACATTCTAGAAATTAAAGATCAGAGGGCATACCGTTTCAGCAGTTTCTCACTTTTACCAAAGGAATTAATAGTAGAAAAATGAAACTGATATCAAAAGTGAGCTCATCTAAGTTTTATGGCCCCGGAGCCTGATCTTTCTGTATGCTTGTGTCTCTTCCCTAACTGTATTCGTAGCGAGGATTATTTAAGAACTTTATAATTGGTCAGTCTTGAGGTTTTATGTCGGATTGAGGTCATATTTTATAGATTATCGTGATTATTTAAGAACTTTATATTTGGTCAGTCTAGAGGTTTTATGTTGGATTGAGGTCATATTTTATAGATTATCACTGTGGACATTGTGTCTCACAAGTTCATTCTGTTGTTGTTACAATATTTGTGAGATGTCAGTGTATTGATTTTTCTTCATAATATGTATGTATCTAGTGAGTTTGGTAAAAGATGAATTTGAATTAGGCTGAAAGAAAGAAGCCTAATGATGTATATATCTAAGCTTTGTTGAACTCAAACATAGCTTTCTTAATTATAAGATGTATTCTTTTCAGAATGTGATTTGGTGTTTGTTTAATTAAAAGCATCGTAAAACATCTTTTATTATCATCTGCAGACAATCAGTATTAGGGCTTTTATTAAAGCTTTGAAGACTTTTTCTTTGTTCCTTATAGATGAAGAAAAAATGGCACAGTATGCACAGGAGGAAAAACACATCAGGGAAGAGAATTTAAGATTACAAAGGAAATTACAGCTGGAGATGGAGAGGAGAGAGAACTTGTGTCGACACTTGTCTGAAAGTGAATCCAGTCTAGAAATGGATGATGAAAGGTGATGCAAACAATTAAATGAAGAAACGTCAGATCTCAGAAGGGTCTCCTTAGTGTACAACTTGTAATAAGAGTTTGTTGTTCTTTACAAGATGATTGTCTTCTTCAAAACATTGATTGCCAACTGAAGTTGTAGAATACAATTCGGCCTAAAATTTTGATTTGATAAAAATAGTAAAGATTCTAATTCAAAGAGAATCTTTTGATTTAAATTTTCCAGGCATTTTAATGAGATGGCTAAACACCAAGACTCAAGTCATGGTGCCAGACCTCGCACAGTATCCAGTCCCATTCCTTATGCTTCCCAAGATGTAACACGACCCCTGTCCCCAGGTAAGCCATTCTCCCCTGTAAGCTGATAATCTGAGTATTAAAAGGCAACTGAAAAGAAAGTTCTCAGTACTCTTGAGTACTAACATGACTGATACATTTGTTGCCGAAGTGCATATTGAACATTATCAAGTTAATGTAAACCAACTTTCATTTGTATACAAGAAAAATCTGCAAGTTTCATGAACTTCTTTCTTTATTTATTGCCATGAACCTCTCTTGAAATTGTGTAATAGTATAGTTTGAGATGAATTTCAAACTGATGAATTGGGAATAAAAGTTGTAGGAAATGAAAGTAGGTTTACAGTATTGATTTCCTCTGTATGATAAACCTCATCTTTTTCAGGAATGAATTATCCAGCATTTAGCCCTCCCAGCCCCATGAGGAGGAGTTTGGGAGGAGGGACGTCACCTTTTCATCCTCCCTCTCATCTGCCAGGGACCTCCCCTCCAGTTCATGGTCACATAGCAATGCAGACTAGCTCCAACCATCCCCATGGACATGTGAGATTTTAAGATATACATGTTTAGGTTCCGTAACTTGTGCAAATTAGTTATCAGGTTTTCTTCAATTCAAGTTCCTTAATCTTTTTAATTGTCAATAGACAAGTGTGTTTGACAATTAAAATGTTAAGGAAGGAAGGGAGGTTTGAAAAAAAGGTAACTAATGAGCATACATTATGGAACCTTTTTCTTCCTTTACACAACTAAATTTCCTCAAACTATTTGGAAATTATTTCTGAGCGAATAACTTACAAACCAATTTAACATGATATCATAATGTGAAAAGCATGTTGTTATCATTATGATGTCACAACAGCCAATCAAATGCTTGCTAAGGGTTCTTTAACAAGTTGGAAAACCAAAAAAAGGTCACTGTAAGGGAGTAATGAAACGTGTAATGGGAGAAATGTATTAAATGTAGAGAAAAATCAGAATTTATTTAAGTTTGAAGAATACTTACTTACGGTCAATTTTTTTTTTTGCTAGAAAGTTTTAAGTAAAATTTTAAAATCTTGTTCATAATATCCATGCAGAAACATAGGCCAAGCTCTGAAAAGTTTGCCAGACCAAGTAGCTTTCCAGACCGCAGTGATAAGACATGAGGAATGTAGCATGTGATGATGACGTCGTTTGCCACACGGTGCTCAGAAGTAGGCACAATAAGGCCACAGATCCCACCAGCCTCCCGGGGATTTTTTCAAGCATCACCCTGACAGAGATTGGTCAGGGACTTTGATTTGTTTTATTTGAATGGTGCATTCTTGTTATTGCCATCGATATTTCAGCTTGTTAGTTGTTATGAGAACATTTTGGATCATTCCATTTCTTGAGAGGGGGATTATCTACTGTCTTGTATTCATATGGAGCTTAAAATACTGCAATGAATGTATCTAGTCTTTTTATCACTCTTTGGGGGCAAAATCCAGCTACCTTGAGTAAATAATGTATTTGTAGTTTCCCTTATTTGTGGAGCAATTCTTTTTTTGGTCATTTATGCCATTGTATTTTTTTAAAATCTTTTTTTTTTTTTTTTTTTTTAATCTTTTTTTTTTCTTTAAACTAATAGCAAGTGCTTAGTTAATAGCATACATTGTGATGTTTGTGTATATTCATAGTAGTGTTGGGAATCCTTTGTAATTTTATGATCAGTCATCACTAATTCAAGAATAATCGTAGATGAATAATCAATTTTCCAGAGATATATATTATTAATCTGAATTTTTGTTGTATCGGTTTATTTTTTTTATTCTTGAAGCACTGAAAATATCAATAATTTATTAAACTTATTGTCTGTTCACTTTCAACATAACATATTTTTAAACAAATGGTCACTATTATAAAACTCTGGTTGGATAAGGAATTATTAAAGGAATTCCAATTGTTCAAAATTTTACTGTGAATGTAATACACATTGATAACAAAGAGGGAAAAAATTGAGTCATAAGAAACAAAATTGCAGTTAATACTTCAAAATTGATCACTGACTCGACTTATTAGATAACCAATTTTCCAAAGCAGATGTTGTGAAGTCGGTAAAACCAATTACATGTAATTGGAACACCACTTATGTTTACATGCACTTCAAATGTCAAAAAAATTCATGATGGGCCATTTTTCTGCTTTGTCAGAAACGAATTTTACAAGCATTTTCCCCTATCCACTTCTGAGTTATAACAAGTATCGAGAGTATCGGATGTATTGGAGGAAGAAAAAAGGAAAAAAGATGGAAAATTTTGTTTCAGAAATTTTGTGTGTCATTTAAACATTGATGATTCAGAGAACCAAGAGGTGTTAGTAGTTAGAATATGTAAATAGCTAGGAATATAATGTTATGACTGTAACATGTTACACTACTCGGCAGCTTCTTGTCTCTTTTATTATGTAGTTTTTTCCCCCCTCAAATGTATCTGTTGCTTTCTGTTGTGTGGGGCATTAACACCTAAAGTATTTTTTTTCTTATTATTTACCCCAGAATATTTGATGTGCATACCACAATTACTAAGAGAACGTGTATTTCTATAAACAATGAATTTTTTTTACCAAAGTAGAAATTGGATTTTTACCATTTGCCTCCTTACCTAGATTTCAAATGGGAAGTTAAGACATACTTGATAAAATAAAGCTAAAAACAATGCCATCTTCTGCCCTCTTGTTCACAGAATATTACAGTTGTAATATCAAAAGGAAAAAAGGCCATTTAAGTTGTGTTTTATGAGTACATTTTATAGGAGTGAGCTAACTCAAAGAAAATAAGCATTATCGTTAATTGATATGGAATCATTTTGCACATAATGTACTTAATATCAAAATTATATATCATTAGAATTTGTAAGCTCTATTTATTGGTGTATGCTGCTTTTACATGTAGTTATGCACAATATGTTGACGGGGGCAGATAATGCACAATATGTTGACGGGCAGATAATTTTAAAGGGACTTCCTGGATAGATAAAACCATTATCATGGTGTGTGATTTTTATTTTTCTCTGTATGTATTTATTTGCAAGTCACATTTCGTATTGATTAGTGAATTCCTTACTAAAGATACTCAAGACACAAGATTATTACACATGATCATTAAAGATGGATTTTGGAGTTTTCAGTACATCATGTATATTATGAATTTGATTTGGATGAAACTATTGCATTTTGTATTCAGAAGGAAAAAGTAGGAAATAGCAGTCATTGACTTTCTATTTAATATCAATATCTTGAAAGAATATTTATGCAAAAGTGATGGTATAAATTAAAGAGTATTTTGTAATGATTTTGTCTTTTAAAAATTGTCATTGATGCACATATTTTTTCCCCATATATCAAAAAGAGTCAAGAGTTTTTATACTCATAAAAAAAGTTTATATAGAAATTTCTTAACACGTTTTTCAATTCAAATTTACAAAACTGAATCACATTTAATTATTTAAAAGTGATAAGGCATGGAGGATTATTTACCTTATTAATTTCATGCTCAGCTTCGTTATTATTTAGATACAGCATATTGCTGTATCGCTGATTCATGTGGAACTTCGTTTGCTGAACACTGCAGCTTAATTGCCAGGAAAAAGTACACCAATACTTGCTTCTTCCATTTCAAAGGAACTGTTTCATGTTTTTATATCGGATCTTCATTGTTCATATTTTGTCATAGGTATTTTGATGTGTAAAACTCTATATAAGTACAGTATATAGTGCGTGTTAATGGAATGTTTTAGAAAAAATTCTCCCCTAGTCAGAAGATAAGAACATCATTATATAAGTGTGATCAGCATATCATATAATATGGTGCTGGAGGTGCCAGAAGGAAAAAAATATTTGTTTTAGTATGGTTCATCTGTTTGTTGTTAATTGTAACACAGGATTATGTGCTTTTAATTTTTTTTTTCCAGTATTGGATATACTTTTGCAAATTGTGATACAAGTTAATCGTTAGCATGAATGCATTTACATGTGATATGCTGCTTTGTGTGTAAACATGGGAATAAATGTCTTCAGCTGTAAATCTGAAGTAGTGTTTTTTCATGTCAATGAAAGGATCATCATTTGCAAGACAGTTAAACTCTCACAGGCCATACCGTGATGAGTTGAATTCCACCTATAAAAGGTCCATGATTTCTTTGTTAAAATCCACTTGTGATGTCACTCTTTGCTCCATTACTTTTTGGGAAAGGAGAGTTTCAATTCATATGGAAAGCACAGTTATCATATTATGTACAATTTCTCCCTCTCATACCTCTGTGAGTGCTAGGCTTGTTAGAACTTCTTCTTAAAGTTAGTTACAGAAAAAGCATAGCAGTACTGGGTATCGAACCTGGTACCCTCAGCACCCTAGTCAGGTATTCACTACACTTCTGAAACCAATGTCTACTTGACATTTCAGTAACTTTATAATCTTTCTTTGCCATACTTTACATGTATATATAACACTGCTAATTATTTAAAGGTATATTTATACCCATGCAAATGGGGATGGGGGTATGTACACGTAGGATTCACGTCGGTCTGTTCATGCAGTCTTGTATGAGCTATAACTTTGTTATGGAGAATCACTGGAAGCTCATACTTGGTACAGAGTTTGTTTATGACCAGAGGGTGTGTCCTAACCTTAACCCAAGGTTTCCTGCAAGTTCAAGGTCACTGACAGTAAAAGTATAAAATTCTTGTCCTGGCTATAATTTGTAATGAAGAATCACTGGAAGCTCATACTTGGTACACAGACTGTTTGTGACCAGAGGGTGTGTTAAGACCTTGATCCAAGGTCATTCTTGCAAGTTCAAAGTCACTGACAGAAAAAGTATTAAATTCTTGTCCAAGACTACAACTTTGTAAAGGAGAATCATTGGAAGCTCATACTTGGTACAGAGATTGTTTATGACCAGGGGGTGTCCTGACCTTGACCCAAGGTTATTCCTGCAAGTTCAAGGTCACTGACAGAAAAAGTATAAAATTCTTGTCCTGGCTATAATTTTGTAATGAAGAATCACTGGAATCTTATACATGGTACAAATTTTTTTTCTTTTAAAAATGGATTGGAGGTTGTATTATATTTTAAATATTGAATTTTGAACTGTGATGCCATCCTTAACAATATAATGAAGGAAATGGTGAGAAAATTTTGTTGCTTTTAGCTGAACACGAGTCCAACACATTGTTTAAACATTATTCTATCAAATTGACCCCCCCCCCCCCACAAACTCCCCATTTTTTGGACCAAAAAGTCTTGGAATATCTTTGTTTTAAATGTACTGGTTTTATGGTTTTGCGTAAAAGAATATGGGATGAAAATTTCAACTTATTTTTTATGTGGGCAATTACTGAATACAATTATATCCTGAACAATATTTTGGATTTTGAATTATCCTGTTAGACAACTATATAACCCAAAATTCACCCAAAGAGTTCATGAACTTCAAATGAAAGTAAAAGAAAAAGATAACATCAAATAAAAACAACTTTATTTTTCAGTTTAAATATCATCTGTAATTCTGAAATTACTTATGTCAATGCATCAATTAATGCACATGCATGTACATGGAAATAAATAATCATGCAAGGTTATTGACAATTTAGTTTAGTTTACATACAGTGTACATTTATTTAATCATCCCCATGGTTCATATCAAATTTGTCTCGTACAATTAATTAATCAAACAAGACAAATAACAACATGTGATGGTATTCATATATATTAAAGTGGACAATTTGTTAACTAGTTTTTAAATGCATTTTCAAGTCTGGAGAAAATTTTGTTCTCATTTGAAGAATCAATATTAAAACAAGAGGCCCAAGGGCCTTAACGGTCACCTGAGTATAATACAACAATTTGAAAGTTAAATACACTAATAGATGAAGCTTTGCTGCCCTAAAGCAAGAAAAGTAGGAAGATCAGGATCAACAAAATAATTAGTCTAGTATTCAGTATCAACTCATAAATTAAGTTCTAATCTGTCCCCCACTTAACACTATCACCATGCAGACTATTAACAAACTATTAGTGCTTTAGTACTATTTTTAAACCCATATTAAGAGCTCTAGCATTGACCTCTCTTATGGTCTTTGAAGAACTTTTAATAAGATAAGTTATTTTTGTCTCATTTTTATTTATCTATTACTTACAGGTCAACCTGATTATTAAAACTAAAAAAATACTTTTTGAATTATATGATAAACATTCTTGCATAATTATCTTATTCTATTAACCTTTCAAATACATTATTTACAGTGATTAATTATCAAAGGTGAATGGAAAAGGGGAATAACTTCTCTCAGTAGAAAATAAATTAATAGAGCCCTGCCCAGGACTAGAATGCTTAGACAAATGGTCCAGATGTTCAAAAATCTGGTAGAAATACGCTTACTTATATCATTTAAACTTTTACTCAGTTTTCTTCCAATATGCCCAGAAGCAGAGAAGAATTTCACAGGTACAATGCATTTTCACTACAGATTCAACAAAGCTTTACCCTAACACCAGAACCCAAGACCAAGGGTCAAGAAATTTACAAATTTGGAAGAGTTACCCTCATCATCATACCTATGGACTTCAAAGAATTAACACTTTTCCACTATATTATCAAAAGCCTCCCCCCCCCCCCCCCCCCCAGTTTTGCCAGAACCCCTGACCCTAGGACCACAAGATTTAAAAATTCTGTTCGAAGCTCACATTTTCATCATAGCTAAGCAATTTATTTATCAGCTCAACGCTAAGGAGCAGACAGGATTAATTAATTATTAATTAATAGAATTAATGCTTTTTCACTATATAATCAATAGAGCCCCCCCCCCCCCTTCCTTCCTCAAGAACCCAAAAAACTGAGGCCAAATATTTGAAAATTTTGGAAGAGGCATCCTTGCCTATCATAATCATGCACTTAGTTTGTTTAAATAATCTCCAGTAGCAGAGAAGAAGATTTTCAAAGAATCAATGCATTTTTCACTATATAATCAATAGAGTCCCGTCCTAACACCAGAACCCCTGTCCCTGGGGCCATGAAATTCACAATTTTTGAAAAGGCATCTCTATGCATCATAACCATGCTCTTTGTTTAAATAATCTCCAGTAGCAGAGAAGAAGATTTTCAAAGAATCAATGCATTTTCACTATATAATCAATAGAGCCCCGCCCTAACACCAGAATCCCTGACCCTGGGGCCATGAAATTCAAAATTTTCGAAAAGGCACTTTTGCTCATCATATCTTTATTTAATACCCAGGAGCAGAGAAGAAGATTTTCAAAGAATTAATGCATTTTCACTAGATAATCAATAGAGCCCCGCCCTAACACTAGAACCCCTGACCCTGGGGCCATGAATTTCACAATTTTTGTAGAAGCACTCTTGCTCATCATAACTATGTACTTAGTTACTTTATTTAATACCCAGGAGCAGAGAAGAAGATTTTCAAAGAAATAATGCACTTTCACTATATGATCTATATAGCCCCGCCCTGGGGCCAGAACCCCTGACCCTGGGGCCATGAATTTCACAATTTTGGAAGAGGCACTCTTGCTCATCATAACTATGTACTTAGTTACTTTATTTAATGCCCAGGAGCAGAGAAGAAGATTTTCAAAGAATTAATGCATTTTCATTATATAATCAATAGAGCCCCGCCCTAACTCCAGAACCCCTGACCCTGGGGCCATGAATTTCACAATTTTGGAAGAGGTACTCTTGCTCTTCATAACTATGTACTTAGTTACTTTATTTAATACCCAGGAGCAGAGAAGAAGATTTTCAAAGAAATAATGCACTTTCAATATATGATCTATATAGCCCCACCCTGGGGCCAGAACCCCTGACCCTGGGGCCATGAATTTCACAATTTTGGTAGAGGGTTCACTGCTTATTACAATGATGCCAACAGTTTGACTGCTTGATGTCCTGGAGTAAAGAAGAAGATTTTTAAAGATTGCATTATTTTTGGTGGTTTTAGCCCCACCCCTCAGGCCCCAGGGGGGCAGGGACCATGAAATTCACAATTTTTGTTCCCCTTCACCCATAGATGCTATATGCCAAATTTGGTTGAAATTGGTTAAGCGGTTTCAGAGAAGAAGCTAAAAATGTTCAAATGTTAACACACGACGCACGTCGACGGACGAGAACGGATAGCAATAGGTCACCTGAGTGACTCAGGTGACCTAATTAGACAGAATATTACGGAATTCTATGTCTGATGTAAAAATCTCCCAAGAGATCTAGCTACTACAGTTACTGGTATGAATATATATGTCTTATCCACTGGCACAGTTATACATTACATTGTATTAATGAGGATAATAAAAAAAACCTTGATTGATTGTAAAATGCTCAACAGACAATTGCTAATTATCCTTACCAACTAAGTCATCTCAACAGACAATTTCTAATTATCCTTACCAACTAAGTCATCACAACAGATAACTGCAAATTATCCTTACCAACTAAGTCATCTCAACAGATAACTGCAAATTATCCTTACCAACTAAGTCATCTCAACAGACAATTGCATATTATCCTTACCAACTAAGTCATCTCAACAGACAATTGCAAATTATCCGTACCAACTAAGTCATCTCAGCAGACAATTACAAATTATCCTTACCAACTAACTCATCTCAACAGACAATTACAAATTATCCTTACCAACTAAAAGTCACTAAGTTTTTCTTCTCATACATTTGAGACATTTGTTTGTCAACATGAACTGAACTGGAGAGATCTGTCTCAATTATTTCTACATGATACAGTTACCCTAATGATGAAACAACAGGATATAAATAGTTTATATACATGTACATGTATAATAAAAAATTATAGGTAAAATTATAGGTAAAACAATGCATGCATAATGCATGGATTCTATCAAGTTAGTGGTTTATAGTACAATTTTTCTCTTTAATAATAAAGAGGAAAAATAACAATACAAGTGAAAAATAACTGTTGTAAAGAAACATGATGCAGTTCTTCCACCAGATAAACACATCAAATCTCATTGAAACTCTGTAGAATTCTTCAACTTATTGCATTTATAAAGAATACAGATCATAGGGGTCTATATCTGAAACACAATTACACTGTACATCCTAAATTACAGGTATCTTTAATAAAACAACCTACATTAATGGACCCCCATTTTGCATAAAAACAATATACATGTACGTGTAAATGAGATGAATATGGTCAATATGTAAATGCATGAATTGGCCATCCACAATACATCTTTAACATCATATATCAACTATGAATAAATTGCACACAAAATCTTTATAATGAAAGCCCCTTTCCTATTTATACAAACAGCTTAAGCTTTCAATATCACCAAGTGCCTAAACATACATACATATATACAGGTGTATACAAAAAAGGACTTGGAATGGTGTCAACAAAACACTGCTGTCTTCACATCCTCAATAGTCCTCCGCCCACGGATTTTCTTCCAGGTAATTGTCAATAACTTCTTTCATGGCTAAGTTTGGAATCAGCTGATCTTGAGTTAAATCAGTTCTTGTTACAGGGTCAAAATGTCCCACTCTCTGAAAGTATTGTGGCATACAACAAAAAGTTCAAACAAATTCTCTATCTAACATGATTTTTTAGAAAAATTATTTACAAGTATCTGTAGGGCATGTACTGTAATAGTCGTAGTTAGGCAGGTATTAAATTGGTAATATTATCCCTTTATAAACAGTTAGAGTTACAAACTCTTACATCAAGCATTAACTGAAGGACAAAGCACATTAGAAATGAGGATAGAGAAATAAGTTGCTTTCTGTCTTCAATGTCAGAACAAAGTTCTCTTCAATAGTAAAAGCAAACAACTCTGGACTATTTACTGATCATATGCAGTAGACAATAAAATAATTTCTTATACAATGCTACTGTTTTGCAATAGTATAGTCACATTAAAGATAAGTGATTTACATTACCTGAAGATGTTCTACAATGTCTTTTTTATCATAGGTTATTCCACTTGGTGTAATGACTGGGTCACGTAAAAGTTCAAAACTGATCTTCCCACACAAGAAATCAGGAACATCTCTGGCCTGAAATAAAATTAGGAGGAAAAAAATTACAATTTCCACTAAGTAAAAGTTGGAGCACACTTCTGATTAATGCAAAATCATGCAGTGACATACCCTTCTTCTTTCATCCAGCTGTGCAAACAGATCATTCATTTCCTTGATTCTTTGATCCTATCAAATAATACATAAAATTAAATGCTTACTTCCAATCAGAGATCTATACATTCATTTTTTCTCTTTTTTCCTGATAAATGAAAACGTGATATTCAGAATGATCTAAATATCTTAATTTTCTTCCTTTTTTTAATTAGCACTACAACTAACCTGTTGTTCTTCAATTTCACTCAAAATTTTGTCTGCATCATCATCTTCATTAGCTGTCTTTTTCACTTCATTTTTTAATCTGCAATCCAAGCAAATTTTATCAGAAAACATATATCAGAGACCCAAGGGAAATGATGCTCACCTGAGTCCATGGTACATTTGGTTCACGTAGTAAGGCTTAATACAGACAACTATTAATATTCACAGACGACAAAGCAAAAACAAAACAACACAAACTGTTCTTGAAATTTGATTTTTTGTGACCTCTGTTTAACCCCCCCCCCCTTTCAAAAAAAAAAAAAAAAAAAGAAGAAGGAAGACATTTTGATTGTGAATTGAAAAAATTAAAGCAGATGTGAATTTTTCAAATGTTACACTGAGAGATAATATTCATACTGAGTAATGAAAATGTGAAAGTAGCCAGAAGTCTCTGATGCAACTGTAGCTCTACTGGTTTGATCAGAGACAAGTAGCAGTTTTGGAAGAATTTCACAGAAGTTTATGTTGAAATCAAAAACAGCTACAAAAAATGTGAATCCTATCATTGAATCCCAACATTGAAACTGTACCAAAACTGTAGGAGCAGTTGCATTTCGAAAGAATTTCAGGAATTTGTAACCAAGGCAACACTGTTTAAATAAAAAACTGATAAAAATAATTATGTATCTTAGTGCTTCTTTACTTCCGTGCCAAGTTTTGTTGAAATTGGACCAGAACTGTAGAAGGAGTAGCATTTAAAGACACAAACAGACAAATGGGTGGATAACAAACCCCTTACCATTGTATAAGCTCTTCTGGTCTTTGACCATTAGAGTAAAAAATGAAGTGATTGACGCTTTTCTTTTCTTATTTCCTCAATGATTCTGTTTAAAAAAGTATTGCTTACAAAATTGCTTTACAGAAATACAATTTAACATACAATATGCTCATTAACAAATCATAATCTCAAAGTACCACCCCAAAAAAGTCAGGAAAACAAAAAGTCAATAAAGATTTTGAAAGTCTGTAAATACAGTAAACTAGTTCAATATAAAGTTCAACATTGATATAGCAAATTAAAGAATATAACAAAGCTTTTGGGGATCCTTGGCAAATTTTATACAATTTCTTGTAAAATTTACATTATAACAAACTCGGATATAACAATTCACAGATATATAGCTTATTAATTTTATGTTCCAAAGAAGTAAAAAATAACAAAATATACAATTTTTATAAGGGTATTTCTCAAGATCACAAAATTTTAAATACATGTATTGAACTAACATTATATTTCAAAAGTAACTTACTATATTTGAAATTTAAATCTTCGGAAAACTTTAGTTCTTCAAGTTAATTTTTCAATTTTAATTCATAAAACGTATACATGTATAATGAATTACGGATACAGTGAAGTAAACTCACAGGTCCCCAGGACTTTGCTATAACTGCATGAGTTTTGCTGTTAATAAATACCTTGAAATTCAAACTTTGTTTATAACACATTACTTACACTGTATAAAGTTCAAAACCAAGTTTCAAAACTTTACCTCAGTGCACACTAAGAAAAGTCAAAGAAACTGATATTCCATATTAAAACAGAAGGACAGACAACCTTTTATCATAATACACCATCCAAAGATGGGCAGATAAAATCCTGAATTAAAAAAAAAACAAGGGAAAAAAAGCCTGGAATCTACTTGTCTCACAGGGCTCGACATTAACTTTTTTCCCTACTTATCCATTCGGACAAGTGACCAAGACATTTACTTGTCCGAACTTCAACTTCACTTGTCCGAACATTGTTCAATAAAGATACAATGCTGTCAACTTGAAAACTTAAATAAATTCCATTACACGTGACTGATTAGTGATGTTATCTATAAATACAACAAACACATAAATCTAGACTTTCTATCCTGACAACAACATAAATGTTCACAAATGCATCTGACAACATCCAAAAGAATCTACACTTCGTAACTCGATGTAACTTTCATGCCTTTGCAGTAGTATGCAATTAGTGAACTTCGATCCCGATCGAGTGTGAATCTCAATTACAAAGCAATTCATATCTGAATCAAAGTTCGTTTTTATGTACTGCTTCCGTCTTTACCGATGAACATTCAACAGTCGTTCTTTTTATTATTTGAAGATTTCTTTACATTAAAATGCACTTGTCCAATCGGACAAGTGCCAAGCAATATTCACTTGTCCGTATTTTTTTTCACTGGTACCGGACAAGTGGACAAGCGTTAATGTCGAGCCCTGGTCTCGAAGGTCAGGTTTTCATGCATTTATGCTTACCTATCCGTGTCTTCTCGTATTAATGTGTTTATATATGATTGAAGTTCTATTTCCTGTTGGATTCTCTTTTCTTCTAGCATATTCCATTTCTTCTTCTTAGCATTTCTTAAAGCACTGGTAATATCATCTCCAAAATTCATTTTCTGTTCTTTTGCTAAATCATTGGCTTAAAAATGACAAAAATATGAATATTTTAAATATGTTAATACATTAATGGATGAATTCATTAAAATATTTATTATAAGGGAGTCTCAATTTTAATTGAATGCTACTATATTAAAATTATGTAATAAATTTAATATGTAAAAAAAATTTAAATGCATTATATGATGTGCTTTATCACGAAATATTTTTATTCAAGTGAATGTATAAATATATCAATTTGCTCTGAAAACAAGGAAAAACTTTTCAAGTGGATGTATAGTACTTTACATCAAGATATGGTATAAAGAGCATGTATTTGTAATACCTCTTTTAAGACTACTTATAGCCTCATCGTAAAAAGTCAGTTCAACGAGAGCCTGTCCCATAAAAAAATGTCCCTTAACAATGGTTCTATCGAGATCTAAGGCTCGTCTACAGTCCTGAACTGTCTGGTCCCAATTCTTTAGTTTTAAATAACACAAAGCTCTATTTGTGAAAAATGTTGGAGTGTTTGGACTTTTGATCTGAAATAAAAAAAAAAATCACATGTTTATTCTCAAGCTAAATATATAGCTAACTAAAAATATTCAGCTTTGACCACAATAATAAATAATAATAATAAAGTATCTTTATGAAAATATTACAAAGTGAAATTCAGAACACTTTATAAATCTCCTAAAAGTCAATCAGGAGAAGTAAATGAATTTACAACTTTCTAAGCCTAACATCATCTTAAATCAGCAGCAAACTCAAAATATTGATGTTTTTTGATAAAATTGATAGCCATTTTAGCTTTTACAAATTAACTCAAATGAGTTATTTCTTTGTTAAGTCATAAATAAGTGAAGTGACCTAAGTGAGTTATTTTAAAAAATAACTTGTTTCCATCATGCCCCTGACAGTCTATAGATAAAAGATTTACCCAGGTTCATCTTTTGATCCACTTTGTGTTTTATAGATAGTCTTCTGACTTAATAATCATAGATAAGTTTGTAAAGTAAATTCTCAATATCTACCATAACCTGAAAGCTGCAAATATATCACAAAAAATCTGAGAGCAATCAGAGCAATAATTGATTCATGTACAACACTTCCTCTCAAAATACTGGTAAATTCAAATGCAAAATTACAGCCATTGGTCAGTTTTTGAATCTTGAGTTGTCCTATGTGATAAAATGAATTTGTCTATGGACTCGGTTTAATAATCAAATAAATAAGGTATGCACTGTGTTGGAAATGTAGCACAGGGGTATGAGCATGCGCAGATGCTTTAAAATGGGCATAGTAGAGGTTTACAAAAAATGCCTGTGCAAAGTAACGAATCATTTTGCAAATGTAAAACCACTTGTAGATGTTGGATTAAAGGTATTTTAAGAGTTTGTTTTTTACAAAAATAAACTTTACTGTACAAAACAGGATTTTTTCACTGTCAAAGTTAGCGATCTTTTGCTCCTTGACATCCAGGTATTTAAGATAAAATATTTGATAAACAGACAAAAACAATTAATAATGAATTGAAATTATAAAAGAAATATATTCCACTACCTTATATTTTTTATTTTCATAATAAAATGCACGAAGACGTTGTGTTTATATTAATTTAACGTGGGTTTCAGTCCATGTTTCCTCTGACTAGCAATGAATAGTTTCTATATCTATAATCGTGCTGAGAAAGTGTAACAAAAATACAGTTTAAAATTAAAAATGCAATTTATCGTATTTATAGTGCTTTATATACATTATAAGGCCAAACAAAAAAATATGTGTGGTTCCGGTTACACTTAAAAAAAAATTAGGGTAGGTAGGTAGGGATTTTTTTTTTTTTTTTTTTTTTTTTTTTTTAACAAAATGATTTTCTTAATTTTTTCTAAATAATATCTATCACTGATTTGCAAATGGCATTTAGATGTGGTGTGATGATATACTAGTCAATATTGGTAGGGGACACCTACATGCTAGCTTGCTTTGGATTTAACACTATTAAACACTTGCACTATGTTTTGCAAGGAGGCCGTCATTGCTGAAACTAAAACTTAAACTGGAGCCATTGATGGAAATCGGGGGAAATTCCGGAAAAAATATGAAAATTGCCAAAAAAAAAGTTTAGGGTCGGGGGTATAAAATAGGGAAGGTTGGGTAACCGGAACCACACATATTTTTTTATTTGGCCTAAGAATTAAATAAAATGTTTAACAATTTGTTTTTAATAAATATATCACTGTTGTGGGAAAATACAATTATATTTAACTGTATTTCAAATCGAGCTTCTAAATTCATATTTTCCTTATTCTTAGAATATTTTTCGTGTTTTCAATTTCACAAGAAGAAAAAAAAATAAGACTTCACACAAAATTAATAAATTATTTGATGAAATGACGGAAAATATTTCGTTGATCTTACAGTATAATTTTTTTTAATTGAATACTTAACCTGTTGATTTTTTTCTGTGAACATTTTACCAAGTTAATCACTGTTAATCAGCAAAAATAACAATATTATCGTTCTTTTTCTTAGATAAATGATATAAACAAGTTTATTTATATAGATACGGCTAGACTTACTGTTCTTGCACATTGCATGACGGGACGAAAAAACCCTACTTTGAGGGTATACTCTGTTTAGGGGGTTCGACCAGACTGATTCATAGACTTGAAACTTATCTGCTATTTGACGTTGGACTTACAATCGCTTTAGAGTAACAGTTGACAGCAGCCTCGTAATTTCTAGAAGCATAATATTTGTTCCCTTGATTCTTGAAGTCAATTGCACTCATGATGATGTCCTTTTCCTGAAAATTTCAGATTTTTACGTTTTCATCATTTGTGAGAATTTTCTTGCGATGTCAATCGTGTTCTTTCACTTTTCTTGTAAAATTTCTGATCTTCAAACGTTTTGCAGACACCAGGTGAGGAATCTAATATTAAAACCAACCACACATATTCCGGACCTAAAATTGAACATTGAAAAAAGGTATTGATTTTTAAAGCTGCATTCTATTTTGATCTCAATTCTTGCTTTTTTTTTTGATCGTCCACTTTTGCACTATTTTATTTTCGCAAGCCAAACACGTTTGAGTTTGAGTGGACCGAAAACCAATCTGATTAAAATCAGATCCTTTGATCCGCTCACATAGATCGCTACACAAGGATCTCCTTGTGTGGCGATCTATGTGAGCGGATCAAAGGATCTGATTTTAATCAGATTGAACGAAAACCTGCCTATGAATTTTCCTTCAAATTATTATATAAGATCAAGTATTAATGCGCTTTGTTAAGATATCCGATCCATTATATCCCCCAAAATATTATATCAACAATGTCTTAGGGGAATCATTTGATTCTGAACATCATGATTCTGATTGCTGAAGGGGGAAGGCTGGAAGATTTTGAAAATGAATAATCTGTTTTCTTCGAGGATGTTGAAAATAAAAATTCTGTCCTCGACTGGCAAGAAAATAAATAATCTGTCCTTGACTATTGCCACTCAACGGTAAAAATAATCTGCCCTTGATCATCTTGAAAATAAATCATCTGACCTGGCTTGAAAATAAATATTCTTACTCGAAAATCCCCCTCTCAGAATCCCCTTAGATAATAATTCCATCATGTCTTATATAGATGGCCGACCAACGAAACGATTGATCTATTGGGAAAAAGGAAATAAATAAACTGATTTTGATCGCAAATTTATTATTAAGTCAAAGTTTATTCTCAGGGAAAACTTCCAATACATTTTGGGAAGATACAGGTTTATTTGATCGCGAATTTCGGCCCCAGATAGGCCCTTAAATTCAGTGAGTACTGACAATTGCAGTCTACCAAACACCTCTTACTTTGAAAGATGAAAAAACAAAAAAAACTGGAACTTATCGATAAATTCTTTTAAAAATTTATATTGAATAATTTTTATTCATATATACTCGTAAACTCGTGAATTATGCAAAATCTTGTAATTTAATTCTACTCGAGAAATTGATATTAATATTTCAAAAACTGGTTAATTTATATGCAAAAATAAATTATATATATATATATATATATATATATATATATATATATATATATATATATATATATATATATATATATATATATATATATATATAATGTGATTCATATGCAATAATCTTGTCATTTATATAATTATTTGTGAAAGTTAATAAACATGTGATTTATGTATGCGATTATCTTTTCATTTATATTCGGTAATTTATTGAAAACAAACCACAAGATTTCGCATAGATATCGCAAGTTTACGAATATAGATACCAAATATAAGAATATAAATCACAAGACTGAAAATATGAATCACATGTTTACAAATATAAATAAAAAGTGTTCGGGTGTGAATAACAAGAATATTAATATAAATCGCAGGTTTTATCAAACAGAACACAAAGTTTGTATAATGCAGCGTTTTTCACGTCATACTTGTATATAGCAGGTTAAAATCGCGGTCGGAAAAGATCGCGATTTCTTCGATTTGCAGCAAATCGCGATCGTTTGAATTCGTGGAAAGATGTTATGTACAAAATTTCTTTCATCACTGCAGAGACGTATATATACATATTTACCTTGCGTATTGTGTCGATTCTGAACCCGATATACCGCGGACCAATCCCGATTTGAAGTCAAAACGTTGTTACGCATTCCAATGACTTTTTTTCTTCCCCCCCTTTCCTTATTAATGACTTAGTAACACGCTGAACTGCTAGTACATGTTTAATTAAATCAATGTGTAACAATATTGTTTTTACTACTCAAGTGCCTCGAATAAAGGTTAGAAGACTGAGTAATACGACGGGGGAATTTTTTTCGGTAAATACATCGCACCTCTACTGGGTGGCAAAATTGAATTTTAGTTATAGATGTTTATTAATCAATTAACTATTAATCAAATTAAGGAGGCTGGGAGGTCAACAAATTAACCATCAGCTATAACTTAATTTTTTTAGATATGATATCTTAAGCTGTCAACTATCATTTGGCAAACAAAAATTTCATACATTTTAGTTTTAAAATTTGATCATTTTTGTATATCTTTATATGGAGCTCTTCTTCTAAAGTAGATCAATATAGTCTGAAAATGGCCACAACCACCCAGCCCTCTTAAGCTTTAAAAACGTTAACAACTACGGGTAAAGTGATTCACCTGCATAATTAGCAAGACGGTCTACATCTCCGCTATATCAATTACTGTTTTAATGTTTTCAAGGAAACACAGATAGAATTAAAGAATCTAATCACAGATAACGGTAATATTTCAGTTTATCCTAATCATTTTTAAAGAGTTATTCACTGTATGTTGAATTCGCAGAATTCTTATTTCCGCGAATATTAACTCCGCGAGTTAAATTCCTTCTGTACAGTATCTCCGCACGACAATACTGTTTCATGACGTCTATTGGTGACTTTCCTTTTCGTAACTCATTTTCAGTTCAGGACGGAATATTTATTTCTAAGAGACAGGTTTTTAAATTTAATTTTTGATTCATATTAATATTCTGAACTGTTCACATATAAATATACATATGCATTCCACTGCGCAAACATCTCGTTCAACATCGGATGGAAGAGTACATGTAAGGTACGCTGGCGTCACACTGTCACGAAATTGACTTCAGATGTGGATTTGATCGCAAATCTATGGGGCCATTGTGATCGCATCTTGAGCAATCGTATGATCGCCTGTTTAGTTTTTCAGGCTTCGGCCTGCGGTGGCAAAAATTTGACACGCTAAAAAATGCGAAGGTTCATTTAAGTGATGAATTCGTGTGTTCATTTTGCCTTTCGGAAGCCAATCGCGAGAACATGTTATATCGTGTTGTCTTAGTACTTTACTTCATGTTATCTTCAGAACTATCGGTCAATTTTTGCCCCACGAAAACAAAACGAAAAAAAAAAAACCCACAAAAAACCACAAAAACAAGAAAGCTTTCTGTTGTCTAATGAAGGCAGCACGACTACGTGAAGCCCTGGCAGAGCCGTCATGTAGCCATTATATAGTGCGATGACCTATAGATGGGACCACGGTGTCGGCAAATACATTCAAATTCGATCAGTTCAGATGTTGTACATGTGCTATAGTAACGTGGATATACAAATAAAAGCCTCATGCTCAGCCAATCGTGAACAACTCGACAGAGTATAGGCGCAATAATTCCTAAAGCTTCGATTACAGCTATTCAAATTTAGTTGTGCTTAATGGCATACTTTTATGACGAAACAACCAGGAAAAAAATAGGCAGTAGAACTGCATCTCAGGAAACAGGATGAGCAACTCTTAGAGACTCAGCACCTCTACCGCCAGTTAAAATTGTATTTTTTACTTAATCATTTCTTGCTATCCCACCAAATGTACTTATTTTGATTTGCTTTTATTTTTTAAGACAGGCGCAAAAGCAGGAAAACGAGGTCCATGTCGGTCATGAAATGGGTGTATGACAAAAAACAAACAAACAAACAAAAAACGGTATAGCAAACCGCATAAGAATCTAAAGACAGAAGATGAGGGGATCTTCTACAACGACACAAGATTTTCCAGAGGCCTTTGCGATGAGGTTCTGCAAAGGACAATTAAAGACAAACTAGAGAAAGAGGACACACGGTACACAGAAAAGTCTCTCCCTCCTGTCTCAAGCTGTCCATCACTCAAGGATACATGGTCTGGTGATGACAATTATATATCCAAGCCTGTCTAACAACTTCAAAATGGGTTTGAACACCATCTTCTCTGATGTCATCAAAGCCCAGTTTGCAGCTGAGGTGATAAGTCTTACTACAACTTAAGTATGGACTGCAATTACTGAGCAGTTTGATAAAAAAAAAAAATAGCAATTTCAATACTACTGTGTTGCTATGGATGGCAATAATGTGCTGGACACATGTCCCTGGAAGATTGACTCAGTGACTGTAAGAAACGGCTTCTTTTTCCATTTTCATTGTCGTCCTGACCGATTCTGACAAGTTTCTCTGATTATGAGAATAATATATGAAGAAATGTCACCACAATTTATGTTATCCTTCGAAATCTTTTCAGACCGAGATATCCAGCCACTCAAAACAAACGCGATTGACGTGAAGAGATAGAACCAGGATGTCATCCAGGATCATGGAATAATGACAAAGAATTTCTGTATGTTTAGCCTGAGAGGGCATGAAATACTAGTACTGGAATCTATGAGTGCACGAAAATAAGAAGATACATGAACCCGGTCCAATACTTTACCTTAAAGGCTGGTTCAGTGCCGGGGCAAGACAAAGTGGTAATGTTAATTTTCCCACAAAGCAGTGAGGGTAAAACAAATACAGGGATACAAACACAGTGATAATAAATAATTTCTATATATTGCATTGTTATTAAATAAGAATGTGTATGGACTAATAAATTCTTGCTTTTTTTAACTTCAAAATAAAATAAAGATCTAACATTTATAAACTTTAAAAAGTTTTCAGAATGTTAAGTCCCATATTACTTAAATATTAACTTGAGAAATGAAAGACCAAAAATGAACGAAGTCTATAAATAAATACATGCAGTCGGCTGAATTTTTTTTTTACACCATTGAAAGGTCTGATGTTGCCTTTTTTGCCTAGTTTGAACACATTAGGCTCTAAATACGACGTCTTGTATTCGTTGTAAGGCCTTCATGTGTCCTGTGGCAAACTACTTGATGAAATTCACATTTTCGAGTTGCCTTCGTTTGAGGCTTGGGTGTCATCGTAGAACCTTCTGTATGTATTGTACTTGCTTCGGCTGTTGATTAGGATGTTGACCAAATTCGGGGTCAATGTCAATTCAAAATTCCATATTCGTATGACCATCTGGTACCAATTTCGGGACAGTGTGACGCCAGCAT